AACTATTGGCTTGTGTGTAATTAGATTATATTATTGAAAATCTTACGTAGACTGCAGCACCGATGACTATCATAAAATAGCATACGATGGCTACGTAGTCCCATGCATTGAGAACCGCGACCTCAGCCATCGTGTAAGAACGGCTTTGCACTTGGTCTTACGGGGATCTGTATAAAATAGAATAGCATACATTGATACGCCATGAATTAGAATAAAAATAATAATAACGATGATGATGATGATGATGATGATGATAATAAAGATAATAATAATAATTACAGGATTGAAACATTCAAATAATTATGATAATATCAATAATGATTATAAACTGTAAGCATCAGATCATATACATTAGGTTTGTGTCATTCCAAATCAAACATAAATCAATTACCTGTTTGAGATAGGTAACAGTGGCGTAGCGTGGGCTCAGACATGGGGGGGGGGGGGCTTAAGTCGTTAGCCTACTAGATCAGCATTTTCAACTTTATTTTTTAGTAACGGCACCCTTTCTGGAGTTAAAAAGTTTCGCGTCTCCCCCAATCAAGTTCATCAGAGATTATTTGTTTTCCATCCCTCGCACATAATACACGTACGAGCACATTTTCGTCTGGGGCCGACAATACTATCCGGATTCAAAATATTGCGAGCTAGCGAGGAAAAAAAACGAACTTTTCTAATGGCAAAAATGTTTATTGATCATCAAAATACATTACATATGTAAAGTTGTATATTCGGTCATCTCGTTGCCAGGAATCATATATATTCATCAATTTAGCGAGAAGTGAAGCGAACGAGCAGAAAAGAACACTGTTTCGTGGTATAAATTTCATTTCGATATAAAAATACAATAAGTGAGGTTATATTCGGGGGCCATTTTGGCAGAATAATACCAATTTTTGAGCAGTGAGTAGCCTAAACATTGTCATATCATTATATGGGGATATTGATAGACCTTGCTGCATTAATTAAACCGTCCCGTTTCTAAATTTGGAAAGCGAGCGAAGCGAGGGAGGAAAAAAAGACACTTCACTAAATATTTCTCAAATGTTACTTCCTCATCAAAATACTCAAAGTGATATAAATTTGGGCATTTGACGTTATTCCAAAATGTATAAAATACTCTCGCTGCACCCTGGTTAGAAAAACGCTGTACTAAATGGTCAAAATTGAGATGGCAGACTGGCTAGACCTCTTGCCCCTTTAGAATGGGAACATTTGTTCATCTTAAAGTGAAACAGACACACTCACATAAATTCTCTGCCTCTAGTTTTCCCGTATTTCCTCTTGTCTTTTCCTCCTCTAAGTTAAACTACATCAAAGACGCAGATCGGATCACCCTGAATCATTTTACGATAATCGTTTACTGCGCCTCTTACCATTTAAAGGTTATCATGCCGTCCCACATTACTGATTCAAATATACTATTATAATCTTTATAGAGAGTTTTCGAGCAATCATTCTCTTTATACTATCTCACATTCTGTTTTTATGTATTCCTTCACCTCTTCCCTCGCTCTCTCCACTTTCTTTCTTCTTGTCTTTCGATTGGGGAAAAAGTGCCACCATGCCCCCCCCCCCATAGCTACGCCACTTATTTGGGGTTGTATTTAACCTAGAAATCTACCGGACCGACATAACTGATCATTATCACACATTAATATGATAGTAAAAACGTAGAATGATGTTAATAAAAAATGAGAATAAAAGCAAGACATACATACCTCTCTACAAGTATGGCTGAATGAAATCTATAGTCCCGCTATTTCTGAATGATTAGTCGTGATAGAGTAAAATGTTGAGTTTAGCAGTGTTGTCCCGATATATACAAGCATGCAAACCAGGGCTACGTATGTTCCACAGAGTTTTTAGAAAGAAGCAACGTATCTTTCCTTGAGACGTGTACTAGTAAATGTACGATCATCGTATATTCTGAACATTCGTTGCGACCTACTAGGTCACGACTCTACTACACGCCCATTATCTCCCCATCGTAAAATGTTGTAGTCACTTGTATTTGGGTAAGAGATCAAAATATGACATGATTCTTTCAATACCCAGTTCCCAATCCTCGCAAATGGGGCGTAATTTGTTGCGTTGATATACAAACGGGAGCAGAGGTGCATAATAGTGTAATTGGGATCGAATTGCATTGAATTTAAAGCTAAAGCTAAAGGGGTTTGATTTCATCATCTGATCACGGTGGGATTTTTTTTTTTGAGGGCGTCATCCCCATTAAACCCCCTCTGATTGGCCTCATCCCTCATCTGCCAAGTCGTAATTCAGTCGTAAGTTTAGAAAGATGGTACACTGGCCTTCTCCCTAAATCCATCATTGATTAATGAAAGATGAGGTAGGGAGGGGGCATCGGCCCGTGCACCCCCACCCCCTTCTTCTTAAAATATGTGTCGCATAGCACAAGTACATAACTCCCCTGCGAATCGTCTCCTCGTTTCCCTTTCAATTTTTCGACAGAAATCGTGCCAAAACTACCGCCCCCCCCCCCTTATAAAAAAAATACTAAATCCTCAATCCGCCCCTTCTTAAATGCCCACGATAGGCCCTCAATCTTTGTCATCCCTTGCCCTATATTAATGGCCTGCTGCTCAACTTGCCTCGCCCCCCCCCCATCCCCGACTTTTACAATCTTGGTGACAGCAGCATATACCGTAACAAGGGCAAGGATCGCAATAAGAGCTGATTGCAAAGTGTAAGGGTCAGAGATTGGGTAGTCAAATAGGTATACAGCTATCACTATGGCGACCTATTGAATTCCTAAATTAAACCCGAAATCACTGAGATTCACGTTTAGATTTCTTTCTTCATTAATGGTATAGAATTGCATATATATATATATATATATATATATATATATATATATATATCATGTCAGAGTTGAGAATTCTCGCACTTTTATATATATAGAGAGAGAGAGAGAGAGAGAGAGAGAGAGAGAGAGAGAGAGAGAGAGAGAGAGAAAATAAATATATACTGACGTTTAATCTATTTCGCTTTTATATGATAGTATACGCATTCATATTACTTTGGAAATTTATATCCATGTTTGCAAATTACATTATAATATCGCATACAGATGGCGCTTGTTGGAGTCTATCCTGATTATACAGCACACAATTTAAAATTGCTCATGACATTCGTAAACAATTATAAGTTTTGCACTTTTTGTTTTACATTAGCACATTTGACTGTAGGTGAAGGCCCAGTCATGTGCTATTTAAAAAAAAATTGAATGTATATAGGTTAGGGCTAAGTATAGTTAATATTTGGCTGGGAGATGGTGACATGTGAATGATGAGCCCACCGGGCCCTGCCCCTCAAATTGTAGGTGAACGGCACGCCCAGTCAGATGCTCTTTTTTGTTATATTTTATGTGTGTAGGTTAGGGTTTAGTGTAGTTAATTTTTGACTGGGAGATGGTGTACTGTGAATGATGAGCCTACCGGGCCCTGTCCCTCTAACTGTAGGTGAATGGCACGCCCTTTCAGATGCTCTTGTTTTAATATAGATATGGTATGTGTGTAGTTTAGGCTTTAGCTAGTGTAGTTAATTTTTGGCTGGGAGATGGTGTACTGTGAATGATGAGCCTACTATTAAACGGCAAGCCCAGTAAGATGCTCTTTCGGTGTTGTATGTATGTACGTAATTAGGGCTTAATGTAATAGTTTTGTAGTTGGGAGATGGTGACCTGTGAATGATGAGCCTACCGGGCCCTGTCCCTTAAACTGTAGGTGAACGGCACGCCCAGTCAGATGCTCTTTTTTTAGTTTATCTATGTAGGTTAGGGCTAAGTGTAGTTTTGATAAATTGATGTTTACGCAAATCTTCTGAAACACTTACCTGACACTCCTCAACCAATCAATCACAATCAAAGACCATATTTTACTGACACGTTTCAAAATTATTACAAAGTACAACGATATGTTTTCATATTTCGTTTAATGAAAGTTCAAAAACATCTTCCAAAATCAATATATATGAGATCTTTTTCGAAAGTAGGAGTATTTAAAACAAAAGAAACCGCATCGAGATTATGTCAGAAAAATAAAATTGATCAAAATTGTTTCATTTTATAACATTTCACTCTTTTGGATAGATAAACATGTAAAAACATGCTTTTTTTCTTCAACCGAACTCTAAATATACGTGGCGTCATTTTGTTTTTTTCTTCAGAACAGTTACCGCCCCGTTTTATCATTGACTTTTTATATTCGATATTCTCACGTCATGTGGGGGCAGCATTCTATTTCAAATTCTGCAATTGTCAGTACACGTACAATACTCTTTGACAGATATATATTTTGTTTAATTGTGCCCAAATACCCCTATCGCCATCCTTCTCACCACACTGGCTTATGTGATTTTTTAACAATTTATTTTAATGAGAGAAATGTTCTTGCTTTTCATCATGATATTACATAATGATTTGACAGGTTTGATGAGACCTTTTAGAAAAAGAGACTTTTATTATGTCAAACAATTTAATGTCAGCTCAAGGACGAATCAGTGTTTAGATTAAGGTTATCGCACATTCCATCTGCTCGCTTCGTAAACGATTTTTTTTTTGAGGGGGGGGGTCATACTTGAGGTGAACTCCGCACTATTGTTATGACAGTTTGCGATTAAATACAACTCTAAATATCAAACAACGTGGCTTTAATTAGCGATCACAATGATATATTTGAGACGTGTGTTTTTAAAAAAAAATTATTGTTATTATCATAATTTTTACATTGCGTTTAAACGCCGGAATGTTCGTAAAAAGTCGAGGGGCTTTGAAGAGTCCTAGCTACATCGACCAAATTTATTCTTTTCAACATCATGCCCAAAATACGTTTGCATAGACTTGCCATCGTCTATTGAAAGGTGCGGACATTACAATGAGATGCGTATTTGGCCATGCTATATATGGGATAAGGCGATTTGAAATTGCCTACGAGTTGATTTCTGGAAAGCCTTTTCGATCCTGTCGAAATTCGTCTGGTTTATCTAGAAGCCTTTCCCGCTCTCGACGGGGGGCCGCCCTTTTTGCTTTTCATCTTCGAGGCGCTGGGCGTCACTCGAGGTGTAGAGCTCGACGACGATGTCGCCCGATTCCGACTAGCTGACCTGTCTTTCTTTCCTTGGAATGGCAGTTCTTTCTTACGGTACTGAACGAGGAGAGTGTCTAATGAAAGCAAAAAAATAAAAACAAAAATGTTGTCGCTTGCTTCGTTCGCTTACATATTCATGTGGAAATTATATTGTTTGATATTCCGGCATGAGCATGCAGTAAGCCCCCCCCCCCCCCCCCCCCCCATTTTGACTCAAACTTTCAGTGACCAGTTCCTCTCATTTTTTCTGCTTCTATTGAACCAACTTCATATCAGGGTTAGCCTCTTGTCGATGGCCCTCGCGTTGTTGGAGTCCGTAAATTCTGGCGAGCAAAGCGAGTCAGAGAAACCGAGAAAAACAGAGAAACCGCTCGCGCTCGGTTTTTCTGACTCGCTTCGCTCGCCAGAAATTACGGACTCTAACAACGCAATCGAGGGCCATCGACAAGAGGCTATATCAGGGTGGAGTAGAAAGTGTTACTGAATAGGTTATACATGCACATGTACTTACTCATAAACTCAGTATTCTCCTTCAGTTGCTTCACAAAAGGTTCATAAGGTTTGGCCACATCGTTCTCATCACCTGCAAAACACAGTAAACTTATAGTTGAAACATTATGGGAAAATCAGAGGAGACAAAACCCAAATTACCTGATCATGGATTTGCACTATAGCTTGTTTTAGACGTCTGTATTTTTACTTGGTGAGTTAATATTCAATTTCAAGCTATATTGAAATGCTGATGATATATTCTTCAGTCAAAAGAACCTTCTTCTGGGATATTTAGAGGAATGGGCTTGATTTTGGTACCATCTTTCCTGTTCTTCCCATTTCCTTTATTTTTCGTTAATTCCTCTAAACGCCCCATGGGCAGGCTCTTTTGACGAAAGAAAATGTCAACAGCATTTTCAATATGGCTGTTACCGAAAGCCTCCAATCGTGATAGCTCATTTTTAAATAACAAGGAGCTTTATTCAGATTGATAAGCTTTGCATCAATTTTAATTGTTATAATTAGTCGGTTTCATCTGAGAGAAGCTTGATATCTAGCCAATGAACAAGAAATAAACTAGATATAGTATTCGACATTGTTTTAGTGGTAAAATAAAAAAATCGTCACCAAGTGTTATGTTATCAATTTAGGCTTAAATGTTAACAAAATCCTAGTGATATCTTTCTCTTTAAAATTGTGTTTGCTGGTAATTGGGGTATTTCCTACAATGGTGCGGTTACGAAACGCTGGGGAAAAAAAGAAAAATATTGTATATAATTACGGATTATCTCTTTTTAACGATCTTTTTCAATATTTTTAAGCAGTTTAGACAATACTTGACAACCTCGTTCATAGTTATCAAGGAAAGTTGAATTTCGTTTTTGTTTTGTTTCCCTTAACAAAACTATCAAGCGGTTGTACCAAACAGGAAATGGGTTTACAGTAAACACTTTGCAAAGATCTTCGAAATCAACCTAAGACAATTTCAATACCCTCGTCCATCATCTAACTATTAAAATGTGCTAACATTACAATGTCATATTATGTAACCTGGGGGGGGGGGGGTGTGTTTCACAAAAATCCTAAGTCAAACTTAACTCTTAGTTGGACTTAAAAGTCATGAAGAGCCATTTGTAGCCTTAACATTTAATATTTTCAAAAGCAAAAATTGAAGTATTATAGACTTTTCATAAATTCCACATCAAGAACATGAAATCTCCTTGATAATAGAAAATATGAATGATTTGAATCAACATTTTGCTTTTTGAAATAACTTTTACAAAATATTTTCAATGATGCTAATGGCATTCCATAATTGTTAAGTCCAACTTAGAGAAAGGTTCAACTTAGCATCTTTGTGAAAGACCCCCCAGAAATTTACTGTATGATATGTAATAGGGCACTGAATGGCCTTGAGCTGATTTCTAGAAAGCCTTCGCAATCGTGCTCGTGCAAGAAACCCGATACCCGAGTCGCACAAACATAGCCAACTCCACATCGTCTCCAAATCGACCGATTATCGGTCATTCAGGGGTAATGTGAAAGTTTTTTCGGTCTATCGTCGGTCTGGTGTCGGTCTATCGTCGGTCTGATGTCGGTCCATCGTCGGTCCGTTGCCGTTTTATCGTTGGTCTGATGTCGGTCTGGTGTCGGTCTATCGTCGGTCTGGTGTCCGTCTATCGTCGGTCTGGTGTCGATCTGGTGTCAGTCTATCGTCGGTCTGGTGCCGTTTTATCGTCGGTCTGGTGTCGTTCTATCGTCGGTCTGGTGTCGTTCTATTGTCGGTCTGTTGTCAGTCTATTGTCGGTCTGATGTCGGTCTATCGTCGTTCTGATGTCGGTCTGGTGTCGGTTTATCATCGTCTGGTGTCGTTCTATCGTCTGTCTGATGTTGGTCTATCGTCGGTCTGGTGTCGTTTTATCGTCGGTCTGTTGTCGGTTTATTGTCGGTCTGATGTCGGTCTATTGTCGGTCTGGTGTCGGTCTATTGTCGGTCTGGTGTCGTTCTATCGTCTGTCTGATGTCGGTCTATTGTCGGTCTGGTGTCGTTCTATCGTCTGTCTGATGTTGGTATATCGTCGGTCTGGTGTCGTTTTATCGTCGGTCTGTTGTCGGTTTATCGTCGGTCTGGTGTCGGTTTATTGTCGGTCTGATGTCGGTCTATTGTCGGTCTGGTGTCGGTCTATTGTCGGTCTGGTGTCGTTCTATTGTCGGTCTGGTGTCTGTCTATTGTCGGTCTGATGTCTGTCTATCGTCGGTCTGGTGTCGGTCTATCGTCGGTCTGATGTCGGTCTATCGTCGGTCCGATGTCGTTCTATCGTCGGTCTGATGTCGTTCTATTGTCGGTCTGATTTCAGTCTATCGTCGGTCTGGTGTTGGTGTATCGTCGGTGTGACTGGAAAAATTAGAGATGAACATTATGGGTATGCTGAGTCAAAAGCCTTACGTTCCATCTTGATCGGGACATAGGTAGATCGCGGTTTCAGCAAGTGTTTTGTATTTACCCTGACATTGTAGTCTGGGAGGCACTTCAACATTCCTTCCTCATCTGCTAAATCTAACGAAACTTGAAAAATTAAAGGAAACAGTGTTTAAATGCTGCTATTTTATCAATTGATCAATGAGCTACTAAAAATGCTGAACTTGTAAGTAAGCCCGTAGCGAAGGCATTAATACTGTACAATGTTCTTGAGAATGATTTTAGAACCTTAGGCATGGTTAAAAACAAATTTAGAGGTAGAATGGTATATTTTTTTAAAGGTTTGATACCAGTGGTTTTCAATGCATTATTTTTTAATGCAATTAGTCTATCAACAGTTTTTTTGAAAGGGCTAGAGACACTAGACTATAACAACTATGTAACACATCATGTAAAATATAAATCTCTTTAATTCATGTGCAAGCCCGACCTCACTGCTATCATCGTCCCACGTATGTTGTGAAAATCCATTCCTACCATCTTCGTCGTCGATACTGCATTTCTTGCGGAGAAGATCCATCACATTTACCAGCATGCAGTTGAGGTTGATGAGTTGGTAATCGGTTCCTGAATAGAACAAAGATGAAGAGAGAGAGAGAGAGAGAGAGAGAGAGAGAGAGAGAGAGTGGGGAAAGAATTACTACATACTTTTTCGTTCTATCGGAAAGCCTAAATGAGAATAGAGGTCTAGAGTCTAGTCTATATTATAACTTCAAATCATTGACATTTACACTTTTTAGTCTCACTTTCTTTTAAACGAATAAACATTCAAATCAAAAATTTGAGTAAAAAGAATATAAAATTCAATAGGGCCTACCAAAATTAAAAATTCTGATTACAAAATTAAGTTTAGATCTAGACTAGGCTATAATAAACCTACATAATTATAGGTGGGTTAGTCAATATTTGTCTTCCTCACCCACTGGCGTACCTATGGGGGGGCAGGGGGGGCAGAGTGCCCCCCCCCCCCCCCCCTGACGGGCTCCAGGGGAAAAAATAAAAAGGGGAAAGAAAAGAAAAGAAAGGAAAAGGAAAGAAAAAGAAAAAAGGAAAAGGGAAGAAAAAAGGAAAGAAAGAGAAAAAAGGAAAAAAAAGGAAAGAAAAAAGGAAGAAGAAGAGAAAAGGAAGAAAAAGTGAAAAGAAAAGGAAAGGAATAAAAATGGGGAAATTAAAAAAAAAAAAAAGACCATGGTCGTACGCACCGGGGGGGGGGGGGGGGCATTTGACCCCAGATATTTTGAAAACGTACAGTTTTTTTCCTGAAAATGTAGTATAGGCCTATACCAAATCCTTCAATTCTACTTTTGAAAATGCAAAAGTACCCTCATGACCAGTTCGGTCGCTCGAACTCCCTTCACTCCTTTTGCTTTTGAGATTCTTCGAAAACTTTTAACGCATCTTTCCCCCTCCCCCACCAGAAAAATATTCCGCATACGGCCCTGAAAAATTAAAACAAATGAAAATAGGAAAATATAAGTGATATAACAAATTTGAAACTCTTCGCTGGCGCGAACTGCTTGCTAGCCTATTTTGTATTAAATGTTTTCACTTGCTTGTCCCCCTGAAAAAAAGAAAAGGATTAGTATTGCCTAGAATACAATTGTGCCTGCCCTGACGGTCCCCGACCTGCAACCATGGCAACAATAACACACAATATATGTACCAAATGTTACTAAAAGAGACTAATTCATTTTTCTCGCTCGCTACACTCGCTCGCGAATAAAATGAATAGACATTGCTTTGGAAACAATTGTGCCCACCCTTGACCTGCAATAATATCATTAAAAATGGAAGAGTTTTTTCGCCCTCTCGCCAAAAAGGAATTGAATCGCGTTTAACGCGATTGGGTCCATCCTGACCTGCACCAATAAAAACAAGTTTATTTATTAATTTCTATTAAAAGAGAATTTATTTTTTTTGCTTGCTCGCTATGCTCACTCGCCAAAATGGAATTGACACTGCTAACGTGCCCGCCCCAACCTGCAACAACTAGTTAATAATTATGTACCAAACGTTATTCAAAGAAGTTTTGGTGTGCTCGTGCTCGCCAAAACGGAATTAACATCACCTTATTAGACATGATTGTGTAAGCCCTGCCCTGCAACAAAAAAATCTGAAATTTATAAACCAATTATCATTACAAAAATTTTGCTCGCTCGCTCGCCAAAATAGAAATAACACCGCTTTTAATGATCACGTCCCTGACATGGAACAATGAACCCAAGTTTATATACCATATTTTCCCTATAAAAGAGAAGTGATTTTTTTTTGGTCGCTCGCTACGCTCGCTCGCCAAAATAGAAATAACACCGCTTTTAATAATCACGTCCCTGACATGGAACAATGAACCCAAGTTTATATACCATATTTTCCCTATAAAAGAGAAGTGAATTTTTGTGCTCGCTCGCTACGCTCGCTCACCAAAATAGAAATAACACTGCTTTTAATAATCACGTCCCTGACATGGAACAATGAACCCAAGTTTTATGTACCATTATTTTCCCTATAAAAGAAAAGTGATTTTTTTTTTCGCTCGCTACGCTCGCTAGCTCGTGGAATTATGTGCCCACCACTAACCTGCTACACTATCATTAAAAAGAGAAATGTAGGGGGTTGCCTGCCCGCCAAAATGGGATCGACATTGCCTTTAACACGATTGTGCCCGCCCCCTACCTGCAACCATGAAACAAATTTTATATAGCAATTCATTGAGATAAAGATGTATTTTCGCTTGCTAGCTAAAATGGGTATAAAATCACCCTAAACACAATATTGTTCCCGCGCCCTGCATGGGACAATTGAACCAAGTTTAAGTGGCAATTATTAAAAAAGAAGTGATTTTTTTCTTGCTCGCTACACTTGTTTGCAAAAAAATGAAATTAACGTCGCTAACAAGTGAATGTTCCCACCCCCAACTTGCAACAATACCAGTTTATATACCAAACGTTACTTAAAGATTTTTTTTGCCCGCTCGCTCGCCAGAAGTGAAAATTAGCATCGCCTTTTTTGTTTGTTTCGGTCGCTTGCCCCCCCCCCCCCCTGACGGAGTACCCCAGGTACGCCACTGTCCTCACCTCATATCCAGAGCTACATACATCAGCAGAAGAGACCACACACTCAAGCTCTCTGTTCCTGAGGCAACAATAGACTCCTACAAGTACTCGTTTTACCCCCGCACCATTCGCATCTATAATCAACTACCACTACCAGCCACTGCAGTTACTGCACCAACACAACAGTTGCTGCTTTCCAGATGACCGCCCTCACTGTCATCAAACTTGGAACCTCCTGTAGGTTCCCGTTCCAGAATGCTGTAAACCATTTAGCAGCATTACTTTTTACTTGCACGTCACTGTTTTACTGTATAAAGAAATTGTACACCCTTTTGTTGTCTGCACCTTCGCCTGCTGTCACAACACATCCCATCCCAGTAGGCCTATAGCTTGGAAAAGCTGCTTCAGGGATTACCTCCTCAAATATTTTTAAAAAAAAAAAGTTACTATAGGGCCTACAGGGACACGGGGGGGGGGGCGGCAGTTTCTTCCAATCCGATAGTGAACGACATGTGGGAAAGTAAATACATGTTGCTTAGTAGATCTAGGCCTTATTAACTACACAATTTTCCATGGATATTTATTTGTTAAGGTGAAGGCCTATGGCTCGATCTATGTGAAAAATTGCAAACGGCAATGGCATTCGCAACAAACATCCTTTAGGTCTAATGCTCGCCGACAAACAACCGTACTCTACAAATCAATTTAACAATCAACTTACCACCGAGCCAAACACTCGCAAACATGGCTGAGGAATCACTCCAAACTTTTAAAGTATTCAAAATGTGATATGAAATATGAATAGATCTAGATCTAGTTCGAATTTATGCATTACGGTAACAAAGGAAAGATGGGGAATATAGCCGCCGCGCCCACGTGTATATATCTGTCATCCCAGCGCGCAAAAATTAAGCGCGTGAATTATTAAAACCAGCCACAGTTACGCGCAACTCTTTTTCGTTGGTTTCTGTCTTTCCTTCCCCCCCCCCCCCCCCCTCTCTCTCTCTCTCTCTCTCTTCTTCTTATTCTTCTTCTTCTCGTACTCTCTCTCTCTCTGTCTTTAGATTTTTTTTTCATGGGGATGGTGACGTCAATTTTTTTAGCACGTGCACCCAAAATAAAAACGTTTCATTTCATTCCCTTAAATGCAATTGCCATGAATTCACCAGCTCTATGCGGCATGCAACCTAAACGTCTGCGTCGTCTTATTTTGAGCAGAAAGTAATGGATTCCATGACATTTGCTCCGGCGACAATTGCTCCGCTGTAAATTTCATACACTAATCGAATGGCTAACTTCAACCCTGGATTCAACACTATACCCTACCCTAAACCTAACCCTAAACCTAACATAAAACCCTATTGAAACCCTAACCCTAACCCTACATCTTAGACGAAATAAAGCCCGGAGCAATTGTCGCAGGAGCAAATGTCGTGTCACCAGTAATGACGTCGAGCGCGTAGATAACTGTGACGTCAAACTATGCGCACCTTATATAAATACTTGCGCAGAAACAGGTTACTACAGCAACGCATCTCTCAGCAAGGATGCTAGCACTAGCAGCAAAGAAACTAGATACCCAAAACTGCCTATTAATCGAGCTTGATTTACAGCTTTAAAAATGCCATTGCAGAATCCATTTTCGCCGTCACGGATTCGACGCCGTTTAAGTCGCGAAACCCTGGACAGTGATAAAACTTCGCCGGAGAGAAGCGGTAAATTTGGATGTCGAAGTGCTGCATTCCAGCTGGATGATGAAGCATCACCGAGCAAGGAAAACAGACCGTCTCCATCGCGATCCAAGAAACGGTCAAACCGGGTGGAGGATCAGAAGGGCTTTTCCTCTCCTACTCGCAATAGGTAGGGCTAAGTAGGGTGGCAATGATTTAAATATGGATGTTTTAATTTATAGCATAGGCTCAAAGAATCAACTATAAACAGGACGGGGGAGGGGTGTGTGAGTGTCCGGACACCTTACAAAACATGTGACGGGGTTGGGTATCCGGACACTTAACAAACATAAAGACTTCTCCTTTGCCTTCGGATTCAACTAAAAATATTCAACAAACAGCATGAATAGGTCTACTTGTCCTTTATAATACTGCACAATAAGTTATAAATGTTAGAAGATTATTGAAATTTACTTGTTGTAGGCCTAGACCTAACTGTAGGCTAGTTATAAACTTCTTTAAAATTGCTGTTTTAAATCAAGCGGACGTACAACGTCTGGGTAGACTAGATAGTTTATTCCTCAGCACTACATCCTGACTTAAGGATCCTGCTGAGTATCGTCGTAGAAGTAGAAGTAGACACTTTTGCCTTGGATTTTTCATCAAGAAGTACCGTGGTATGACCATAGTTCGCGCATCTTCTTAATTCGCGGACAGTTCCCGTCTGTCAAACAGGTGGTAATATTTAGAAAACTGATGATATCACCAATGAAAAGAGGAATTTAAAGTTTCCCTAGTTGACGTAATTTTCTTTCAAATTGGGTAAGAAATTATGAAAAAATGGACCAAAGGTCGCCAAATCTTGTAGGCGAAATGACTAGAGTCTATATGCTCCTAGACTATAGACTATGATTAGATCTAATTACAAATATTTATGGTTAGGTGGTGAGTTCTCTTTGCTGCATATGTTTCGATAAATTCCAATGCAAAGGTGACAGCTTTAAATCTAAGCGTCCGTAGCCTTCACCACCCTCTCCCCTCTCTAAAAATCATTGTCTCGAGGGTTACAAGTATCTAAGGTAGATTTAGACTTGTTGGTCATCCGCGTTTAGGATGAAGCTGACGATGCTTTTAGAAACGACAGTCATGGTGTTAATTATGGTGATGTAAGTGATAATGTTGCATGATGAAGTCTGTGGTGTACTTGTGACGACTGACTGATGATATTGAGGATGACGATGGTGGTGACGGTGATAATTATGAAAGGGTCTATCACGGTTACTTACAGTGATAATAAAAATAAGGCATGAGAGTCGGCATTGTAATGAAGTTAGTGATTTTGAAGATGACGATATTAAATCTCCTGATAATGATGATGATAAAAGTGATGAAAAAGGCATTAAAACCCAAATTACTAATTCGCTTGCTAGGCCTTGATTAAGTTTTGTGACCAAGTGAAAATCTCTCAAGTTGGAGTAAATCATTGTGGCCAAGACACAATCCCCACGAAATACGAATCAAGATACCATTAAAGCTATTGTCTTCAACTTCTTCTTCTACTTCTTTTTCTTTTTGATTTCCTCTGCTTGGCGGAGAACTTTGCGCGGGCACATGTTATCGAGAAAACGGTAGCACTGTCAGGAAAAGTCTTTAGATAAGAAACACGAGAAGAATGAAATACGGAAGTAAAGTGTAAAGAGATCTTGTGATAAAACTGCAGAATGACTCGGCCAATGTCAGAATCAGCCCTACTCCCCATCCAGCTATGACCGATTAAACAAAATCTTCCTTTTGTCCACACCTTTCTCATCAGCTACACACTTCCAAAATCAAGCGAGAGAAGAAAAGACACTCCCACTGGAACCCTTCAATCATCGCCTCGTTGCGACGCTCGTGAGGTCGCCGCCGTCGTTTCGCCGGCCTTGCCGTACAGCAAAGACTTTGGCAGCTTCGACCTGACTCTGTGCGAGGCCGATGACGGTCGATGTGTCGTGCTCGTCGAATACGAGGACAGGGTCTTCCTCAACGGGAAACAGGTACAAAGGACTTTAAGCGGGGACTTTAAATAGTCTACATTAAAAACAATACCAAAGTATTAGGCAGTCATGGCTCCAAACCTATGTGGGACCGAGTCGCGAATTCTCTGCGGCACTGCTTCATAATGAACACAAACAAATCAATGGAAGCAGGATTTATTTCACTCACATTAATTTTGCTAGTTTACCTGATTCAGAGACTTAAAAAAAAAAAAAAAATTAAATGATAAATTTACTCTCTTTGTGTACGATCTAGTCCCCCCCCCCCCCCCACATAACTGAGCTAATACACACAGAACCTGTAGTGAACAATAATAAACAAAAAGCTAAAATGCATGGTATAGGTAACAATTTAATAAACAAAAAGTTATAATGCATTGTTACAAGGTTACTTCTAGTAACTTGTACATATCAGGCTCGTTTTATTACGTCTACAACAAAGTTTGTATTTAAAAAAAATTCTACTTCTTCTTTTCTTCCTTTATGACTGGCTTTTTTTGAAAATTTCCTGCCGTCGAATAATATTGTCCGACAATCTTCCTCTCACTTCTTATCAAAATATTGTGGCGCCGTTCTCTCTCTCTCTCTCTCTCTCTCCTTCTCTTCTCTATCTCCTTCTCTCTATATATCTGTCCCTCTTTCTCTCTATACATGTACCTCTTTTCTATTTTACATCTCTCCTCACTCCTCCATCCCTCCCCCTCTCTCTCTCTCTCTCTCTCTTATTACAGTAATCGCTAAAAACCTTTCTCCTATTTTAATAAATTTACCCTTTCTCTCCCTGTTCCATCAGTATTTTTTTTATACAATATATGTCCTTATCGTTTTCTTCACTTTTGATTTATTGTCATAGTTTATAGTCATAAATAGAAGTTTCAAGTATCATCCATTATGAAGCCGCATGTGTTGATTATTACCCTCGTCTCCACACTGCTAGATCTACATCACGCTCGATGGCACAGTCACAGACAGGGACGGCATTCCAGACGATGTTCTTCAACGTAGTTACGATTGCGTGCTTCAGGAAAAACGACGCTCGCGCAAAACAGCTAGGGGCACATCCACCAAGAAAGACAACAATGGCGGTCAAAGAAGGTGAGGCAATATTCGAATACTTGTATCATAAATTGAACTTCAACGCTCGTTTATATATCCCAACCCCCCCCCGATTATATTTACCCCATAATTGGATATTGCCAAAATCCCGCCGCCCCTCCCAGATTCGCTCAGGGGGGAAGAATGGAAAAGTAGGAGGGGAGGGGAGGGGTGGGCATCATCTTCCCCTGATGTCTCTATTCGGTGTATGAGAACCTTTCCCCGGTGGAAGGGGGCAGCCTTTCGGCCCCTGTGTTTGCCTGTGATTTAAAGGAATCGTGAAGTCCCATCTTTCGGCTTGAAGTAAAGAGAGAAGAACTTCTACCTGCCTTCAGTTGATAAATATTGTTGAGCCGAAATAAATTGATATTTACAGATCATTGCTCACCTCAGTATTGATTAATCATAGTCAAAGAAGGGTGATCCCTCATTATTTAATTCGTTGAGAGAGACTTTTCTTTCGTGCGTGATTGGAAAATGCAGCTCTTGGGGAGTATGTTGCAATTGAAAAAGTCAAGACTTGAAAATGAAATGAAGCATTTCTAATAGACCCGAATAGACATCATTGATTAAGTTAAGTTATTGCATTTTACTCACACAAATGGACCCCTAAGAATCATGTGCGATTTCCAATATCTAATTATGTTTGATAAACGTTCGGTGGTTGTATAATATTTCACGTTAGAATTTCCATTTAATTCATTCCTCATTACTATTCCTCTAGGGGAAAAGCTCGGAGTATTTGCAGAGACGATGAACCTGACATAGCACCAAGTCGCATGTCTCGAGCCAAAAAGCATGCCGCTCGTAATGATGACAGGTAAGACATGTTATCAAGTTCTAGAATGTTATGTCTCGCTCGTGTTCACGAATGTCTTGCCTCATACGCATTTTGTAAATGTTGGCAGTTATGAATACGACGAGTCTGATGACATAGAACGGGCGGGGTCAGCAACTTGCTTGGTCGGTCTTTGACACGCCCTGTCGGGGTCAACGTACCAAACGTGATACAAAAACAAACTTCATAGGTAATGTCTTGATTTGCCTCCACTGCATTGTAAAGCCCGGCGCATATTACTCGATATTCCTAGGGTGAATATATCATATGGAAATCTAAACAACCATTATCCTCCTGATTTAGGTTCTAAATAATGATAAGAATACTAACAATCGGAATGTTATGTTATGTTGTCAGAATAAAAGCCGAATCGACTTTAAATCGTAGTCAAACGCAGTACTGAATAACGTAACTACGATTCTGACCAATTTAAGCATTTTCCCATCCATGGAATCCCTTGGAATTCAGATTCGCCTTAATCATAATACTATTCAGATCCTCGGTCACTAAGATTTTACATGTATGAATGTTCATATAAAATGCTAACGCGGTATCTAACATAATCGTATCGAAGTCAGCCATTGTTCGTTTTGTTTTTCTTTCTTTCTGCCTGTTCTTCTTGGATCATCCAGACCCGACATTCTCACAGAGATGGCCGACATCGAAGGATCATTCAGTGACATCATTGCCCGGCTGTGTGAGGCTATCCTCAAGCAGAGCAAACGTCGTAAAAACAGGAGACAACCTGGTGATCAACAAGACGGTCATTCTTACGAAAAGATCTCAAGCCATGTCAATGCCACTCTGGACCGCCTCATCGATCAGTTCCAATCGGTGGTCGAGCTCAGCGCAAGCATCGACGAGGACGGTGACGAGGCGAGGAACGTCGATGTCGATGACGAGGCAATGATTGAAAAGTGGGTGGCAGAGGCCTTCAAGGATAAGGATGGTGAGAAGAAGGACAAGCAGAATGATAAGCCAAAGAAGGAGGATGGCCAGACTGCCAAATCCACAAGAAAGGCATCAGGTTTGCGCACCGTGGGGACCCAGATCAAAGAAAGGCGTGTAGAGAAGAGGGATAAAGGAGGACAAACAGAGCTCATAAAAGAGTTGGTGGAGAAGTTTGACAGGAGTGAACAGACGGAGAAGCGATTTACTGGCATGACTGTGGAGGAGAAGCTGCTCAGGGAGCTACGGGACGAGAATCGTCTGCTCCAGGGAGAGATCTTCGCCTTGGAATCGGAAATGCGTGAAATGCAGGAGCAGCAGCAGGAGCTGGAAAAGCGATTCGAAGAGGAGACGGCCGCAAAGCTGGCAGTGATGAAAGAGCTTGCCGAAATAGTCGGTAGTAAAACCAAAAATCGGGACGGGTCGACTAACACTGTGAACAGAATCGGTGACAATATCGAAGAAGAGCTCGTCGGCACAAGGAAAAATGAAGCAACATCGACAACTTTCATTGCAAAGTGCACGATCAGTTCAACAAGCATCAATAGCCTATCGAGCGTCACTAGCAGCGAGTCAGAAACTGCAATTGTTGAGGAGGCCAACGAACCTGGAGTTGGCATGCGACAGAGGAGCCGTGCTCTGAAATCCGAGATTGGGAGACTGAGGAATGTGTACTCAGACGTAGAAGAACAGATTTCCAAATTAGCAGAAGAAAACACCAACCTTCGACTTCACATGGGGAAGCTGAATCGGGAGGCAAAAGATACGAAGAATCACATGGAGCAAACAGACCTTGCTTGTGAAGAGTACAGACGAGAAATAAAAAATCTTGATAAAGTGAATGCACTATTGGAGAAGAAGCTGGCAGAAATGAGCAAAGAAAAGCTGTTTGTCGGAGAGAAACTGGATGCAGCGAATGATGAGTTGACCAAACTTGACGTAGATCGCCGGAGAGCCGAGAGGGAGCTTGCAGAAGTGCATAAGAAACTGGAAAATTTGACGAGAGAGAAGCAAAGGTTGAGTGAGGAGTTTGGAAAACTGGAGAAGTCTCACTTGGAAGTGAGCACCAAATCAGCAAAGTTATCGAAAATCAGTGCTGAAAGTGAGGTGCAACTGGGGGTCCTACGAGGGCAGATCGGAGATATGACCATCGAGACGAATCAACTCTGCGGCGAAAATCAGGCAAATTCAGATGCCAGGCAGAGGGCGGAACGCGAGAACCGAAAGATGGAGTCTGAACTCAAAGCAACTCGCAGGATGAACGGGGAACTCTCTGGTGAAGTGCTTCAGATCAGATCAAAGATAGGTGCCCTAGAAGACGCTGTACGCCATCTGGAATCGGACAACGCCCAACTCATGCAGAAGAATGTGCACCTGGAAGCTGGCAAAGAAGCATTCGCGAAGCGGGCGTCCGACGCGGAAGCTAGCAACCAAATGATATCCGCAAGTCTTAAGGATTACGAAGCAGAGCTGTACAGGATCAAGAGGGAGAACTTTGAGTTGCGGACAACGGTGGAACAGATGAACATGATCAACACAAGCATTCGATCACGATTGGACAATTGGGGCAAAGACAGCGTGGATATCGGGAAGAGAATGAAGCAAATAGTCGGAGTCAAAACAGAGCTCCAGAGCTTCATCCAGCAGCTGAACTCGGTCAACACGAACATCGAGGAACGTTTCGAAAAGATGGACTCTGAATACGCCGACCTGGAGCGCAAGTTACAGGTAGTGGGCAAGGACGACAAAGGTGCGGAGGAGGCCGGCGATGTATGTGGAGCCCAAGGCCGCAAGAGTTCACTCGTTTTGCTAGAAATTGACTGAGTAGAAAATCAGACTTGCTATATGTGGGGTAATAAATTTACAAGTTCATTTGAACTTGAGTTACAGAGAATCTTCCAACTAATATGATTATTCGTTTCAGCCTGGGTCGACCGAAAGGCACGCTTTCGACTGAGAGTTATCTACCCATCAAGGGGCTCAATTTGTGTTCATGCTTTTGTATCTATTGCTGTAAGGCTCCATATTTTCCTGTTTCACAAACATCAAGGAAGACGAAAAGGTCAAATTAATTCCCTGAATAAAAAAAGCATGAACTTACTTCAATGATAAAATCCCATGCATGCCAGTTCGAAATCGTTGCAGATCCCAAAATGAGTATAATGAAACGGCATTTTTTCCGGTCTGCAGCACCTTTATACTCATATTCATTTGCCGATTTGACAGCAGTTTTATCTTATTATCATTCTCATTATTTTTCTCATTCATCTCATTTTCTCATTAATATCCTTACAGATAATCATTGTGTGCCTGTAAAGCCATAGTTTTGTTTTATTTTATTGAAGAAAAAAGTTTGTTGAACATGCACATTGTTTTCAAAGATTGTGTTCATTTCCTACTAGTTCTGCTTAGAAATCTCCAACTCTACATTTTACATTTTGTATTCACGATTGGCCGTTGTTATTCTTTCTCCTCAAGCAAGTGTTGCCATGAGGGGGGGGGGGCGTTTCATGAAACAATTAGTCGGTGGTTTTCACCGACTAATATCACTTTCACCAACAATTTCATTGTCACCGACTATTTTCCAGGCCTCTGATTAGTCAAATTTAGTCAGCGCTTACAATGGTCGGTCGTCAAATATTGACGAAACGCCCCTCCCCCCTTTCCTGGACACTTGCTTTTCTGTTCCTGCTTTTAACGTTTTACGATCTCAGATATGAAAAGGTAAACCGCAGCTTCTTTTTCCTTTAAAAAAAAAAAACGTAAACGTATACAAAAATAGCCACTGTTCGCAACAAAGGTCTTACGAATATTCACTAAGCTCTGTGTTTATAAGATAAAGAAATGTTGTGTGAATCTCACTTTTGTAATTATTAAAAACGAGTCTCTATCGGTCGTGCTGAACTTTAAATAGAACAATAATAATTGAGGCAACTTGACCTAAATAGGAAGCTCATTTTAATAGATCAAGCAATGAGGACGGTGAAAATTTTACAAAATCAGACAAATTGACAGTGACCAATTCTTATAAGTTGAAATTATTAATTACAAGTATATCTGAAATCGGTAAGTTTGTCGTGCCGACGACCATTAATGTAGGACCACTCTCCAACCAGATTATTTGCCCAAAATAACTGAAGTTACATTTTTACAGTTACAATATCCAGCAAACTTTAAATTCATTTGAAGGACATTTTATAGTGATTGAGCAAAACGCTGTTCCAAATACACCTTGAGTAGGTGAGGTGGAGCGTTTAGAGAAAATATCACGACAAACTTGCAAATTTCAGACGATTCCCATACATTTACAGATCTCAAGGATTATAAGCAGTTTATTTTGGCATCGTCGGATTTATTCTTTCAAAACGTTCATCCATCTATAGCTCGTACATAAGAGCACGGGACTTTTTGTAACCTGATTCAAAGGATTTGTTTTTTAATGAAGAAAGCACTCAGAAAATATTTCCAATCTTAAGAACATTTATTCATTAAAAAAAACATGCATTTTCATTGAGTCTCAAGGATCAGCATCTTGCACATGGCTTGGAAAAGGTGCTACAACCCAGTTATCAATATCATCACCATCATCATCACCAGCATCATCAATCATCATCATTATCAGTGTGTTTAATAGCAAATTTTAAAAAATGGGGCGACCAGTTTTGACAAATGTTATAAATCCCGAGGATATCTTTGTTCCTCTTTTGTTTTGTACAGTAATTACATATCCTTATCATATTATGTTTTTAAATCATTTGAGAATTAATTTTATCTCCAGTGTTCCTATGATACTTTGCATCAGATTTGGTGTTATTATATGACCTAAAATGAATCATAACTTCGACCTAACCAAGAACTTATCATTGCACTATGGTAACACGTATAAACTCTACGGCAAAGACTGGGCTGCCTCGACCATGTTGGTAAGCTTTGCTCGGAGAATGTCCTTGGGTAGGAACCCAGACCGCAGTCCGGTGCCACGATAAGATGATCAGCGGCCGGTAGATGCTTCAGGACATCCCGTAGTCGTGATCGTATCTCTTCCACGGTCTCGACACGACTTCGGGCGACGGCTACGGAACCGAGGACGACCTTGGTCTTCTTAAAGTGATCGAATAGGGATAGGTCGTTCCGGCGGTGTGCGTCTTCAAGAGAAACTGTTAAATTGTAGTAAAATGTATTTTAAAAAATGTTTTTAGCTTGAAGAGCTATGTATGTCTTAAGTTTTGCTCAGATATAACAAGGTAAACCCCTCCCACCCACCCGTCCCAAGTTCGAAGAAGAAGAAAAACCGCCGCGGGTTTTTAACTTGTAAAATGAATGATAACTGCACTCAACAAAAGTCCTACGCATGTTCACGGGGCTCTATGGTATGCAATTCTAAAATATCCTGAAATATCTCTGTCTATGCCAAAACGACACCAAAGCCATCTGTTCTAGGCCATTCAGGGAAACGCCGTCATTCTTCGTTCAATAGGTTGTCTATATTGCGACGGTCTTGTCGATGTGATGGTTAATAAATGGGCTTACGTGCGGCGACGAAATAATAATACGAAATTATATGAAAATATCACGTTTCTTTTTACGGAGAGCCTCTACACTGATAAGAACATCGATTCCATTGTCATCATTGCACTAAAAAAAAAACTTTAAAAAACATGTATAACATTAAACATGCTGCACATAACAAAGATAACCATTCACGTGAACTAAGAATAAAGTAGGATTGATCACGATTTTCTATATTTCTTTGAAATGATTAAACTTTAGGAAACTTACTCTCGTCGAATCCTGCCTGGTCTAATTTATCTGCGAGCACAAAGTAGGCATCTTTGTCGGCTTTAGGGTAATCAGTTTGATCCTATGAAGGAAAACAAAACAAAAAATTAACAATCCAATACCAATGTTATCCCAAAAAATAATTGGACATACAACAGATTTGTACAGTTGATTGAAAGTTGATTTTACATGATGTTACAGGGCCCTGCATGGGACCCATTTCACAAAGCCTTCTTTCAATGACAACTGCCAAAAATCAATGACAAATCTGCTGATAATCAATCAGAAGCAAGGATTTCAGTAGCTTATAACAACGACTGTCATTCGTCACTGATGACAAGTTTTGTGAAACGGTCCCAGGATACACCTTTTACGCAAGATTCCCTAGTAGATTTACCATCGGGAGCACCCCCCCCCCCCCAGCCCGCTGGGAGAAACGTCATCTAAGCAAAACACTATTAAAGGGTTCACACGGGACAATCATTTGAGTATTCAAAGTTTCAGAAGACAAGCCGGGAAAAAAAAAATCATTTTACCTACATGTTAGCGTAACATCGAAGTTAATTATTCAGTCCGCAAATTATGTAGTGAGGACCCCGCTGCCAAGTATGCTTTTGTTTATAACTTCGACAATAAACTTCAAACTTCGTATCCCCGAGTGCGTCCACACGGTCCTTATCTACGACCTAAGTTGAAAACCATGACCTAAACTTAAATTGATTGGGCTGTCGTGTTAACCAATCGACTCACCAGATAAAGTGGATAGCCACAGCAAAGATGGACGGTTTTGGTGACGTCTGTGCCGACACCGTCAAAGCATTGTGACGCATGTTCGATGCCGTAGTCGAGCGCGACGTCGGGGTCTCGAACCATGACCGGCTCGTCCAACTGGATATGACGGCATCCTGAGAAGGAAGGAACGGAGAGAGAAAGAGAGAGAGACGGTGAGAGAGAGAGAGGGAGATATAGAGAGGGGAGAGAGAGAGTGAGAGAGAGAGTGGAGAGAGGGATGCATATGGAAAGAAGGAATTGATTGATTGAACATGATCGCAACTATTTTTGAAAATTTCAATAATTTCAATAATGTCTAATACAAATCCTCTTCGGGTCTCGTAACAGCGCATCATTAGGGACTTTTAGATTTGCGTGGACTGATACGTGTGACGTCCATTCAAGGCAGTGCATTAAAAGGACGTCGATCGTAGCAATCCACGTTGTCGTTGTGCAAATCTAAACGTCCCTAATGTCATGTTCGCACAGTCGATATTCAGTAGGTGACGCACAAGGCTATTTAAATTGTTTTAGGTATTTTTCGAAAGCAGTTTCGATCGTGTTCAAGGAACGTTTCACAAATTGATAACATCATCAACGAGGACAAGATAGAAGGGAGGAATGAGCAAAGAAAGAGAGAGAGGGATCGAGGGCATACAAGAAATTGATTCATTGATTGTTTGATTCACTGATTCATCATTGATTCATTTAAATTCACATTTAACAACTTCTCATTCCCAAGCTGTTAGGCTCGGCCCCTATTAAATATCAAATAGCACTAACCATCATGAAAATGGATCTTTTATTATATTATTCAACATATTTAAGATAAACTCCAGGTCTGGTAAAAAAAAAAAAAAAAAAAAAAAAAAAAAAAAAAAATTCTCACAGAATCAAACGAAACTTACACTGAATGTTCAAGATTACAAATAAATGAAATGTGCCAAACAATTTTGGAAGAAAATGTATACTGGCTGAGTACTGAGCATAAAAAGACAAGGAAATCAAGGTAGTACTAGCCCCGACACCCTGTGTGTTGTCCCATATATAGCTTTATGTGTACAGTGCTTGTTACTTTACCAAGACTCGGCCCAATGTATTATGATTTTGATGACACGATCCAGAACCTTGCAGTGCACACCAATACTTACATGCTACATGATCAACTGTTTCTGATCCATTCTACACCTTTACTTTCACAATGCAATCGCATTTCCAGAACTCACCTTCATCTTTAAGTCGAATAAGATTCATGAAAGACTGCTTGTAAACTTCTTCAATTAACTGTCTTAATTGCCACCCACCCGGCCGGGCCCTACCCCCCTAAACCCCCCCCCCCCCCCAACATAATCGCCAAATTATTCTTACCTGCTTTTGCTAAATGTCTTATGTGTGCATTGACAACCTTGACCAAGTCAGAGCTGAGCTCTTTCACGTCATCGTAGAAAACATCTGGAATAAAGAAAGATCATCCAATTAATTTGATAATAAAATATGTTCGGCATTTATATAAACGATTGCTGCGTTTGCAACAACCATGACAAACAAATAGAGTGACCCAATATTTTTGATACACTTAATTTAACCATTGAAACTACGGTAATAATAAACAATAGCAATTCACGGAGGGCAATGTTTTCCTCTGAGATAATTGTCAGACTTGAGCCACTCCCTCTTCGGCCAGAAGGGAGCACTCATTTTCCAAACGTTCAAAAATCCGAAACACGAAGTTCTCAAACCATAGGGGTTCATAATTTCGAAAATGAATTAATAGGGATACTAATTCCGGACATTTCGAAGTTTCTCTAGAGATAATTAGGCCTATTATTCATGTTCGTGTTATATTGGTTAAATATCTTGATGATTATGATAAAGATAATGATTATTATTATCATTTAATAATAGTAGTAGTAGTAGTAGTAGTAGTAGTAGTAGTATAGTACTAGAAGTAGTAGTATTTTGGTTGTTTATGTTAGTGTTGTTTATAAACGTTATTACCGTCTCTATTAATATTAATATAAATTATAAGTTCAACTACCTTTGGAATAGCCTGAATTCAATAACAAAGATGTGTATATTGTTGTTTAAATAAATTTTGACTCGGCTTACTCAATCTTTGAACACACAATATTCATAGTTCCTTCCAACAACGACAGCAATAAATTAGAAATGATACATATTATTAATATAAGGCCTTTTATATTTTATAATTATAATTCATTCTCAGCGGCTATACAGAAAATAGCTTATTTTCCTCCGTCAGGCAACCTTTAATAGAAACGACATGTATACCGGTAGTCATTTACCGGTAGACATGTTACCGGAAGTAGACATGTTACCGGAAGTAGACATGTTATCGGAAGTAGACATGTTACCGGAAGTAGACTTACTGGCTGTTGACCCGATAATAGTCATGGGACCGGGAACGGTGACCTTGACCGGCTTGTCACAATTGTTCTGCCAACAAAAGGAAAAGAAATTGTGTTTGCGAAGGAGAGGGGGGGGGGGGGAGAAAGAGAGAGGGAGAAATCGGATGCATAACCCATGCAAGCAAGGCATTGTGTATCATACAATAAATAATTATTGGCAGAGTGAAATCAATATTTTTTTGTGTAAAAACAGGCTATTTTCTTGATTGTTTGGTAATTTTTCATTCACACTCGCTCATCTTATATGCATTTTAATTTGTTTTAATGAAAGAATGGAAATACATATAATTGTTGCCAATTCGAGGAGCAAAATCCTATTCAATTTACACATTTACAATAACCTGAACTTCCATGGCAAAGTGATATTGGGCTCTTTTGATTATCCTTTTTTTTTTTCTTTCTCAAAGTAAAGTTTATAATAGCATTTCCCCCAGTGCTTATTTGATTGATTCACTTTTTTGTTCTTCACGATTTACCTGAGCTGATCGCCATTCCTCAGCTATCCAGTCCATTTCATCAGGTATCCCTAAAGAGAAAACGAGAGAATGGGGGATATTTGCACATCAATTTAATGAGCATATTCCATGGAAATCTATTTATCTGTTTTATTTATTTATTTCTGATATTTATACAGGCTGGCACATATCACCGGTATTGGCGGTATTCTATGAGGCCCTGTTCGGTAAGAATAAAACAAATAACAACAGCAAAAACAAAATATATAAATACACAAGCATATAAACAGGTAAAATAATTACAAGTTAATTGGTATCCTCATGAAATCATGATCATTCAAGAATTATCCTTGATCATTTACAAGAAATATGTGAATGGAATTTTCGATTGAAATAGAAAATACATTAACAAATGAAAATATAATAAAGAATAGATGATAACCACGTATTTATGCATAGGTATTTCCTTTATTTCACCAACGGCGCATTTCAGTTAGCTATCAATGTCCATCATCGTTTTCAATGGTTTAAAATCAGAATTTATGTTCTTCTTTTTCGTTAATTTGAATGTATTATGTAATCGTTTGAACAAATTGTTTATTTTCTTTAATAGGAAAATTAATGTATTCAATCGTGTAGTCAAACCACACTAATATCAAGATACAAATTTGCGCCGTAAAAACAAAAACAAGAAGGTAGACCAGCAGCGCAGTGCCAACGGTTTTCCTGTTTTCAAAAGATTCTTCATGTTTTCTTTTCGACTTTATACCCGGTTACACCAACGATACCGATCGACACCAGACCGACAAAAGGCCGAGAGCCGAGCGAAATATTAAACTACCCTTAACGGCTAAAACATTGGTCGGAAGGGAATCGATTTGGTAGTGTAACTTGGGTCTGTGGTAGCTTGAAGGGGCACGGGGGGGGGGGGGGGGGGGGGGGGGGGGGGGGAGGGGGACAATAGTACACGGCAGAATGACTACCAGCTTGTGCCTCACCCACATTGATAGGAGAAGAAGTAAAGAGAAAGGACAACGGTAAGAGAGAGCTGGGAGGGAAAACTGCAAATGACAAGAAAAGTAAACGTCTGGACCATTCTTGCACCCTCTCCCAATCAGTATAGCTTTGTAAATTTTCGGAGTAAGAGTAGGAACGGTGCCCCCCCCCCCCCCCCCATTAATCGGCAGTCCTACGCTACGCTAATGACTGAGGTACTACAAGACTCCGGTTGCATTGTGCAGAGGTTCAAAGGTTCGGTTTACATGCACTGATTGTTGAATTCGTGATCAATCTGAGTAAAATTTGTTTGGCCCTAATCAGATAAACGTCTGGAGTTAAAGAGCAATCCATCCTTTGTAATAAGTTCGTTTGTATGAAAGTTATGACAAAAGTGCCTTCTCCCTTGGGGCATTAGTCAACATATATCATGGTAAGTTTATCATTATAGGCGGTCCTCCAAAGAGAATAGGCCTTTCTGAGTCATGCGTTTTTGACAAATTGATATTTTCCCCTTCATGTTGTGTGTTGGAACAATTGGGAAAGTTGTCCGCTACTACATCACATAGACATTAATGATTCAGCCAATTTAAAGATTCCATACTTTTAGTGATTGACTTTCAGAAAGTTATAACTTTCTCATTTGTCCGATTTCGTTCAAACTTTCAAGTCTACTGCTCTGATTTTCTGCAGGCTCTCTTCAAGAGTAGTTTTCCCTTTAAAATATGAACTTTGGTCATGGAGTTACATACTGCCTGGACGCCACTGGCAAATATTGTTTATGCCGGTATTTATGTAGCTAGCAGAGGCCTGCTATAGGAATTGATGTATACTGTGGCTGTCACTGAGGTTTTGACTCCCCCCCCCCCCCCCCCCCCCCCACTCCGGGGTCGGAATTACCGCATGCGTGTTACCAAAATGTACGGTAAAGGGGTACTTTTCACGCACCAAAGTCCGGCTCGTACATACACAAAATTGACTGTACAAACCGGACTTAGGGGGTGTTTTCAAAAGGAGGGAACACGCATATGCGTACCCTAAATAACACTGAGTGTGGTGGGGGGGGGGGGCGGGGGCGGGGATTTTAAAACTACCAAATTAGAAAGTTACTTAGTCTTCCTGAAACTGACATGTACTAAAATGGCTTACACGTGTGGCATGAGCTTTGGTCTCGGCCTTTATCTGTTAATTTATTTTCATGAGTCGAATATGAGAGCAGCTATAGCTGAAGAGCAATCCTTCTCAGGGGACATTTCTTTTGTGATATTCTCTTAAAAATAACATAAAAAGCGCAAGGAAGCTCTGCAAAAAGCATTTTCACCTTAATTAAACCGAACTTTAACATTATCTTTAACTTCCAAAGACAAAGGTGAATGTGCAAACTAAGTATAAATATTATCCGAATGACAATACAAGATCTGCAAATGAACGGAAATTCTGCACAAATTATGTTTTACCTTAACCTGAACGTTAACCTTATCTTTCACTTCCAAGGACAATGGTGACTGTGCGAAAGAGATATTGTATATCAGTACAATATAAGATTTGCAAATGAACAGGAATTATGTTGGGGTAACACTTATCATTTTCTTTCCGTTCCGTTTCAAAACACATGAATGCAAAAACCTTCTTCTGTTATGTGGCGTGAAATCAGAACAATAATAAATTGCTTGCATGGACTTTAACCTTATCTTTAACTTCCAATGACAATGGTGACTGTGCGAAAGGGATATTGTATATCAGTACAATATTAACCGTGCTTGCATTGGGTTTATTGCATTCATTTTCTACATGTGCTTTGTTTAAATTACATGTATTCATAATTGGACAAAAATAGGGGGAAATCTTAAAGTGTTTTAAATTAATCAATTCATTTTCAATTGAAAAATAATAGTTATTCATTTTTTAAATCATTATCATTATTATCTTCTTCTTTTTTTTTTGGGGGGGGGGGCTTGAGAGCTCCCCAAGCCCCCTCTAGAACCGTTACTGCTTGAGAATGTTAGCTTACTTACTTAACTAAATTTACTTACTCATCTTTCCTCGGATAGTAGGTACCTCGGAGACCCAAGCCCCGTTCCGACATGATTTTCTCGTTAAGTTCTCGAAGTCAAAGCCTTTTAAATGCCGACTACATAAGATGGTAGAGAAAGAGGTAGAGGAAAAGAGAGAGAGAGAGAGAGAGATGGAAGGAAATGAGGGGGTGGGCGGTGGAGGACAATAGTGAAAGAAAGGTAGATTAATAAACACGACAGACTGAAAACAGAATGACAGAACAAAACTTCAAATGATATTATAAAAGATTGGAAGAATCACATTCAGTAGTTGTATTTAAACGACCGACTGAGGTATGAACAATATAAAATCCATCTCATTTGAGTTGGAGGTGTGCCAGTGTGGTATATTGTTTCTTTCACTTGACTCTAAATCCTAGGGTTGAGGGTTCAAATCTCAGCCTGGCACTCTTGTCTTTGGCAGGATGTTAAATCTACATCTGCCACTCTCAACCCAGGTGTAAATAGGTTCCTAGCATTAGCTGGGGTTATAATAATTTCAGGGCCCGTAGGAGGAGCAGTATTTATGCTGATGTGGCTGCCTAGGGTAGGTACATAAGGCCTTTAAAAAAAGATGTTGTATTGCCCCTTTAGGTATTAAAACATGGGTCGGTCGGTCGTAATTTTTTTTTTTTTTAAATAGTTTTTTTTATATATTTCACACTCCCTCTTTGGGCTGATATTTCTCAGTTTTGAATGCTTTTATACATTTTTTTCTTCTTAAAAACGGTACAAAAGAAACCCCCAAAAAGCCGACCGTAGATTTCAAGATTTTGGGGTCGGTCGCAGAAGGCAATACAGCATCTTTTTGAAAGGCCGAATACCAACTTATAGTATTATTATCATCATTATAATATTGATCCTACCAGAGATGATTGATATAATTGCCGCGTCGAATCTCGCCGTCAGTCACGACATCGATACCCAATGATGTTTGTTCTGTCAACGTTTCTTTGACTGCCTTGTCGACCAGCGCTTCGTAGTCTAGATATGATGAAAAATATGTACAGGCATTACTTATAATGAACTCCATTGTGCATCAGATGACGCCCTTGCATGACTCTCTTAACCTGATCTTATACCCTAAGCTTCAAAACATCATACGAAAGTAGAAGACTATAATATAATGGAACTTCTGCAGTAATATTGATATTTTAGAAAAACCTTTACAAATAAAATAAAACAATTTGTAATTAAACATGCTTTTCTGTCTACTCATTTAAGGTCTATCCGTTTTCTTTTGCGGTCAGCTTGTTTTGTTTTATGCTCTGCCTCTTTTTCCCTTTTCATCCATTATGATTATATTCAGTACCTTCTATCTTAATTTAAACGTCTCCTGCCTCTTTTTTATAGTACGACGGGAAATTGCACTTACCTCACTGTACTATTTCTTTCACATTGCTGAATGTATTCTCAATATCAACATTCATGTCATTTTATTCTTACCATTTCCTCTCATTCTGACTGATGTTTTTTGTCTTGTTATTTTACAGACTTTTATTTTTTATTTATTGTACAGAATTGTATTTTCCGTGGCAACTACAACCCTAACAAATCTCCAACTGTCAAACATAATATAACCGCACATTGTTATACTACTAAATTGTATTTACAAGCTACGCAAGAAATTTGTAAATTCTGTCCCCTGGACTAGCCCAACCATCCGGACAACTATCCCTGATGAATACGGACACAAAATATATATGACCAGACATCCTAGGAAACCCCTGGAATATTACTCCTTTGAATATTTACCAAGATCAGCAGTCGGATAAAAGTAATCTGATCAACCAGATCTAATCCAAATTGATAGATAACCATTTAGGATAGTTATTTCTTTTTAGGATTTTCTCTCAATTAATTGTCTTAGGATGTTGTTTTCCAAGTGGCTATTATCCTGTGTGGTTTGCCAAGGCGCGGATCCAGAATTTTTTTTTTTTTTTTTTTTTTTTTTTTGGGGGGGGGGGGGGGGTCCTCGAAAATTTGAAAAAACGCACCCCTCCCCCCCTTGAACGCCAGGGGGGGGGCCATCTCCAAAAATAGGTAAAATTAACGTGTTTTTACATTTTTTACGTTTTTTCCCGGGGGCCGGGCCCCCCGGTACTCCCCCCCCCCCCCCCCCTGGATTCGCCACTGGGTTGGCCAGTGTTATACCACAGGCTGGGGGTGATTTTCCAAAGGGAAGATAGTCCAGGTCGCATTGCACCGAGGGAGGTAACATCGGACGGATGATTGTCCAGTGGAACAAACCCTTCTTTTCGTACCTTCTGGTGCTACACCCTTCACAAATTTGTTGAAATCTGCCGGATTATAATCTGCCTGGTTGGTGAACCAGTCTGGGATATTGCAGCAGGCAGATTTGGGGTAACTACCAATTACTGTTGTCCTCAGAGGCATGCTGAAGGTTACTTTACACTTTGGGTGATTTAGCCGTCAACCTATACTGTAAGATTTTTGAGAAATAAGTATGAATTAAAGCCTCCGTGAAGTAAAAAACAGCCTTATAGTCGAGGACTTATAAAAACCGACTGGTCAACTAAACCAAGAGCAACCAGACGGACAAATTAGCTCTCGATCGTACCACGCTCGGTCTCATGGACTTTAGAATTGCGAAAATTTCAGCAGGGTAGTTTTAAGAAGGTCCACGAGACTGAGAGCCACACCATTCCCCTCCCAAAGAAGATGTCTTGTTCAAGAAACATCCAGTCTCGTAAAATATTCGGTTAAACTTACGGTCTCGTAGACCTTCTGCAACGAGAGTACAGACCATTCCAACTTGACCAACCCATACTGGTACCACGGCTTCCTTGCAATATTGTCCTTGGGGTGTGGTTATCCAAGTGGTCATTGTGGTAGCAGTAGAGGTGGTCATTGGACCTGTGTGGTGATCTATGAATGATTGTTCTGCATAGGTTGATGCACCTTCGGATGTCTTAGCTCATGGGGGGGGGGGGGGGGGGTAGTCGTCCCGATTCCGATCTGTAATTTGCCCTACATTCTGGAGATGTACCCTTCGCGAACTTTTTTTAATCTGACGGCTCTAGCTGTCTTGTCGGTACTTCAGGTCGGGACTTTGCAGTACGGTGGTTTCCGGTTACTCCCGATCAAGGTTGTCTTTAAAGCATGGACCTATTATGGATGGACATTCATCGTTTCCTTAACGAATTCATTGTGATTGTCTGCGTCAATGTCGTCTCAATAACATTCCGTACATGTTTCTTCTCTTTGGTCTCATGATGGTCGCCGGCAAAAAGCCGGGACAGAATCAAGATAGTGATTTTACACATGTTAATCTACATGCGCAGAAGATAATTACTCGCCTAAATCATGGAAAATCGATGCGCAGTTCTGGCTTATAATCGGAAATTGTTGTTCCGTGTACTGTATTTTATTTTGAAAAACATGTTGATATTACCAGATAGCGCCAGATAGAGGTTATATTTGGATTGGTTGTGATTTAAAATCACGTTTCCCTCTATTTCCTCATAATATTCCAGAGTTACAAAGCGCAGGGCTTATAAAGATTATGGCCTTCTACCTGTTTGATAAGGTCATGGGTGTGTGCGAAAGTTTGCGAATCAGTAATAATACATTTCATATCACCAAAATCGTCTGCTTTTCAACTTTGCTGCTTCCCATTGGGGATGCTTTCATTTAAGACACACTCTTACAGAGCACATCATCCAAACAAAACCCAAAAGAGGGAAACTGCTCCTTTGTCAATGACCGAAAATGCTTACGCAGTCGTTATTGTTAAAACAGCTGAATGGTCTCATTAAGATGCACATAATCAGAGGGCGGCGACTATCATTGGATCAAAGAAAGAATCACGTTGAATGTCCATTCGTAATAGGTCCATGCTTAAAGGCATGGCGGAGGTCAGTCAATGCTTGCGTTGCTATAACTGGTAAACCTCCTGCAACGTGTTGGGGAAATAAGTTTAAAAGCCTACACGAATAAGGAAACAAACAAGCAAACAAATAAACAAACAAACAACCAAACAAACAAAAAATGTATGGGGTATGGATGAATTCTTACCTTCTTGATTAAAGTTGCTGAAGAACTGTCTGTGGTCAGTGGGAATGTACTTCGGGTTATCGAAAAATGATGGGATTTTGAAATAGTCTGGTTTCGGGTAAGCACCGATGACAGAGGTAAATAGTGGCATGACTAGTGATGGAAGTGAAACTGGACAAAGAAAAATGGTGCAATCGAAATATGAGCATGCGTAGGTGTACACGAGGAATAAAGTAGAGGTGGACGAGCGAAAACTCCACAAGATTAAGAAACCAGAACGAAACGTTTGATATGAGATTGGTACCCTGCACGATTGCACATTTTGGTCACCCCCTTTGAGACCAGGCGCGTATACAGGGGGGGGGGGGTGGGGGTTAAACCCCCCCCCCTGTAGTATTTTTATGTGTGTAAACTCCCCCCACCCCATCACCCCTCTAACCCCCCCCCCCCCCCCCCCCCCCATTGGGATTTTTTTTTTTTTTTTTTTTAACATGATAGGACCTTAACAGCTAGGGCACATTGTGAAATTGACATGGGGGGGGGGCTAGCCTAATACAGGCTCTGTATTAAATAGAGAGATCACAAAAGTATAATTTCACAACTAATGGCTGACCTAAAAAGGTGACCTTACCCCCCCCCCCAACGGAGCCAAATGTCAAATTTTTCAAATTTCGAGACCAAAAAAAAGAAGTGTCCTCTTACCCCCCCCCCCCCCCCCCTTTGAAAAAATCCTGCGTACGCGCCTGTTTGAGACAATCCTGGCCTCACCTCCTTCTGTAATCTCCCTGATTTAACGGGATCGTAAAGACAAAATAAACCTATGACAATTTCAATAGATCTGTGCATTACCATATGAAATGTATGAACATAATAATTACATACAACCAGGGGCGTAGACAACGGGGGGGATGAGGGGGATGCATCCCCCCCACCTCACAAGGTGGGGGGATGGCATGTACAATCATCCCCCCCCCCCCAGGTTTTGGGGAATGATATTTGCTTACTTAATAAGTCATAATGATGATAATAATAGTAATAATAATAATGATAACAATTATAATATTAATAATAATAATAATTATGATGATGATAATAATAATCCTCATCATTATTGTAATTGTGTTTATTGTTATTAGCCGCATTCACACGGTGAAAGCCAATTCAGACGGTAAAAAAAAGAAAATCTTACAAGTATTTTGTGGTTATCTTGTGGTTTGGAAACCACAAGATAACCACAAGATTAAACAGGCGCGGATCTACGGGGGGGGGGGGTTAGGGGGTTTAACCCCTCCCCTTGGGCGGCCCAAAAAAAAAAAAAAAAAAAAGGGAAAAAAAGAAGAAAAAAAAAAAAAAAGAAAGAAAAAAGAACGCACGCTGGAGAGAAACCCTTTCAAGTGCAAATATTGTGAGAAGATATTCAACTCATCTGGTAACTTAACCAAACACATGATAACTCTGGGTATAACTGTGTATTTAACTGTTACTTGATTTAAAAAGACGTTATCATGATGCACTGCTTTTTATGGTCTCCATTGTGTTAATAGATGCCAGGAAAACATCACTTACGGGGTTCAAATAAACACCCTCAAAAAAATCGGCTCGCCGCTTCGCGGCTCGTGGACGATGCTCCGCATCGTCATTATTGGTCAACCCCCCCTTTGCAAAAAGCTAGATCCGCCACTGAGTCATCCCCCCCAGGTGTACGAACCTGTCTACGCCACTGCATACAACATAGGCCTAATCACGGAACATCATTTCACCAGGCAGTACAGTATAAAGTGTACCCAATCTTGGTAGCTCCTAATTAAAATTCATAACCAATATGACATTGCAATCTATTTCATGATGAAGACTAACTTAGTCTCTGTCTAATAACACCCTTGTCATAATTCTTCTGTCACGGGTGACTGAGCACTAGAGTCTTTAAGAGTGTTCCAAGTTTGGGCTGATGGAACGAATGTGGGTCAGGCTATTAATGCATACGTGTGCTTATTAGGTCTTAAATCTTTTTAAAAGTTAAATTTTGCCTCGTTCTTTAGTGCTTTATTGTATAGAAAAAATGATGCAATGTAACTATGCTTTCGCAGAAGCTTGTTTTAATTCATAGGATAACCTTTCATTATTTCGAACAGCCTCCTCTCTCCTCGTGTCATTATATCTTTCTTTCTCTGCTCACTTGAGTTTTCTCTGCTCACTTGGCCGCTGTACCATTTCACACGCGCAATGAGCATAAGGTCAATAAACCCAATTGCACAAAAGAACATTATGATGATAAGTATCAAAGAAATTGAATGTAGACTTTCATTTTAAAAAAGATAACATCCCAAATAAATGTTATCCAATTTGTATCACTCAATGAGAAGGGTTACCTTAAACAAGGGATGCGAACGAATTCAAGATTGTATCCGTCATAACAAAGAAAAACAAATCATAAATTCTGCTTATAATAAGCATTTCTTTGGGTTTGAGTTGATATTTATATACCTTTTCCTTTAAAGTGCCTAAAATCCATGTAAATAAGTGAGCAATTATTTTTGGAATGAGATAACACAAACATTAAGGCTTTGGATCCACATTCATTGCTTCAGCCCAAACTTGGTAAAAGAGGATTTTGACCATACTTTTTGAAAAGCCTCCTGCTCAGTGATCCGGAGAAGCACAATAATGAAAATGGTATGTAATTATAGTCAGGGTTTTATAGTGACCCTTTACCATGAAATATGATTCAAGGTCACGTAGGTCATACATTTTGAATTAGAAGCTACCAAAGTTGGGTAATCCTTTTTGTTGTAGGCAGTGGCGGATCCATGCAGGGAGGGGGCCCGGGAAAAAAGGGGTAAAAACACGTGAATTTTACCTTTATTTGAAGACTGGCCCCCTCCCCTGGTGCTCAAGAGGGGGGGGGGGGGGGTGCGATCTTTAATATTTTGAGGGGCAAAATTATTCATAAAGTATTTTCTCACGAATTGGGCCCCCTCCCCTGCCGCCGGCTGGATCCGCCCCTGGTTGTAGGCACTGTACAATTGGTAATTGAGAATGCCCTTAAAGGTACTATGTCCCATTTGCAGGCCAAAAAGAAAATGAAAAGATTAAATTCCAACGGCATTTAAAAGATAATACTAATTTAGAACTTCCCTAAAAAAAAAAAGGGGGGGGGGGCTTGAAAATGTCTTTAAGTGGGAAAATAACGACTATTAGTTGTCAAATCGACTTATTAAGCTATAGAGCCAGTAAGTAATAGTCTGATTTTCAGACCATTGTACCAAATGTTCGTACGGTTTATGCTGCGCAAAGATTCAATCAGTTTAATTTTGGCCATTAGAATAAGTGGGTTATTGATGTAGACAAATGCTCATGTACCCTTTACAGTTCATTTTATGTATATTATTACCAAAGAAGAAAAGGGCCAGTCAGTCACTCAATAGTGCATGTCTGACAGTGAAGTCTAGCAAGTAAACGGGTTTCCTTGCATAATTTGCATATTGGGACACTGCTAACGTTTATATGCCGTCGATCTACCCGTTAGAAAAGACTTCAACCCCCCCCCCCCCCCCCCCCCCCCTCAGTGTTATTTAGGGTACGCGTATGCATGTCCCCTCCTTTTGAAAACACCGGTGTGTAAAGTCAATACGGGCCATATTTTTGTGTACTACGAGCCGGACTTTGGTGCATGAAAAGTACACCTTTACCGGACATTTTGGGAACACGCATGCAGTCCCTCCGACCCCGAAGTGGGGCGGGACTTCAACAATGAAAGAAGTTTTCACAAATACCAAAGAATTCCAACTTTACAAGGAGACGTAATTGGTGAGGGACCATATCGAATGCCTTCATATTGTCCATATATTATATGGCATATTGTGCCACCCCTGTACAACACTTGTGTATTAAATTTATCAGCACGACCAGCAACAAAGCCGTGCTGATGCGTGGAAATTAAATTATTACTCATTTATAAGGTGATCACACCATTTTTTTTGTTTGGTGCAGATTCTTCTAAAAGCACCAAATTTGGCCCAGAGGTAGATTAAACCATACTTTTACGATTTCTGTCGGACGCCAGTATGATAAAAGTTTATATATTTATGGGGTTTTCGGGGTCAGAGAATCTGATTATTATGTTCTTTTATCGATTTGAGGTCTCCTCGGGTCATACTGGTAATATTGGTCAAATCCAAAATAGCCGCTATCTGAGTTACAGGTCAAGTGTAGTTACGAAAGAAAATGGGCTAGTATGATAAAAGTTTATTTCGAAACTACACATGACCTGTATCTATCAGATGCCGGCCATTTTGAATTTGACCAATATGACCAGTATGGCAGCCCCAAGGAGACCTCAAATCGATGAAAGAACATCATAATCAGATTCTCTGACCCCAGAAACCCTACAACGTATTAGTTCAATCAAGCCCTATAACTGGTCTTCTACAAGAACATAATAACTACCATCCAGTATAGAGGGTATTTATATACGCCCATCAATCAGCACCAGTTTTTTGAAGGGGGGGGGGGGTTAATATTTAAAAATCGCGAAGAAAATTTCGCAACGACTTAGCCAGCCGCTGAAAAAGCGGGGGGAGGGGGGGGGGGGGTAAGAGCACATTTAAAAAAAAAAATTCCCCCGAAAATTTGAAAATTTGGCCAATCGTTATTTCGTTCTGTTTGGGGGGGGGGGGGGGGGGGGGGGGTGGGGGGGGGGGGGGAGAGGCGTAAGGTCACCCTGTTTTGGGTCACCCATTACCACAATTTTTTTCTTTAAAAAAAATTGAGTTCCCCCCCCACCCCCCCCCCCCCCCCCCCCCCCCCCCCCCCCCCCTCCCTTCTGCGTACGCGCCTGATCAGCGCTGCCATCAATATGTCCACAATCCGCAACTAAACTGCCCTGTACACAAGGGTGTCGATTTGTATCCCCGGTTGGGGGATGATAGTTGCCAAAATATTTTCGGCAATGGATCCAAGCAACCAAGAGGTAGAGGCGTGTGGCAGGTTGCACCCCCTCCCTTCCAAGTTTTTAACTTTTTCAAGTCACCCTCAATAAAGATAACATTTTAGAGAATATGGGACCCATGTGGGTCCCACATGCGCTTGCTACCTAGGTTTTTATCCTCTCAAGCATATAGGCAGGATTTTATTTCAGGGGGGACGGTAGTGAGCACCTCCTAGGGGGTTGGTGCAGGGAGGGGAGTCCCCCCCCCCCCCCCTCCCGCGCGAAGCGCGGAAGCTCTGACGTTTCATTAAATTATTCAAGAAAGAAGACGATTCGTTGTACCATTCTCGACTCGTAATCCTTGTCTGAATTCAGTTTCCCCTCCCGCGCGAGGCGCGGAAGCTCTGACGTTTCGTTAGATTAATTAGAGAAAGAAGACGATTCTTTGTAACATTTTCGACTATTAATGCTTGCTGAATTCAGTTCCCCCTTCCCGCGCAAAGCGCGGAAGCTCTGACGTTTCATCAAATTATTCACGAAAGAAGACGATTCGTTGTACCATTCTCGACTCGTAATCCTTGTCTGAATTCAGTTCCCCCCCCCGCGCGAGGCGCGGAAGCTCTGACATTTCATTAAATTATTAAAGAAAGAAGACGATTCGTTGTACCATTCTCGACTCTAAATCCTTGCTGAATTCAGCCCCCCCCCCCCCCCCTGTTCGCGCATCACAATCCATTATATTCATTCATTTTTATTTATGAGGCCTCGACATGCATGTGGACTACACATAATTTCTTGAATCAATTGAAGTAAAGATGATCAGTTTGTTTTGATAATATTATCTATTCAATTTTGACAATTTCAGTGATTCATAAAATCGTGTAAGACATTCTCTGCATATGTTTCGTATGTTTGTAGTGCATTTGTTACGATCAAATGAATGAACGAATAAACTTTAGATTAATACTTATAATAATAATAATAATAATAATAATAATAATAATAATAACATTATTTATAAAGCGCAACATATCTATCTCTAGAGATGCTCAAGTCGCATACAATGATTTAAATTAATATTCAACATATTCAACATAAATTTAACAATATGCATATCGAGCATCAGGTGAGTTTTAAGCCCAGTTTTGACAATAATAATAGGCCCACATTGTAGTAATAATTATAATAATATGACAACGACAAGATCAGCAACAAAAACAACAACAGCATCTTACTTGCTTTTCGTTGGATACAAGTAGATCGGCTTGGCTTTGCATGCACTGTATGTGTACTGAACGAGCTTTATTCAGTCTGTTGTTCAGGTAAACCTGTACTGAATGAATGAAACATATATTGTTTGTCTCTTGCGGTTCCGTACTGTCGCGTATTGGTTTGATCGTTCCTGCATGGCGGACCATAGAGGTCGATCTATTTATAGATCTCTGTGGCCTTGGTCTGGGATGTTTCATAAAGCTGTGCGTAAATGTATACATGACTTTACGAATGACTAGAAAAAATTAAATGGGATTCTCAAATCATTTTAATTGCAGAAGCTAAAGTTGAAGTATGCAGATGCATAGATTAACCTTATCATTATTAACAAAACATTTCAATAAAAAGAGTATTTTTGGCTACAATTTATTTGAGATAATGGGAAATACCAAGGGCGACGATTTCTTTTCATGACCGGGGGGGGGGGGGACGACGAAAAGCGAGAGACCAGTGGCGTAATGTGCAAAAACGTTATGGGAGAGGGGAGGGGGGCAGAAGAAAAAGAATCCGCATCACCACCACTGTTATTATGTTACTTGCATGCCCCGCGGAACGTTTTTCATATATGGGGAGGCTAAAGTAATGATCCGGTAGCGCGTATAGCGAGTGGGGCGTAAATTTGCGTGTGGTCCACGGGCAAAGCCCGGCGGGGGGGGGGGGGGGGGTCAAGGGCTGGAGCCCCCGGAAGCTCATGGGTTTTAGGCATTTACATTACTGTCAGATGAGCATATTTTAATACCTCAAAAATGACACTGGCAGGTCACTAATTGGCGTGGGGTCCAGGGGGCGGAGCCGGTCACCATTCTTTCTTTCCTACTTTCTTTTCTATTTCTCTTCAACATACTTTTTCAAAAAAAAGTAAGGGGACCATGGGGGGGGGGGGGGGGGGAGGACTCGAGCCCCACGAGCCCTGCCGATCTGCGGGCCCTGACATGAAGGCTTTTAAATACTTATATGTTTTGCCTGACTGTAAATTTGGGGTTTTGTCATTTTCCATAAACGCATAAAAAAGTATAATTTACAAACAAAAGTGAGAAAAACGTTTGAATTTTATGGGGGGTAAGCCCAAAGTCCCCCCCCCCCAGCATCAGTACGCCAGTGCGAGAGACGAGGGAACATAGTGAAGGAGAGGGGCGACGGTGACTATGTTGTAGTGACTCCTTATACCGAATGGACCAAGCGGAATATTCATTTTTGTAGCACTGATCTATTTCGACTCTTAATCTGTGCTCACGCGACACCAAAGGAATACAGATTTTCTACAATATTCACTTGTACATTTTGGAGAATATTTTTGCATTTGTATTAGTCTGAACGCTGCACTCTTGGGCTCTCCAGAGCCTCAAGGTGTGTTGCAGTTTTAATAGTCAGTATTTGCTATACATTTTTGTGTGTGCACTTTTTCAAATTATCCGGGGGGAGGGGGTATCGATACCCCCTAATATACCCCCTGAGAAAATATGTAGCGCCCGAATAAGCCTGCCGGTGATAGAGCGGGGGGCGGGGGGGGGGGGGGGGGGGGGGAAGGAGCACTAATTTTTTTCTACTTCGAAATTCGTGAGCAAATATTTAGCGCCGAATCAACACCCATCACCCCCCCCCCCTCCCTTGCGCCAGGGGAAGGGGGCCGTATCGTTTTTTATTAAAAAAATAAATTTAAAAAAAATAAAATGAAAAAATTACCTGTATTTGGCCACTGCTCTCTCCCTCTCTCTCTCTCTCTCTCTATCTCGGTTGTTTTTATTTTTTTTTCTTTCTCGTGATTCTCAGTTTGAGCGTGCAAAGGATTCTTCTGATTCCATCACAATTAATCCTAGCCCCTGTTTTTTCATCCCTAAATTAAAAGAGCACTTGTAAAGTTGAACGCGAGTCATTTCTTATGATTTGTAAGCTATTAAGATAGGGTACTAAGATCGAATATAGCCCGTCGTATATGCCAATGGAGAGAAGGGAAAGGGAGGCGATCACAATATTTTATTAACAAATTGTAACTAAACGACGAAAACGAGAGCAGTGGGGCAGAACACACCCATCCCTCTTAGAGATCAATGCTACCCCCCCCCCCCCCCCCCCGTCCCTCAAACAAACCAAAATGTGTTTTTATAAGAGATGGCGCTATATCCATAATGTAAAACGGCACGTCAACCGATTTCAGCTTCGGATCTATTTTCTCTCTTGCAGACCCACACTAAAACAAAATTTCTGTTTGGCTATCCACAGTGCATGTATACAATCATAGACTCAAAAGGCATGTGCCCTATCTCACATGTACTCCGAAAGAGAAAGAGAGAGAGAGAGAGAGAGAGAGAGAGAGAGAGAGAGAGGAAGAGGAGAGAGAGAGAAGAAAGAAAGAAGAAAGAGAAGGATTGAGGATTAAGAGAGAGAGAGAGAGAGAGAGGGAGGGGGGGGGGGAGGGAAGAGAGATGGGGTAGAGAAATTATTGCACCCGCACCTCCATCTTCATCCAAAACCATTTTCTAGCATGGAGGCGTCGACCCCACTTCGGGGGGGGGGGGGGTATAGGGAGGGGGGGGGGGGGCGATGCATGGAAGTCAACTGAAACTCCACAACGAATTGCTGAGACTACAGCAATCCTCCATAATTTAGGGTAATAGTTGTAAAGGGATATTTTAGTGCCGACATTCAAACATATTTGGACGAATTAACTATACCCTCTACCCCAACCCCCGATTATATAATGATAATGATAATAATAATAATAATTAATAATGACGATGGTGATGATGATGATGATAACTAAAATAATGATAAAAGCTAGGGCCTAATGCTAAAAATGATGATGATAATAATGATATAATAAAGACAATAATAAAAATGAGAATAACAATAATGATAATAATAACTTTGTTCACTCAGAGAAGCCTCGTTCCTCCTGTGGTTATTACCTCAGCAATTACACTTATTTACGCATGGGTGAAGAGCAGCAAATACGGAGTAATGTCTTGTCAATGAATGTGAGTCGGGTTAGGATTCGCACTACCAATCCTTGGATTGAGAGTCAGTCAAGTCAGATCAATGAACCACTATACTACGACACCTCCATGCATGCACTTGTCCCTCCTAGCATGGCGCATGTTCCTAAAAGATTTACATTTACTAAGTGGCTGAGTAAACCGAACTTGTGAACACATCGACGTGAGCTCCTGCATGACAGGCTATACTCAACCAGTATATTTCATTGCAAGTTTTTGAACAAAATTATCCAGATACAAGTAGGCCTATAATCACACGATCACATATACCCTCGTTAAATCAGCTCGACCCCTGGCAATTTCAGTACCTTATTGCATATCCCATAATTATAGAAATCATGGTCGGATGACATATCACTGTCAAAAAAACCATGGGAAGCAAAATAATCTTGAATGTTGAATCTTGAATCATGTTTTCGAAATATTAGCAAAATTAATTTCAAAAGGTGGTGGACAAGGCTCTTGAAATTGTGTTATGTTGATTTTTTCGAAAGCCTGTACGACCGTGGCAATTTGCCTTCCATACCGTGCCAGGAGATTTGTATAGGCCCTATAAATATATTTTGTGCATGGAGTAACAACAAACAACTTTTCTAACAAAACAAGTTTTGCATAAATACATTGCCCCGGCATCATTTTAAAGGGAAATCCTGCCCAAATAGACAACTACTCTAAAAGAAAGCAGGAAAATCAGAGAAGCAATCTGACCAAATCATATCAAAGTTATGAATTCGTGAAAGTTGTAATCACTATAGGTATGGCCACTTCAAATTGGCTGAAGCGGTAATGTCAATGTGATGTAGTGCCGGACTACTTCCCCATCTATTCCAACATAAAAAATGACTAAAATTCTAATTTTTCAAACTATAGGGCCTACGTCCATTATTGGTCCGATTCATTTAAAACTTTAGCCATTCTCTTTCTGTTATTTATCTGCTTTCATACAAATCCATTAATACCAGGGTTGGATTGGGTTGGGTTGGGTGCCGCCAACCCTGAACCAATAACTGTGATAACCTTTACCGAGGTATACCCAAAAGGACCACGCCCACTTTTAGGCTTCTTCTTTTCTTCCCCCCCCCCCCTATTTTCTAAATTGCGAAACAGACTTTCACTGGATGCCCTGAAAGCTAAACAACTAAAACAATAAACAACATTTGAATAGCATCTTTATAATTAGGAATGAAAAGATAGAGTAAGGCCTACTATACTTACAAAATCGGAATTGCACTCGGAAGAAAGAGATTGTACTTTGTTCCTCTGGTTGCGGATCATTGGGTTTTGTGTGTGTGTGTTATTACGAAGCGAAAATGACGTCATCGTAAACCGGAACTCCCTCAATCTCGCTCCGTACGTTATCCCGTGCATATTTCCACAAGGGAGTACAGCTGTTGAAGCCGGTAGAATTGCTACAAATCGTTCATGACAGTTTGATTGCGAGGACAAGTTCATGAGTCGTCACTTCCAATTACAGTTTCAGGCTGCTGAAATCAAAGTACATGTTGAGGTAAATGACAGACGAAAACTTTTTAGTTAATAACATGTCTTGAACAGGTGGTTGAATTTGACAGAAGTGAGTGCTGTGTGCGGAGCTATGCAGCGCTGACGTGTATCTACAGTATTGTACACAATGATGTAGACGCTAGATCTAGTACCATTTTCGAAATGTCACCAAATTTAATCCGAGCCATACCTCTTTTTGAAGTGCCTCAATGAAAATAATAATTAATTTAACTGTAATGAATAATTGTATTTCAATAGTCAGAATGCAAAATCACGCTACATGGACATGTAGCGTGTAGCCCTAATATAATAAAATGTAACTTGTCCTAGATCTACTACTCCAGTCTCCACATTACAAACAAATAATATGGCAACAAAAAAATCTACTAGCCTAGTAATGTAGATCTATGCGTTTGCATTCTGACTGTTGAAATACAATTATTCATACTAGAAAGAAATAATTCTTATTGAGGCACTTCCCAAAGATGTATCCATTAGATTTGGTGACATATAATAATAATAATAGCCTAATAGTCCACTCCAAATTTTATTAAACCGAAACGGAAATTCTTTTCAAATCCATTCATTCAGGCAAAGCTTGACCCAATTTACCACTTTCGTAATGACATTGTGAAAGTGGTAAATTGGGTCAAGCTTTGCCTGAATGAATGGATTTGAAAAGAATTTCCGTTTCGGTTTAATAAAATTTGGAGTGGACTATTAGGCTATTATTATTATTATTATTATTTTGATGGACAGTTCAGCGAAGTTGTAATTTCAGATATGTAGAATAGATAGGCTCTATCGAATCAAATTGACCAAACTAAGCTGATTGTAAATCCTGTTATAAGATGATGAGGTGGATCATCATCATCATTTTATTCTCCCTCCACTATTTTGAAGATCAGCGATCCCAAGAGTGAAGCTAAAGAGTAACATCAAGGCAATCAAATGATTGGTTGAGAGTGTACATGTGACCAGGCATTTATCTTGCCTAACACATTATTTGATAATGATGAGTCATTATCAAATGCTAATGACTGGTCATTAGTAAAATCATGTTATAAAACATCATTTTATGAAACAAATAAAACATAATCTTATACAAATTAATTACACATCATTTTGTTCGGGCATTAGTAAAATGACCACACTATAGGTACCTTCAAAACAGTCCAAACACCCTCGGCTATCGTTTTGGGCGTGATGGGCTGTTCCAAAGGTACCTTGTGTGGGTAACTCTTACTGATGCCCTCACTGCTGTAACAGTGATCAGAGTTACATTGTACATTTATCAGGTTTTCTCAAGTAACTTTTGAATCAAATCAAAATTCAAATCATTTATTTCCATTATGAAAACAGTATTACAAATAATAATTTTCACCAATCTTTCATCCGTCAATGCCTTGTGATACTGTCTGCTAGCTGTATTCACCTGTCTCTTGGCCTGTGCTTACCTTAAACAATGTGAAAAAATTAATTGGGCTTGAAACCCCATAGCATATAGCAGATCCATAGATCTGTCCATACCATCTAAATTTGATTTTCGTTTACTGATAGACGTACTACTCAAAATATCTTATGAATAGCATATTATATTGTAGATCTTCTAAAAAGAAAAGAATTGACATTTTAGTCAATGTTTGTGTTGTGTTAAAACAAATGGAAAAGTTGTGTGGCACAACATGCACACCACATTAATATTACGCCAATTTAAGTGATTACAATGAGCCCTAATCAGTTTGAATGAATTTTAAAGATAAAGGCCAGTTCTGGTCATGCGATTGAAATGTGAAAGAAACGTTGTGGAATTGATCAGAAAAGGTTGATCATCTAGCATATAAGTATTAGTGTGTACTGCAAGGTTCTGGAATCATCAAAATGATAAGAAATTTGGCCCAGTCTTGGTAAAGTTACAAGCACTGTATACAGAAAGATGTATATGGGACTACGCACACATGCGTTATATCTATCACGTCCAAATATATATAATAATTTGCCAAATATATCAATTAGTAGGCGGTTTCTCAGCAAAAGTTGTATGATCACGTATTAGTCAAAACATATTCTTTCACATGATTGGTAATAAGAGCTTCCATTTCAGTTTTTGAGAGGGGGCGTTTCCAAAACTGGTCTTTACCTTTAAGGTTTAGCAAGTCAATTTGAGACTAACTAAACAGAAGTGGGAAATCCATGTGTGTACACACATATTACATAAGAAGAGGATGCATGAATTGATATTTGATAAATGATTACCGGTAAATAAGAATCTCATTCAACAACATATTCAGGAAACCCCCTCTTCATTGGTGACAAGCTATTCCATGAAATTTATAAGGAAATGTTGTATGTGTATTTTCGACTTACATTGTACCAGGAAGCTTGAAACTTGAACTTAGTCTTTAGCGCCTTTGCTAAGAATCCAATCCAATCCAATCCAAAAGAGATAGCGCCTTTTCCTTGCAGTTCCAAAGCGCTGCACACACGCTCCACAATGTTTGGGCCACTTAAAAACAAAAGTTAGACACTTCTCAGAGATAAGCAAAGTATATGTAGGCTGGTAATAAAGTAATTTCTAGTAGAATATATGTGACTTGAGTAGTTTCTTGAACTGGTTAACAGATGAGGCCGTCTGCACAGCAGCACATGTAGGTAGCTGGTTCCACAGTTTTGCAGCAACCGATGGAAAAGACAAAGTTTCAGTGAAGCAACTGTTGGTTTTGTGCTGGTGTCTCTTGCAGTGATAGGTCTCATGCCGTATTCTGCTGCTCATCAATTCAACTAACTTCCACTTTTCACTTTTCATTCTTTTTAATAAAGTACAGTCCACCATTGGGTGTATTTTCCTATTCGATGGGTAGAAAGAGATATGCCATATGTTTTTTTCCATGACTGTTTTCGGTTCAGGAGTACAAAGTTATATTAACACCTGAACTCTGAAAGAGTGGTAAAAAGTTAATAGACCCTGAAGACCGTACTCTTCAATTAGTCTTAGTTCTAAGACAACTGCTCCACGGTAATTTCCTACTCGAACCAAACTCTTAACTTAACCCTGGACTCAACACTATTCTTAGCTCTAATCCTAAACCTAAACTTAAACCCAATTACAACGCTAACCCTGATCCTGAACCTAAACCTAAACTTAAACTTAAACCTAAACCAAACTTAAATCTAAACCTAAACCTTAACTTACCTACATGTAACCTAAACTAATACCTAATTACTACCCTAACCCTAAATGTTGGATCGCCATTATTTTCATGTCAGTGATCCTTTTTTTTCTTTCTCTCCCTCTCTCTCTCTTGCAGATTTCTTGAACTGATCGTCGTCCTATAATTTGATCATCTGTGGAAGGTCGTAGAAAGCGGCCATGTTTGATGAGAATCGGAAGGTGTGGGTCCCTCATCTGGAGCATGGCTTCCAGCTGGGGAGGATCATTGACATCGGGGTCGATGGCATCACCGTCCAGCCGGTAGACTCAGGCAAGGTGAGTCACGTTCCATTTTAAAGGCATCGTTTAACAATGTTAAATCTGAGATGCACGGCCCTACGTGTTATCATTGTCTTTGATATGGTGTATTATTAACCGTATCAGACATCTGAGCAGGGCAATTTTTAAATGGTATTGCCCTCAAGGTTTTGATGGATAAGTCAACAAAATTACAATAAGTTAGTCCGCGCAGAAAAGTCAATGGGATTTTGTGTGTAATTTGGCGGGCAATATAGGTTATATAGAAAACCAATGCGCAAATATTTTACCCCGCTCAGAAGAGTCAATGGGATTTGTGTGTAATTTGGTGGGCAATATAGGTTATACAGTAAGTCAACGGACAAATATTTTAGCCCGCTCTGAAAAGTCAATGGCAAAATGCGTGTTAAACTAGTGCGCAATAATGTAGTGCCAGTTGTAATTTACATCGCGCATCAGCTATTGTAATTTACATCGCGCATCGTGTATTAGAAAATGCGCACTTTGCGCGAACTCCATTGTGACGTAACAATCACACCCTAGGCAAACTGTTTGCAGTGTATCGAAAATCTGTCAAACACTGGATGAACAGTGCTGGTTTGACAATGTTTTTGCAACTTCTAATGCTAGGAAACCCTGTGTAGCCTACATAATTTAAGAGTATAAGATAGTAAGAGTTTCTTGTTTGCTCTAGATGTCTGATGTGGTTAATAATAGTAATATTGACTGCCTAATTCAGGGCAATACGACTTGTCATATCACCCTCACCTTCGGTTCGGGCGATATATGTCGTATTGCCCAGAAGGCAGTCAATATTACTTAAATATTGAAGCCCTAACAAAATTGCGCTTTCAAAATGATTAAGAAGTGCCTCAAAAAAGGAAAAACCTTTGAGTGACCGGTTTTACCATACTCGTTTTCCCCAATAATCAGACAAGCGATAGGCTTGTAAAAGTCATGGGGTTCCTGACTGATCTAAAGGTTTATAATTATCATTGCAGCAAATCCAGGATTTTGTTTCAGAATCTGAGACAAAGTTACCCAACCCTTTAAGGCATTTATTATCCTGTAACGGTATTCCGTAGATTATTTATCCTTTTTTTGTTTATATCAAAGTATGAATTTTCTTGTACCACAGTCACATTTAGTGGTCCTAAGTTTGTGAATTGTATTGATGAGTCTGAAATGAAGAGTTGCCCTTCTTTAAATAGTTGAGTTTTAAAAAGATATAAAAATTAATTTATTAAGTCTTACACCCCCTGATGGAATATTCATAACCAAATCTCAGTGTATAAGACGCACCCTTATTTTGGGGGCAAATTATTTTTATTTATTTATTTTTTTTTGCTGACTCTGCAGCAAGCCAGGTCCGTGCTAAAAAACCCACGAGGGGAAGGACTTTCATTTAACTGCGAGGTGCAGTTGAAGGCGCCGACTTGTGCTTGTGAACTTGTCACAAATATTAGAAACAATGTCATTTTTAGAAGATTGGGCAAGATCATTAATGTAAATTAAAAACAGTAGAGGACCTAGGATAGAACCTTGTGGTAGGCTGTGTGTAATAGAAGAAAAATTGGAGGAATTATTATTATACACCACATATTGAGATTTATAATAGACAGATTACTTTCAAACCAAGATGACAGACAGTTTGTTGCTGTACCTGTGTATAAGACGCATCCCGACTTTCAATTTTTTTTTTGCGGCAAAAAAGTGCGTCTTATACACAGAGATTTATGGTATACCGGTATGTACTTTGCTTCTTCTTGTGTGTGCGTGCGTAGGTATGTGTGCGTTTGTCTAAGCTCTTTCGTATTCCTCTCCAAGTACATATTATGTACAGTATTATATGATATATTTCCAGGGACAAGATAGGCCTTTGTTTGTACCTCCATATTTTGATGAAATATTGTGTTCTGTCCTTCTTTCTGTTGAAATTTTGTAATATACCTTTAATTGTCGTTGAATTTCTTTATACCTTTACTATATTGCTATGTTTATACACTGTAGGTAATTTTGTATGTTCTTATTGTCAATATAATAACATTCAATAAATTGAATTGAATTTGAAATGCTATGGACACTTTTGAAGTGATGTCACAAAGGATTTTTCAGGTGTGAAATTTGACTTGTACACGTACCAATCACCTAAACATTTGATATTTGTAGTGGTAGAATATATACCAATCAACCGTAAACATCTTTACCTGGCAATATATGGGCTAATGGATGAACGAAATAATTAATAACATGATACATACAAAAACACATGTAGGAAAAATTTGGAGATCGGTGCACTTTACCGTTTGTTTTTTTCACTGTGAGATCAGGTTAAAGATTTATCCCAATTGGAATAAAATCAACACTAAAAGTATCTGTTTCCGTTTCTGGAGGTAAAGCATTTAATACCATTGTGAGTCAGAACTCTTTGTCCAACACTCAAACTGTAAAATGGAATTTGCCACCCACGAGAGTAACCGCCATGATACATCATTGTTTACATGTACATGTATGTGCCTGCACATTTGTTTTATTAGAATAGAACATCATCTTCAATACTGGACATTCAGGGAAAAAATTAATATTTATTTTTCGGGGGCTACTTTTCAACCTTGCCTGCATGAGAATAACATTCTAAAAAAAATTTTGCATTAAACTCTATGCAAATTTAAGGGGGCTATTTCGCCCTCAGCCCCCATGTATTTTTTTTCACTGTGGACATTGAAGATTATGATAGGTGTTTAATGACACGCGGAAGGACTGATATTTTGACAAGCAGTCAAAGCAGATGAAGTCAAACAGTTTTTTTTGTCATTACAGTTAGAGAGGCGTTTGTACAGTATATCCATGTTGAAGGGTTGAAGCACACCTGTAAATATGTGAGAAATCTCATGGTTTAACGCATCAATCATGTCTTCAACTTCAAGCGCTTTACAGCTATATTATTACCCGATCATGAGATTCAGGTTTGACCACGTACAATGTAAATGTGCATTCCCAACTTCCCGGTGATTCCAGTCAGGCACCTTTTAGAGACGTTAACATGTACTAGATTATTCTGAGCAAACTACAATGGCTTTCACCTCCGACCGGGTTCCATCTGGGTGGAGAGAGGCAATGTAGATTAAAAAATGTCTTGCATTATTAAAAAGGGGAAGTCCACCCTGATATTAATTCATTTTTGATAGGAGAAGAAAAGTAAGAGAAACAGTTTCAAGTGAAAGTTTGAGCAAAATCTGATTAAAAATAAGAAATTTTTGAAGTTGCGATCACTATCAGTCAAACACTGATTGGCAACTCTGACTTACATGTACATGTATCTTGCAAGGTTCCGTCCCATTTGCTCTGTACTAAAAAAGTTCAGAAATGTCTATTTTCATGAAAGAAAATGTTACACGCACCCTAAAATAAATATAATTATTGAAAATATGTTTTTATACAACCCTATGAAACAAATCTATTCCATCATTAGAAGTGAGAAATTGAATATTAATGAAGTATCTGTACAGAGCAAATTGGAGAGGACCTCGCAAGATACGTCACAGTGTTGCTTGCCAGTTCATGTTTCACTCATTTGTTTCTCTCATTTTTCTGCTATTGTTATAATCAGCTAATCATAAAAGTGGTATTCCCCTTTAGAAATATAGTGTACATGTAGGGGCTGTGCCGGGGATGGAATTCATGATCTTCGTATCTGCGGTTATGTGTGACACCCCCTACAAAGCATTATCCTTCAAACTTATTTGTCCATGTAAGAAGTAACATACATGTAAAACAAAATCCATTTAAATCTACACTATTTAACTTAACAGAAAGTATACAGTTCAGCAAGATAATGATACTTCATGCTCATGTATGGTGTGTCAAATTCTGTAATTGTTATGCTTCGACCCACTGCAATGATGTTTTCTGAATTTAGGCGGAGGCATATAAGGCGCAGTTGCATTTTTCTTGGTTGTTGTTTTTTCAATCAAAAGAGTAGACATTCAGTGTTATTATACTTACTGTACATGTATATGTACATGTAAGTAAATCAATATTTGATATACCAGTATATACAATGACTATTTACAAATTACAACATCAACCTCAATGTTTATTATTAGAACTTTAGAAGAGCTATTCGATGTACAGTACATGTACTTTGTAAAAAGACAAGTGCTGTATCATGAGACGCAGTTTAATTTGGAGCCAATTTCCATGAAACAATTACATGTAAAGGCATTTAATTTCATTGGTTTTGTAAAATTTTGTGCAAAACCATTTTTCACTTCAAGATTCAAGATAATTTATTGTCTGATTTAAAAAAGTACAGAAATTCGTCCTCCACTGGCGAATGACGTACTTATTTACAAGCAACATAAACAATATATAAATAGTCAGTGGTCAGTGTCAGTGGCACTGGGGGCCTTTTCCCCACCCCCCCCCCCTTCCCTCCCTCCCTCCCTCCCGCCCCGCTGCAACCCCTTTATGGAGGCTAGATGGAGCTTCTGTTCTAAAGATCAGTCATTCAATGGCCGGTGCCACTGAACTGGCACAGTTGTGAAATGTCTACCGGTGTTTTGTCTGTTGATAAAAGGGGTGTACAGTTCAGACCTGTAGAATGGTAGATAGTTGCATATGTTGGCCCTTTGTCATATCATTGGACTCTGTAGCTATTTGTATTACTCTCCAGACTGAGCGTACACGTTAGCTTGAGTAAACACAATGCTTGCCAGGTACACTGTAGTATTCCGGCATTAGACACCCAACCACACTATAATAAGTACAGTACCTACTTTTCTAAATGAATTAAACCGCTATCATTGTGAGTTGAATGATTTTATGGGCAAACCAAAAAGAAAAAGACAAAGACAAAGATAAAAACAAAACATACATGTAAAATCCAATTTAGACAGTTTAATTCAGACTGACTTGTAAATACATTGTACAAGCATGGTACATTCATTCATTGTACTCTTTTCTGTTTCTTCTCTTTTCTGTGGGGGCCGAGTGGGCCGGGTGATTTCAACCCCCCCCCCCCCCCCCCCCCCCCCCCCCCCCCCCACCCCCCCACCTCACCATAGACAAAAAAAATCCTGGATCTGCCACTGACATAAAGTATTATTTGAATTAACACTACTAGTTCATGTGTTCTGGTACATGCTGTCTTCTTTCCAAGATGAAGGTGTGTCCTCCCTACGGCGATACATGCCTTACAAGAATATTACAAATAAATGCATTACATGTATGTCATGATTAAAATTCAAAGCACTCATCCAGGCATCAAGTGACTTTTCAAGGTTCGTGGTAAGATGCTGAAATGATTGAAGGTGCATCTAGCTACGTTACCATGGTAACTAAGAATAATGCAATTCCATTCCTGCCTGTGTTGAGTAGCCAATATGCAGAGTTGGCTGTTAGGGCATTGGGGAGAAGTCAGTGTGCATAATAAGGGCAGCATATCAAATTAATCTGTCCCAAAATCATAGGGACATACTACATGTAGTACGTACAGTGCGTCCCAGAAAAAACAAAACCGAGAATTATTCATGTTTTATCATAACTTCATCACAATTGTGTTTGTCATTCCTTGCTCATTTTTCCTGATTGAGGTGTCATATGAAAGGGCACAAACTCACCTTTATATTTTTGTGATTTTCTCTTTGAAATTCAGATACCGTCCGCAAAATGACTTTTTGGTTTCCTCTCTTCAAATTCATTTTAATCACTCATGTGTGAAATATTCATCATGTACATTTGTAAGTTGCATCAAATGAAAGAAGAGGATCTTAGCTTTCTAAGTACAGGGTGTATGTGTCATTTATTAATTATAAATGTGACTAAGTTAAGATAAATCATCAATAATTCTTGGTTTCATTTTTTCTGGGATGCACTGTACATGTGTATGTGTACATGTACAATTTATCCTGTGAAAGGAGAAAAATAATGTTATAAGGTGATCCTGCTTTCAAGAAGATTTTTGGAATAGCCAGTGTTTTAAATATTGATAAGAATATTTACTGTGCATTTTGAGGTTTTTTTAAATCAGTGATATTAACTGCATCTTGGTGAAAACTGCAAAATAATGGAAATTACTGTTACGGGTGGATAGGATAGGATAGGGATACACTAGCATTTGTTGACAGAAATTTGGGTCCAGACTCCAAATTAATTAGTGTACTACTACTACATGTACTGTACCTCTGTACAAATGTAGTTTTGGTCTTTTATGATGTATGATACGATACGATAGCAATATAATATCAGTTTAAGGGCTATCCTTTTTCAATTGAATTTTTTCTTTCATCCATAATTATGAAAATTAAAAATTGAGATACTACATGTGTATGTACAGTGTAGCTTACAAAGCAATTTCACCTGTACCAATTTAAAGATAAAGTTGAGTTCTGGTCATGCGATTGCATTGTGAAAGAAACGGTGTGGAATTGATCAGAAAAGATTGATCATCTAGCATATAAGTATTTGTGTGTATATTACAAGGTTCCAGAATCATCAAAATGATAAAAAATTGGCCAAGTCTCGGTAAAGTTACAAGCATTGTACACAGAAAGAAAGATGTATATGGGACTACACGACCACGTGGCGTAAAAATCCGTCCTGATTTTTACGATGTTACATGCCATATTTAGAATATGAAGGTATTTGAAGAGCTATGCTTTTCAGGGAACATGTTTTATCTGATGTTCTTCCACACTTGCATAATAATAACGCTCACAAATTATTTTTCACCTCTTCCCAGAACTCAACCTTCTCTTTAATATCAAACCTAATTTTAGTTCTTGTGGTTTTATCTGATTCTCAATACTCATCCTATATGGATCTGTTACTGAAAACGCAAAGTCAATAATGGCATACACAAACCTAATACATGACCATGGATGCAACCACAGATCGGAGCATAATTAGAAAATTTGTGCATGGGCATTTCAAGAACAACACAATTTATCAAATATTGCTTGAAATATTGTTCCAAGAACATTTTCATTACCGTATGCTTTAAAGGTAAAGACCAGTATTGGAAACGCCCCAATTTCAAAAAATGAAATGGAAGCTCTCATTACCAATCATGTGAAAGAATATGTTTTGACTAATACATGATGATAAAAAATTTGCCAGGAAACCGCCTACTAATTCATATATTTGGTAAATTTGTTTCTCTCATGGTCTGTGAGAGATATAGGGTAGTCCCATATACATCTTTCTGTGTATAGTGCTTGTAACTTTACGAAGAATGGGCCAAATTTCTTATCATTTTGATGATTCCACAACCTTGCAAATGCTAGATGCTAGATGATCAACCTTTTCTGATCGATTCCACAACGTTTCTTTCACAATGCAGTCGCATGACCATAACTGGTCTTACCTTTAAAGGGATTTCACAATATATCTCTGAGTTGGAATGGATAGACCTGCAATGTACATGTATATTTGGTGCATTTTAGATGTGTATACATGTACAGTGTATGATCGATAATTACATTTTGCCATCCATTTGCCTGTCTATGGGTGAGCGATTGGAATTTAGAATCTAAAAAATCTCTCTTCTGCCTTGCATACATGTACATGTACACTGTGCATACCGATAATGATTTTATTTTAACATGAAACCGACAAAGACAATTGGATCACAGACATAAAGGATTGAAGAAATATGAGCTTTCAGATCAGTTTGACAAAGCCATGCAGGGCTTTGCTTTATCTCTCTTGTCTCTGGCTTTAGATGAGAGTGACAATTTTGAGACAATCATACCAATTGGTATTCCCAACAAAATATCATTGCTGTCATTGTTGTTGTTCTTGTTGCTGTTGTATTTCGTGTTATTATTATCTTTGTAATCACCGTAATTAACGTCTTATTAACCACACATTTTTGCTGCCTAAAAAAATTCAAAGTCAGGGGTGTCTCTTATACACGGTACACACACAAAATAAAAATAAAAATAAATAAAGTTTCGATTTATGCCCCTCCACCTGGCGCTATGCCTGGCAATGTCTCCCAGCTCAGTAATCAGTGTGTTGATTCACCACTCGGAAACTAGAACAACACTCAAATTTGTCTGTCATCTTGGTTTGAAAGTAATCTTTGTGATAGATCTCAATATGTAGTTTATAATAATAATTCCTCCAATTTTTCTTCTATTACACAGCGTACCACAAGGTTCTATCCTAGGTCCTCTACTGTTTTTTAATTTACATTAATGATCTTACACATTCAGCTGCACCTCGCAGTTAAATGAAAAGCCTTCCCATGTGGGTTTATTAACATGGACCTGGCTTGCTGCCGATAGAGAATATATTTTTTTAGGGCGAAAAAGAGGGGTGCGGTTAATACACGAGGGCGGTTTATACACTGTTAATTATGGTATTAGTATTTTTATGATATTTCCTATTACGACTATCATCATCGCTGCTGTTATGATTATTTATTATTATCATAGTATTATTTAAATTATTATGGTCATTGTTGTTGTTGTAATGATCTTTATTACACAATCTTTCTCTCTTTTCCTCTGTCTATCTATCCAGGCTGTGAGTGCATCGTATGATAGGGTCTTCCCAGCAGAAGATGATGAAGCTAAAGTAGTGGATGATAATTGTAAGTTACAGCCCTTTTCATTTTGAGTTTTTTTGTTTTGTGTTTTTGTTTCTTTTTCTTTATTTTAAATAATGATTGATAGCAAGTCATTGTGAATTGTTCTTGGTTTAATGCAGCAATATGGGAGTGATAATGTCGTGCTTCTTTTTTTCTTTTTAATGGCGAATTGTATTTTAGGGGGAACATGATCATATTCGTCATTATTCAATGTTGAAGTTATACAGATTGGATAATCTTTTAAATTCTAGACTGATGTGTGACTGTTTTACATAATGCATTTTTGTCACTCAGTTTCATCATGTCAAAATCGAATTATGCACATGTTATGTTCATCTGTCTCTGTCTCTGTCTCTTCCTCTCTGTCTCTGTCTCTCTCTCTTTCTCTCTCTCTCTACCTGTCTTCGTTTCTATATTTGCTTTTGTCTCATCTTGTCCATCTCTGCTACTTTTCCATCTGTTTTACCTCTTTGCTTTTAATATCATTTCTTTGCCCTCTTCTCTCTCTCTCTTTCGCTCTCTCTCTCTCTTTCGCTCTCTCTCTCTTTCACTCTCTCTCTCTTTTTCTCTGTCTCACTCTCTGTTTCTCTGTCTATCTCTCTCTGTCTGTGTGTGTGTGTCTCTCTGTCTCTCTGTCTCTCTCTGTCTCTCTCTCATCTATCTACCCTCCTACAACTTAATTTGACAGACTCTTTCATCTTCTCTCTCTCCAGGCTCCTTGATGTATCTGAATGAGGCCACGTTACTCAACAACCTCCGGCTACGCTACAAGAAAAATAGCATCTACGTAAGTACAAAATTATCATCTTTTTTTCCATAATTGTCTGGAGCCAGAAGGGTATTACAACGTTCATGTACATGTATCTCATGTCATTTTACACTGAATTAATGCCCTTCTGGCTCCAAACAGGCAAAATACAGTTTGCGTACAGGCTGATGCAGTTTAGTTTAATCAGTTGACAAATGAATTCTCTTTATATTCCCATGTAGTCTTTGATACAGGGACCTTATGGTGCCCATTGGAAAAACTTTTTAATGAATAATACTCATATGACATCATGAATGGACTCACAGTAGGCTATTGTGTGATACATACTGTGCTCCCTGAGGCCCATTGATAGAAAAAGAAGAAGAATGTGCTCATGCATTGCCTATCAGCATATTTGTAGTTGAATAGAAATAATATGATTTTCTTAGCAAAGGAAAGCAGGATGTTGAATCATATTAAAAGCCCACAGTGTGCTCCAAAATTAATTCAACTTACTTGGAATCTAGTTTATCATTGCAATTGTTAAAGTCTTGTTTCCTTAAGAACAGCATTACAAATTCTTGTCTAAATATAAGATGTGTAGTATGTGTTAGATGTAATATGTCTGCCAGAATTCAGGTTAATGAGATCGATCATGTTGGGGGCTGTTTTGTTTTGCCCCCTTACATTTATATTTATTTTCCACTGTCTTGTACAATGCAACTTGATTCACTTTAAACATGACGTTGATTTTATTTTGCTTTGGCTTTAAAAGGAAAAGCTTGACTGACTTCAAAGTAAAGGAGAAGTGAAAATTAATGACTGCATGTTCTTTAAATATAGTTTTCCTGAATACATTTAAATGTACATGTACCGGCTCTTTCCTCATTGAATTCCAAGTAAATGTACTTGTCATAGGCTAATTATATATTTCTTTTAATTTTTATTTCCTTATGCCTCTTGACATTTATAGCCTTAATTTACCTTCCTCATGAGAAAAATGATACATAGTATGCCGCACTAATTACACGTATTATCAGTTCTATACTGTAATTTGACATGTGTGATTAACAGTTGGTTGTTTTGTTTACGATAACAAACCTTCACACAATGTATGCAATTACAATACATTCTTGTTCACTGAACTGTATCCACTTGGGTATGTGTCATTCAAAAGTAAAAACAAACAAATAATCAAACAAAGTGAAAACAAATAAAACTCAAATCTGAGAGTTGTATTGCTGCTGAAAGTTGTTCATAACTATTCATAATACTTTAAACAAACAAAAATTACCAACTGTATGACTGCATTGACAATGGAGGTTTGGAGATCATGGTGTCTTGTAATGATCTTTTTTTCTTTAGACATATGTGGCCAACATCCTAATAGCTGTGAACCCATACAAACAGATGGGGGATCTCTACACGTCCAGCAACATCAAGAAATACCAAGGAAAGTCCCTCGGCACACTACCGCCTCATGTCTTTGCTATAGGTAAGTAGTTTCAATCAGTGAAAAAAAATACACAGGGGCTTGGGGCGAATTAGCCCCCGAAATGCTAAAAAGAGCCCCTGAAAGTCATAAAAGAGCCCCAACAAATTTGCATAGAGTTCAATGCAAAACAAATTAAAGAGTGTTATTTTCATGCAAGCAAGCTTGAAAAGTAGCCCCAGAAAATGTTAAAGTATTTTTTTCCGTGGTTTCAGTGAGAGTGAAATAAATGGGAAGAAGATATGTACAGGTATGTAGAGAACGTGAAGACAAAAATGCAGGAAAGAAGTTTTTCAATATACACTCAGCAAAAAAAAAAACTGTTTATTGTCCAAAATGTTCATATAAACCATCGATAAGATATGAACTTAAGGAAAAGCCATTGGATACCTCCAACTAATGCTCATCACCATTTTGATTGCCAGATGCCCCATTTTTTTGCAATTTTCTTTGAGAGACTCGTTGTTTGTTTCATGACTATGCTCGCTCATGCATGTATGGTATGATGTTTGCAGATAGTTACAGTGTGCATATACACACTGTAATAGAAGCTTTGTTGATATTGATAACAGTTTCTTTCTTTTAGAAAGCATACATACGTTTACATGTAAATATGACGTGCATGTATATAGATGAACGTCACAAAGAAGTGGCCACATTACAGTTGATTCGGATCAAACTTGCATATCAGATCGTTATTAAGTGCCACGTCACACATTATTTCATTCACCTGTGAAAAATAATTATACTCTAATGGTCAGAATGTGCATTGCATGTATCAAGTAAATTGCATTTACATTAAGTGTTGCTAGGTAGGACAAACATTCTGACTTTTGAAATACAATGATTTGTAACAGGTTTTGAAGAAAATAGTGTATAACATGGCATTAAATTTGATAATTACATTATGAAATTGGGCTATTTATGATTTAAGGACTTGCAATCGATTCCTATATATTTTGTCATATGACATGAACCTGGAATGCATGTTTAACAATTTTTGTTAAGCGATATGTGGTGAACTGCTAAATAGGCAATTTGCTGCCTTTCCAATCTGCATTTAAGTGTAATTACTGCATTATGTGGCTAATTAATTGGTCAATTATACCAGGGAGGTGATTATACTGTAATTTGATGTACATTGTACTTGCACATCACATGCATGTTGATCCATAAGGTACAGTACAGATGGCTAATTAGGCTCAAGGTTAAAGGTAAAGATCAGTTTTGGAAACGCCCCCCTCTCAAAAAATGAAATGGAAGCTCTTATTACCAATCATGTGAAAGAATAGGTTTTGACTAATACGTAATAATACAAATTTTGCCGGGAAACCGCCTACTAATTTAAATATTTGGTATATTATTATATCTATTTGGTAATATTTATATCTATTTGGACCTGATAGATATCGCGCATGTGTCGCGTAGTCCCTATATACTCTTTCTGTGTACAGTCTTGGTAAAGTTACAAGCAGTAACTTTACCAAGACTGGGCCAAATTTCTTATCATTTTGATGATTCCAAAACCTTGCAGTATACACACCAATAGATGATCAACCTTTTCTGATCGATTCCACGACGTTTCTTTCACAATGCAATCGCGTGACCAGAACTGATCTTTCCCTTTATATGGCTTATGGAGGAGGCATCCATGAGCATTGGAGTAGTGGATGAGCAACTTTAACACAAGTGAAAGTGAATAGTTTTACAGTATAGAATGTGGCAGTGGTCAGCCAGCGTCTTGACCACCCACTGGACATGGCATGTACATGTATTTGCAGACTTGACAATGGACCATTATGCATGGCATTTGCATGCATAAGCCTATTATATATATATATATATATATATATATATATATAGTCTCAAACCTAGTCTCATTGGGGGGGGGGGGGGAGGGGGTACTCACATATTAAGACATACAGGGATGTGCCGCTAATGGGTAACTTTTTCACTAAAAATCTCTAAACATGGGTGTGCTTTTTCATATTTTTCAAAATTTTGAAAATTGTTGGGCGTTTGCCAATTTTGAAAAATGGGCTTTACCTTGAGAAAATCCGCCAAAATGACCCTTAAAAATCTGAGCACCCCCCCCCCCCCCCCTTGGGGTCTCATGACAATTACCTGCTTTAATAAACGGGTCATTCACTGCTTACCATAGACATGCCCATGTTTACTTTGTATCCTATTGATCAATGGACCATATGTTGACTTTCATACATTATATATTCTACACTACACATATGTCTACAGTGTATATACCCTACAGTTTGATAAGAGCTTTGATATAGTCATTGATTTTGAACTTTGCACTATGATTCAGAAACTAGGGCCATGTGTACGCCCTACACGTGGTCTTATACAATACAATACAATACAATGAACATTTAGGGCGCCATTCCCATAAGGCTCAGAGCGCTAACATCAAATAATATTATTGGTCTTTAATACATGTAGTAATTAAAGGCTACAATTAGATATTCCATATAAAATATTAAATTCAATTGATTAAATTAAATAATTAAACATAGAGGAGAATTCATGGAAAGAGATGAGTTTTCAGAGCCTTCTTAAAAATATCGATAGAGGCAGATTGTCTGATGGACATGGGGAGATTATTCCACCCTTTGGATGCTGCTACCGTGAAAGTCCTATCCCCGGCTTGGACACGTGTAATTGGATAATTTAGACGGAGGTTATCATTTGAAGATCTGAGATTTCTGCTTGGTGTATATAAAGTTAAACAATTAGACAGGTAATTAGGAGCTAGGTGGTGCAATGATTTATAGACATATAAGAGTAACTTAAAAATGATTCGCTGTTGAATTGGAAGCCAGTGAAGGGAATTAATTAATGGTTGAGCTGAATGACTTCTACCGACCTCAAACACAAGACGTGCTGCCCAGTTTTGTAGGCGCTGGAGACGGTTTACATGTAACTTTGGAAGAGAGGAAAGAAGACCATTACAATAATCAAGTCTAGAGAGAATTAAAGACCTTACAGCATGATGACAAGTTGATTGATCAATATATCTACGAATTCGTGATATGTTCCTTAAGTGAAAAGTGACCGTTCTACTAACATTGTTAATATGTGAATTCATACTCATATGAACATCAAAGAATGCGCCCAAGTTTTTAATTGTGTCTGTAGGTTTTACGGAAATATTTCCTATGGTGAGAGTTATGTCTGGCAATTTTCTGAAATTGTGTGGTGAAGCAGCAATAAAAAACTCTGTCTTACTGTCGTTCAATTTCAACTTGTTAATGGACATCCAATTCTTTATATCACAGATGCAGTTTTGCAGTGACAACAATGCACAATCTAATTCACCACGTATTTTGGGATCAAATGAAACATATAACTGTATATCATCCGCATATACATGGTATGACACATTATGATGCTGAGTAATATCACTAACCGGGAGGGTGTAAATTGTAAAACCAACAGGACCTACTACAGAACCTTGTGGCAGACCAAACTTGGAAATGATAGGCGCAGACAATTCCCCTGCAATGTCTACTTGTGTTGACCAGCCATCGAGATAAGACTGGAACCATTTTAAGGCAGTGCCTTTGATACCAATCCTCGTTGATAAACGAGAGACTAGGATATGATGGTCGATGGTATCAAAGGCTGCTGACAAGTCTAATAATACCACAAGAATTACTTTGTTTGAGTTAAGTGAAAACATAATATCATTCTTCACCTTGATCAAAGCAGTTTCTGTGCTATGTCGGGGTCTATATGCAGACTGAAATGGGTCAGCAAGATTGTTAGCTTCAACATGCTCCATTAGTCTTGAGCAAGCTACTTTCTCAATGAGTTTTCCTACATACGTTAAATTAGACACAGGTCTATAGTTCTTAATATTATTCTTATCCATGGATGCATTTTTCAAGAGAGGTTTAATTACAGCACGATGAGCTCCTTTAGGAAAGATACCAGATGATAAGGAGATATTCACAATATTAGTGAGTACAGGTAGAAGATGATCAATATTCTCTTTCAAGAACCATGTCGGTATAGGATCTAAACGACTAGATTTACTAGGAGATCTTGTAATGATTTTCAAAAGATCACTTTGGGAAACTGGTCTTAAGACTTCAAGCGATGGTATATCATCATTCAAAGTATTATTGAAGTCAGGCAATGGCATAACAGGAAGGCTATCAAGTTGATCACGAATGGTATCAATTTTTTCAACAAAATATTTAGAAAATTGATAACTTAGACGAGCAGCAGAATCATAGAATGGAAGATGATTTGATTTCTTGTTTAAAAGAGAGTTAATAGTGCGATAAACATCCTTGCTACTACAAGAAGCTAGTTTATCTTTGAAATAGCTTTCTTTGGCGGTTTCAATGAGTTCACAGACATATCTCTTTTCTTTCATATACAATTCACGATCCTGATCAGATCTTGATTTCCGCCACTTTCGTTCTGCTCGACGTCGCTCTCGGCGAGCAGTATGAATTGAGTCATTAAACCAAGGCATTCGATTCTTTACAGGTCGAGTCTTAATTGTTGCTGGTGCATATGTGTCTAACAATTCTTCCATTCCAGATTCATACCATTCGAACAAAGGGTCAACATCCACATTGATTGGTTTGGATGATAACAACTCAGTTAGTGAGTTAACAAATTGATTCTTATCGATTTTACGATAGTTGCGAAGAGTTGATACAGTTTGCATAGGTATAGGTTTTGGAAGCTGCAAAGTGAAACACACAATATGATGATCAGACATACATGTTTCATCAATGTAACAATCCTTAAGCAAAGATTTATCAGATTCATCACAGCGGGTAAACACCAAGTCTAAGGTGTGCCCAAGACTATGTGTTGGGCCATTTACACATTGAGCAAAACCAGCAGCAGTTGTTGTTGAAGAGAAATGAATAACATCATTTTTAGAGGGATTATCCCAGTGGACATTAAAATCACCCAGTAAAATTAGCTTTCCTGGAAGAAGAGATACTTCATTTACAAAATCATCAAATTCACTAAGAAAATCTGCATTAGTGAATCCATTCATTGGTGATGGGGGTGGCCTATATACAACTATAAAATTGACTGAGTAAGAACTATTAGTGATATGTACGCATTCGAATGTAGAGTAAACTAGATCATCATTTCGCCTAATACGCATCTTAAGTGGAGTTTTAAACAACATAGCAATTCCGCCTCCACGAGTACTAGAGTCACGAGGCTCATTTAGGAAAGTATAACCAGGAGGGGTACACTCACCTATGACAACATTATCATTTTTGTTTAGCCACGTCTCAGTTAAAATCATTACATCAGTGTCATGTTCACAAATATAATCAACCAGATCAACTGTCTTATTTCTTATAGAATGAGCATTCCAAAGAGAACATGTTATGCCAGACTTTACATTAGGATTATATTGAGAAGGATATATCAAATTGTTCCGATTAGATCCTTGTGACCGATCTTCGTTGGTGTGTCTTGGTCTTCTTCTTCCGGATGTGACCACGGATATCGGTGAAGTTACAGTACAGAGCTGAAGTGTAACGGATATATTTGACTGTTTCTCGTGTCTGATGCTGGCTTTTCCGTAGCCACCTCGAGTCCCTCTGCGTGTTTTCTTTCGGTGAATTCCATAAGAATGAATGATGTCGCAAATATCCCGTGGAAGCTGTGCCTTGGAATGTCTCCATTTCAGAAGTTCAGCTGGGGTATATTTGATGTAACGTTGAACTTGATGAGTAGCACGATGAATGGCGGATGTGGAAGAAACACATCCATCTTGCATATGGGGCCCTGGATTTGGATGAACATCTCCGGCATGAAAAAGTTCTAACTGAAAGGAGGCAGTGCAGTTAGAGCTGTATGGTATTCTCCTTTTTAGAAAGTGCTTTCTGATGAATGTTCCACGATGAAAAGACTGCACAAAAGACTGATCTTAATTGGTAACACTTATCATGATGCATTTTAATGGGACTTTGTAACATTGTTCAGATGAGAGATAGTGGTGTTAAGGTAGTGACTTCAATGCTAGATGTACAAATAAAGATAATCTGAAAATTTGAGTGAAAACGGACAATTATTCATGATAAAAATTGGGAAAAACTGATCTGATTGATTCCTTAATCCTCCCAACTATATTATTAGAATTTAATTACATTTAAGGTGAATGTATATCGTCACAAAGCGATGAAGTGGCTCTATATACCATTCCAGACATTTAAGTATTGAACAAAATTGTAAAGCCTTTCTAATGTCTTATTTTCATCAAAACCTGTCTTATTTGCATACATGGGTTAAAGCCTGTCTGCAATAGTTTAGCCAGGGGGGATTAGACCTCCCTGAAAGATCACTGACAGGTGGTTATCTCATCAAATCAGCTCTCAATTAACATAAGAAGAAGAGGATCATGAGGGACCAATGGTCACAGATAAGGTATTGTTTGCTATATAGAGGGCGCAAATAGCTATAAGTATGTGCAGTGGGGCTTTAAAATGATTGTCATGTTTGTAATGTTTATGTTTGACTGTACTTTATTAAAGCTGTTAAGTCCACAGCGATATAAATATTAAGCAATCTAACTGTCATTTGTTGGATCCATAATCGTGAAAACATACATGTATTCACAAATTGTAATTCCAACATGTAAGAGTGGCTAATGGATTAAAAAGATTTCTACCTATATGTTTGTGTTTATATTGAATTAGTTGACAAGACCTAAATGTACTGGGAGATGTTCATAGCGACAAGAACATGTGGTACAGCTAGAGTCCATCTATAATCTTTGTTTTTTCTCTTATCTGGGCTCACATATTCAGAAATCACAATTAGAGTAAATTAGAGTTGGTCACAGGCTAAACATATTTCAATGTTCATATGATTTAATGACAGCTGACAAGTCATACCGTGAGATGATCACGTCCAAACAGAGTCAAGCTATCATCGTGAGCGGAGAATCTGGAGCCGGCAAGACAGAGTCTACCAAGTATATACTCAGGTGAGGAGAATGACTGTTTGTTAAAGCCCTTTGAGAGGGCCTTTGGGCCTGAAAAATGCTATATAAGAACTAGTTATTATTATTTTTGAATCACTTTTGCGTAAATCAATGTTTATCGTTCCTTTGAATCCCTTACATGGTGGAACATGTCTCAAAGGCAGGGTGCAGGAGCACAGGGGGGGGGGGGGGTGTTTCACAAAGACTAAGATCGATTTTAAGTTGAACTTAACTATGACAGGCCATTCATGCCACTGGTTGCTCTCACTATTGGTCTCTCAAGTATGATCTTCAGATAATATTTTTTCCTTCAATAATGAGTTATCAAATTCTGTAGATTTGAGACCATTATTTGTACGTCCCTTGAGAGACCAATGGCAGTAAATATTGAGAGCAAACAGTGGCATGAACTGCCTGCCATAGTTAAGTCCAACTTAAAGTCGATCTTAGTCTTTGTGAAACACTCCCCTAGAGTAGAGGATACTTGAGGCTTTCCTTCTGTAAGATTCCGGTGGCAATGCCATTACTGTGTAAATCAGTGGCAAGCCTGATTCCTCAAAGTCCAATGGTGTTTCCGACCCTAAGGTACCTGACAAAGTCTCATGAACCAAGTCAAAGAGTAACTAGAGGATCGTCAAGGCTTAACCTGTTCTTTCAAAGCCTATGGCAATGCCAAGACTGCCTTGATCAGTGGCAAAGACCATGTTAAGCGATAGCTCAGTTAGTAGAGCAGTGGTCTCGTAGTCTGGCGACCCGGCTCGAAACCAAGGCAATGCGCTAGTGCCCTTTGGTTAGGCATTAATCCTCATTACCAGGTCTTTCGGAGAGTACCTGAAGCCGTCGGTCCTCTGGTTGCTTTAACTAGTCCGGTAAAATAACCACCACTACAAATAACATAGCATTATTATTAGAGGTTTGTTGTTGCCTTTGACCCCTATATGCAGGTATCTGACAGAGTCTCACGGACAGAGTGCAGGGATCATAGAGCAGAGGATCATTGAGGCTAACCCGCTCCTAGAAGCCTTTGGCAATGCCAAGACGGTCAGGAACAACAACAGCAGTCGCTTTGGAAAGTTCATGGAAATGCACTTTGGAGAGAAGGTTGGTAGCATCCTTCCTTTTGACCTTACACACTAAAGCAGGGCTCCCACTTAGCCGAGTTGTATTAGCAAGTTATGGCGAGTTGTGGTGATTTGCCTCAAAGAGGCACTCGCAATAACTCACAAACGGCTCTTCTTGTAACTCAGGACAACTCGCAACAATTCGGTATGGCTTAGCGTAACTCTTTACAACATTCCACGACTCTCCTCAAAGTCGCGAGCATTTTTTTTTTTCGCCGATTCGTTGTAATTCGAGGTGAACTCGCCTACACTCGTAATGAACTCGCATTACTCGTAACAAGCTCGCGCTGCATTCTTCATAACTCGTAGCAACTCGCTATCTTATGAAGAGTGCCGCGCGAGCTTATTACGAGTGTAAGTGAGGTCACCTCGAGTTACAACGAATCAGTGAAAATTTTGGAACTGCTCACGTCTTCAAGGAGAGTCGTGGAATGTTGTAAAGAGTTACGCCGAGCCATACCGAGTTGTCCCGAGTTATCTCGTGTTACAAGAAGAGCTTTTGCGACTTATTGCGAGTGCATCTTTGAGGCAACTCACCACAACTCACCATAACTCGCTGATGATATTTTCTCAGCGTTTGTGTTTATTGTTGTTTTTATATTTATTATTCCAGCACGATGTTGTTGGAGGCTATGTATCCCATTATCTACTGGAGAAACCACGAGTCTGCTGGCAGAACGGAGAGGAGAGGAACTATCATGTATTCTATTACCTGTGTGCCGGTGCTCCAGATGACCTCCGCACTAAGCTACGTATCCAAACCCCCGATGATTATCAGGTTGGTTTTTAAGCGACAATAAGCACGATAATTGAGAATTTGGTTTTGGTTGTGTATTTATCGGATCTAATTGTTCTTGTCTTGGAACTGACAAATTTTGTCGAAGGCTGTAATATGGAAGGCCACCTTCATATTCAGTTGGTTTTGATAAAAGCAGAACAATTAGAGAAACAAATTAGTGAAAGTTTGAGCAATATCCGATTAAAAATAGGAGAGTTCTTAATTTTTGAATTTGCAACAGTTTAAGAGTGTAATGATGAACTATTTATTATTGACGTGCAATATTTGCTTTGTTGTAGTACTTACGGAATGGAATCACTCAGTACTTTGCTGGCAAAGAATCCCAGAAGCAAGTGAAAGCAGACAGGCAGAGCAAAATGGTAAGGCAACCAACTTCAATCGTAACAAAATTATACAATTCAAACCTGCTTTAGTGACCATTGTCTACAAAGACCACCTGTCTACAAAGGCCCAGTTTGTTGTTTCCCTTGAAAATGGTTTCTTATTGAATCATGTACTAAAGGAACCTGTCTACAAAGACTACCTGTCTACAAAGGCCACTTTTTGTGTTTCCCTTGGGTGGTCGCTATAGACAAGTTTGACTGTAATTATAATGACCACCCAATGATAAACAGTAATAGGTGGTATTGATAGAGAAAGCGCTTCCCGATTCCAAAAGCCAACATTTTTCACCAGCGTCCTGTTGCATAAAACTTACTATTGATGGTAACTTTGCCATCAATGGTAACTCCCATGAAATTATATAATGATTTAATATTCCGCTTTTATATAGCGCTACATCTATGATGTCTATAAGCGCTTTACAGATATACTGGAAAACTAGATTTGATTGGCTGTTGAGTGATGTTGCCATGATAATTAATAGTGATGGCAAAGTTACAATCAATGGCAAGTTCTATGCAACAGGGCCCAGGGACCGTATTCAATAAACTTCTAAGACATTTTTCTTAAGTCTAAGAATATGTCTAGATTAAGAAAGTTGCCTTAGCCGTATTCTAAGTATGTAAAGCAGTTTGTTTTAGCTAAGACGACAGATAAGACTAATTCTTAGACCTGATGACGTCATGTTGGAAAGTCAAATTGGTCGACTCGAGATCGAGAGACTTAATTGCAGCTCAATTTATAAGTTGCTTGTATATTGCAATGAACAACAAAATTTATGCAATATTTGTTACATAAAATTGAGTGTATTTGTGATCCTTAGGAATGTCAGGCCCTCTCAATAACATTCAGGTTGCGTTCGCATCAGATGCATGGAGCTAACACAATGGGTACTTGCAGTAAGAGAGTTGTTATATTGCACACTTGTGCACATAAAACAAATTGTTGAGTGTCATGTGACACCTTTTCAGCCAATATAATTCTTGCTATTACAGATACCCTTTTTCATATTTAATCATATAGCATGCCAAGTTTCAAACAATACCAACCTCACTCCTTCTCTTCTTTGACTGCAATACCTGTACATGTATACAGTATGTCTTCAAATCAGTATTAAACAGCAGTCATATTCTCTATATGCCTATGGATGACACTGGGGAGTGCATCGAGGGCTCATATCTGTTGAGATACCCTGTGTCTTCTTCCCTTCTTTGTACATCATAATCTAAATTCCATATACTAGTACATGTTTATATATTTCCATTATACACCACTTACTCCTCCCATTGTTCCTTTATATTCCTCTTCTATTTTTCAACTTGGTGAGTTCATTGAATCTCATCTTTGATATAGTAGAGCATGTGATCACTTTGTCAGGCTTTGGAGAAATTGTGATGCTTTTATTTTGCAACCTCACTTTGCTTGTCTGAACATGTTACCTTATTTTTTGTCCTGTACATTTACACTTTCAGCATTTTTCTGATGTTGATGTCGTTCAACCAGTCCTATAACAGTACTTTTGTTAATATTATTATCACTATTGTTATTATTATTATTAATATTATTACTATTGTTATTAGTATTACTATTATTATTATTACTATTATTATTATTACTATTATTATTATTATTACTATTATTATTATTATTATTATTATTACTATTATTATTACTATTATCATTATCATCATCATCATCATCATCATCATCATCATCATCATCACCACCACCACCACCACCACCACCACCACCACCACCACCACCACCACAACCACAACCATTGTTATTTATTTGGCAATCACTCAATCACAAGTACAAAGTAAATAGCATAAAGCGCAAATAAAACACAATAAATTTGTACATGAATTGAATTGAATTGAATTTCTTTATTGTCATGCACTAAATAAAATGAAGGCATAAAAATTGTTTTACAAAGGGAATGAAGAACGCATTTTCTACCTCATTTCCACAAGATGCCGGAGCAGAAAAAAGATGTCTGATTCAGAAATGAAAAAGTATTAAAAAAAATATATAGATATCAGTGTTCATAATTTTACAGTAAATAAAATAATTTTAAACATTGACGACGGATAGTCAACCTGTTCGAAACGTCGAGCCACTCCTGCCACCCATCCTCTCCAAGCGCTATAGTTCTCCTTAGAACTATAAGCTAAGAAAGATAACCAACAGTCTTTTTCAAGACTACACCAACAGTCCTTTTCAGGACTACACACCCTCAAGAAAGATTACCGAGAGTCCTTTTCAGGACTCAATTCTCCCTTTCTCTCTCACATGGTGCATCCAAAAGCCTACTGTATATTGTAATTATCATTTTAAGTTTTCTTTGGATGGCTTTATCTTTGGATAGTCCAGTTTACAATCAGATGGGTGAAGAAAGACAAACTAAAGTGGAGTGTCTGAAAATGAAATAATACAAATATTGTGCCCTGCCATGTTTTTATTTTGCATGAATATTTGTCTGCATGCGTTCTGTAATTCAGTGTATGCAGAAGTTATATGTATGGTGTTGTAATAGCTCTTATATGTATGTATGAAATTCTCATAGCTTTTTATTTTCTTTGAGTGATAATATGTAAAATTATCCTACTACTAGAATGATAAAATCAAAGTGTAAATTGAGTCAAAATCTCCAGAATACCCATTTTGAGTATTAACTTGTCCATTTATATGCATGTATATCAAATAACCTTTAGCATGTTACATTCAAGTACACAGTGGGACAAGAAAAACACCAATGTGCTATAAGACATATTTGTCGGGAAATGGTTGTGATGCCAATTTCTTCAGAAAAAGTGCAAATTTTGAATGTTGGAGCATTTCCCCGATCTGGCTACATGTAGGATATTTGATAGCTTAAGAGAAAAATGATTTTGGTCCATGACATGTTTTATTTTTGTGCCCATTCTTGTGGATATGCTTATATATGATTTTTTTTCCTGATGCATGACAGGTGTTTTGTTTTTGTTATAAGTTGTAAATATATAATATGTAAAGTATATTGAACAGAAATTTAAGGCTTGTAAGCCATGATGTTCGAAAATTTAGAGTGTAACTGTATATGTCGCTAACTTGGAGAAGAGTAGGGGAGCTGCATACATGTATATACCTTTTTTTCAGTGATAGTTTTAAAGTGTTATAGAATGTGGTTTTTATCTAAACCATTAAGATTTATCTTTTTGCATGCCAGAAACAATACTATTTCTTTGTACATACACATGCACACAAATGAGTTATGATATACACTTTATCCCAAACGAGATATTTTATGCATTTTGTGCTGTTTTTTGTCGTGAATTGTTAGAATTACATATTTAATCAGACTTATATCTTTGAGTCTTAGTTTTCTTCAGGGGGGTGTTTCACAAAGATCCTAAGTTGAACTTATCTCTAAGTTAGACTTAACAATTATGGAAAGCCGTTAGCATCTTTGAAAACATTTTGTAAAACTTATTTTAAAGCCATAAAATGTTGATTCAAATCATTTGTATTTTCTATTTTAATGGAGATTTCATTTTCTTGATGTGGATGTGGATTTATGAAAAGTCTAAAATACTTGAATTTTTGCTTTCGAATATATTTTATTTTAAGGCTACAAATGGCTCTCCATAATGTTTAAGTCCAACTTAGAGTTAAGTTCAACTTAGGATCTTTGTGACCCCCCCTAGTTCTTCCTCTATTTCATTCAATTCTCTATACTAAGGAAATAATGGGTGGCCAAAGTATGAAATCACTTGACCCTAACTCGCCTTCCCTCCTGATTTCTTTCATCTCCAAACAGTATAAGAAGAAGGGCGCGCTGCATGACATCCAGGTGGATGATTACCGTGGTTACCAGAGAGTGGTGGATGCACTCCGGAAGATCGGTCTCAAACCCCAGGAGGAGTATGACATCCTGCGTATCGTGGCGTGTGTCCTTCATCTTGGGAACATCGCATTCACCGGCAATGACAGCCAGGAGGGTAAGAATGCATGGCTGTCCCTTGGAATTATTCTACATGTATCTATCTAAGTATCTTCTCCCGGTTCAGAGGTTGATTGCAACATCTTCTGCCATTCTGGTGCACTCTTGCTGTTTTAGTCCACTCCAGTTCTTGACATTCTCTTCCCAGTTGATTCTGGGTCTCCCTCTTGATCTAGTTCCTTCCACCTCTTCCCTCCAACACATCCTTAAAGAGGCTTTGGTGCCTTTTAACATGACCAAAGTAATTGACTTTTCTCCTCTTAACTAATCCTACCAATGCAATTTGTTTACGCCCTGCCATGTGCAATATCTCTTTGTTGGTTTTCATTCGTTTCCAGGATATTTTCATCATTCTTGCTTTTGTGTCTTCTCCAATCATCACATTACATACATATGTAAAAAGTCTGAGGTATCTGGTGTGGGATTAATGGAGTAAATTCTAACTGAAAGCTTCTAAAATAACTTTTTTTTTTCTCTCTTGCATTAAAGATTAAGTATATTTCCAGGAGTCAGCAATAAAATATTGTTATAGAAATGAACTTTGAGGTAAAGGTATGAAGAAAAAAAAGACAAAAAATTTCCAGGAAATCTCACATTTGCTATATGGTGAATCCTCAAATGATCAAATGGGTCCCAGGAACTTTTTGCAAGGAAATGCCACTTTTAAGAGATAAAATCTTAAATGATCTGAGTGTTTCACAAAGACTAAGATTGACTTTAAGTTGGACTTAACTATGGGAGGTCGTTCATGCCTCTGTTTGCTCTTAATACCATGATGATTTTTATAATTTTTCAGATAATATTTTTTCCTTCAATAATGAGTCATCAAAACTTGTAAATTCTGTAGATTTGTGACCACCATTTGTACGTCCCTTGACAGACCAATGCCAGTTAGTGGTGAGAGCAAACAGTGGCATGAACGGCTTGCCATAGAAAAGTCCAAGTTAAAGTCGATCTCAGTCTTTGTGAAAGACTCCCCTGTAGTATTGAATAGAAGGATATTGTTATGGTGGCATGATTGATCATATGACCTATTTTCTTGTGTGTCAGGTGGCTGTGGCGTATCACCTGATGCCCAGGATTCCCTCAAGTTTGTAGCAGACCTCATCAAGGTGGATGCCAAGGAACTGGAACAATCTCTAACATCTCGTACCATGCAGGCTAGGGGGACAGTCATCAAGTGAGTAGAGGGAAAAAAAAAAATTCTTCTCTTTTTGTTAAAATATATTTATTGGGTACTCAAGGATAATAAAAGCCAACTGGTTATTTACAATCGTGTACAGGAATGTAAAATGACACAAACATATAGTCCACTACAAATCATTTTTTTTTTTAATGGAGGCTTGACTTGTCATGCTTAGCTGCAATTACATATTCAGATTTAGACTTCATTTTTATCAAAGATAAGAAAAAGGTTGTTAGTTTTAATAGACGTTCTAGCTCTGGGGTTTACCTTTTAAAGTGGCTTGGGTTCAAATCCAAGCTTCATGTTTCAAATGATGATACAGTGAAACCTGTTTTCAAAGATCGCTCCACAGAGACTAGAAAAGAGGTCCCGGCCATTTGCAAGTGATGTGATGTGGTTTGGGCTTGTGTCGGTCTCTTCAGTATGGATGGGGCATACTCCCACATCATGTGTCAAAACAGATTGGTCATTCAGACTGTAGATTTAAAACAGTAATATGAAGAAGTTAACATGCAATATTTCAATATCTCTGAAGCTGATTTACGCTAGGCAATATTATAAAGGATGAATATTTATGATGGTTTGAACTATTTGATGTATACTTTTCATTAAATCTGATGGCAGAATTGACAGCTTTATTTTGTTAAGCACCTGGGGGTGTTTCATAAAGCTGTCTGCAAACTTATGCATGACTTGAATACGAAGAGCTAAATAGGATTCTCAAATCCTTTTAATTGCATATTAAAGCTAAAGTTAAAATATGCAGGTGTTGATTAAGCGTATCATTATTAACAAAACATTTTAATGCAAAGTGTATTGTTGTCTACAATTTAATTGAGATTATGGGAAATACAGTAATACACTTTGTTAAAATGTCAGGAAAAGTTTGGGCATCCCATTTGGCTCTTCATATTCAAATCATTTGTGAAGTCTATCATAACTTTACACACAGCTTTATGAAACACAACCCTCCATCATATTAGCTAGGTTGAAAGATTTTAGTTTTTTACTTTTTTGATAATTGGTTCTCATCACCACTGATGGATTCTAATCTTGCTTCACACCCAGAGTGCCGTTGAAGAAAGAGCAAGCGTCCAACGCTCGTGATGCCCTGGCCAAGGCTGTCTACTCCCATCTCTTTGATCACATTGTATCCCGCATCAACGAGTGCTTCCCTTTCAAGACCTCAGCAAACTTCATTGGCGTGCTGGACATCGCAGGATTTGAATTCTTCACCCTCAACAGCTACGAGCAGTTCTGCATCAACTACTGTAATGAGAAGCTACAGCAGTTCTTCAATCTTAGGGTGCTCAAGGAGGTAAAGTTGCTAAAGATGGCTTTTTAGAAGATGGAATGTCTCATGGACTCTTATTAAAATTAAAACTACTTTCTTCTTCAAATAAGCAAACATTTTGCATCATAGCTACATTTTATTTTCCTCCAACCCGGAAGTTGGTGCCAGAGGCATTACACTGTATCTTTTCAGGTCATCCGTCCCGTTTTTCGAAACTGCGTTATTGAGCAAAATTTTACCAAACGTGGGAGGAAGTTTTAATAAAACTTGAATAAGCACACAAGGGTGAACTGAAACATAAACATACGTTAATTTGTTTAGAAAAACAGTGACTTTTGACAGATTGCCAATTTGAGGATTCAATTCCTTTGTTTCCTTTGGAAACTTTGCAGCATTTTTTTTTTTTTTTGGGGGGGGGGGGCGGGGGGTTGACAATGTTTATTGTATTTTAGTACTCTCAACCACAAACTACATGAGGGAGACTCTTAAAGGGCCATCCTCTAAAAGAAATCTACAGCAAATTAATTTTTGTTTTGTTATTGTTTGATCATTCAAGGAACAAGAGCTTTATGAGAGGGAGAGTCTGGGTGTAAACACAGTCAACTATGTGGATAACCAAGATTGTATCGGTAAGTAATGGTCTGGCAATCCTACATTTTCAAACTTATATATCTGAATACATTCTATGAGAGGGAGAGTCTCGGTGTGAACACAGTCAACTATGTGGATAACCAAGATTGTATCGGTAAGTAATGCTCTTACATCTACAGTGAGAGAAAAATGGTATAGGTATTATAAGCTTGATAATGTTATGGTGGTATCAATAATGATTCTGATTGTTTTTTTGAGGAGGCGCGATCTAGCTCAGTTGGTAGAGCAGTCTCAGCAGTGGTCTCGTAATCCGGTGACCCGGGTTCGAAACCGAGGCGATGCGCTAGTGCCCTTTGGTAAGGCATTAATCCTCATTACCAGGTCTCTCGGAGAGGAGCTAAAGCAGTCGGTCCTCTGGTTGCTTACTAACAAGCATTTATGCTCTCTTAGCAGTCAGGCAAAATAACCACCACTGCTATATTGTATGATTGTTATGGTAATGGTTATGGTAATAGTATAATGGCAGTGATGATGGTAACGGTGATAATGATGATACCCCAAACTTGATCCTCTCCTTTCCCTCCTGTCCTTCTCATCCAGATCTGGTTGAACTCAAACCTAACGGTATTCTAGATCTACTGGACGAGGAGAGTAAGCTACCCAAAGCCAGCGCAAACAACTTCACTCACAATGTGCATCAGAAACATAAAACTCACTTCAGGTTGGCTGTAAGTCTTCAATATCATTTCCATACTAAATAAATAATAATAAATAATATGGTTATTTATATAGCGCCGGTATCCGTCAGGTTCTGAAGACGCTCATGGCGCTTTACACATATTACCCTGGTCATAGCCGAGCTGCCAAAGTAACTAGCGCTCAAGCCTATCAGGTACCCATTTACACCTGGGTGGAGAGTGGCAAATTTAGAGTAACGTCTTGCCAAAGGACATTAGTGCCGCGGCGGGACTTGAACCTCGTACCTTGTGACCTGCAGTCAGGTGACTTATCCACAAGTCCACAACACCTCTACTATGTGTTTGTATATTAGGGAACTACGATTTTACAAGGCCTTCGGGCTTTATTGACCGTTTTTTGTAGTTCCCCTATTCATTTTCAAATTTTGTGTATGATATATTATCATTGATATTGATTGTGTATTTTTTTTGAGAATGAAATAAATTAAATAAAATGATAAAGTACTGTGCAGATCACAAATTGGTGATAGCATGTACACCACATATCATCACCTCTGATCAAGGCCTTGTGCTTATTTGCATATAGTTGGTATGTAAGAAATCAGAAAACATCTATCTGTTTGTCTTTGCTGATACAATTTTGATGTGTTATAATTATGAATCTTTCAGATCCCTCGTAAATCCAAGTTGACGGCTCATCGTAACCTCCGAGATGATGAAGGAATCCTTATAAAGCACTTTGCTGGGGCTGTGTGCTATCAAACTGTAAGTAACATTTTCTCTATCAAAGCACTTCCCTTTAAATTCACATTCCAAGCTTTAGAGGAGGAGCAACGATGCTGTATGAGTCCGTAACATGCCTGCCAGCAAGCGAGCACCTTGCCTGCATACAGATAATAGCAAGTGAGAAAAGGACTAGAAATACGCACACATAGCAGTCATGCCTCATGATGACAAACACATGAGAGCGCTAGACTAAATACTTTTTTCAAACGTCGATCTACCCTTACATCGGCCAATATGTTGCTTTAAAAACCTGATATATTTTCTCTTTGTGAAGATGGTAAATAAGTTACTTTTTCTCTCTCATTTTCAGATGTGATAATCAATGATCACTATAATCATAGCAATTGGATTTTATATCATTTGGTCACTTTTTATCTGATTTTCTTCAATTTTGCAAATTTGCAAATCTACAAAATTGCTTGAGAGCCATATTTGAAGAGAGCATGTTTGGCTATTCTTCTCTTTCCATGCCTTCTTCCTTCTCTCTCTCTCCCCCTCTCCCTCTTCCTCTCTCCCACTTCTTTTTCTCTCTCTATCTCATTTCTTTCTTTTTGTATGCTCTTGTCTCTCTTTCTCTCCCCCCTCTCTCCCTCTCTCTCCTTCATTCTCTTTCTCTATCTCATTTTCCCACGTTGTCTATGCCCATATCTCTCTCTCTCTCTCTCTCTCTCTTTCTCTTTCTCCACCTCTAATACATATTCTTTCTTATGTATATACCTGTTTCCCAATCTAGAGTGAATTCATAGAGAAGAACAACGATGCTCTGCATGCCTCTCTAGAGGTTGTTATACGAGACTGCAAGGATCCTTTCATTACCAGTCTCTTCCCTAAGAACGACAAGGAACCCTCCAAGGGGCGTGGAGGACAGAACGTCCAGAAACTGGCCTTCGACAGTGTGGGAAATAAGTTCAAGGTAATGATATGTTATGGATAGTCTCTTGTTTATTCTATAGTTTTTTTGTTTGTTTGTCTCTATTTCTTTGTCATGTTTTTGTTGACCTTTTGAGTGTTTTTAGCTGGATCAATGTTAAAGATAATCTTGTGTTCTGGTAAAAAAAGAAAATGAACTCTCACAGAATTAAATGAAACTTACACTGAATGTTCAAGATTACAAATAAATGTCATTTGCCAAACAATTTTGGTAGAAAATGAATACTAGCTGAGTAATGAGCATAGAAAGATAAGGAAATCAAGGTAAGTAGAAAATATACATCTTTCTGTGTACAGTACTTGTTACTTTACTAAGACTGGGCCAAATTTATTATGAATTTGATGACTCCAGAACCTTGCAGTACACACCAATACTTACATGCTACATGATCAACTTTTTCTGATCCATTCCACACCTTTTCTTTCACAATCGCATGACCAGAACTCAACTTTATCTTTAAATGTAATAAAAAATAGTTAATGATTCTGCATTTTCAGGGTGACATGAGGTCACTAAGAGCTAAATAAACTGAATAGCCTAGACTCCAATTACCATACATGTAGGTTATCATGTTCTTTGCTAACTCCATGAATGGGCTGGAGCAGGGCTAATTCATTGCTGGGGGCTGGTGTGAAATGCTCAAGAAAAATTCGAAGATACTCCTTTATGGTTAGAACTAGGGCGGTATCTGATCGCCTTCGAATCTCTAACTTTCGTTCTTGATCAATGAAAACATTCTTGGCAAATGCTTTTGCAGTCGGTCGTCTTGCAGCGATCCAAGAATTTCACCTCTCACACCACAATATGAATGCCCCCGTCAGTCCCTCTTAATCATTACCTTGAGTTCCGAAAACCAACGCAATAGAACCGAGGTCCTATTCCATTCTCTGCTGTTCAGGCGTGAGGCCTGCTTTGAACACTCCAATCTGTATACCTGTATATCATTCTTTCTGTCCAGGTACAACTCAATCAGTTAATGGTCGAGATGAATTCTAAGATATCTGTTTACCATTATTTCTGTCCAGGTACAACTCAACCAGTTAATGGAGAAGCTTCGAAGCACTGGATCCTCTTTCGTACGTTGCATCAAACCCAATGGCAAGATGGTGGACAGTCTGTTTGAAGGGGGACAGATTCTCAGCCAGCTACAGTGCTCAGGTAAACTACTTTTTATGCCTCCGTTACGAAGTAGCCGGAGGCATTATGTTTTCGGGTTGTCCGTCCGTCCGTCCGTCCGTCCGTACGTACGTCTGTACGTCCGTACGTCCCGTTCTCGTGATCGCGTTATCTGAAGAACCGATTGATGGATTCCTGCCAAACTTTGGTCATGTATGTATCTTGCAGAGCTGATGAACTGATTAGATTTTGGGGTCACGAGGTGAAAGGTCAAAGGTCACAGGGCTCATTATGTATGCAAAAACAGCTCGTGATCGCGTTATCTGAAGAACTGATTGATGGATTCCTGCCAAACTTTGGTCATGTATGTATCTTGCAGAGCTGATGAACTGATTAGATTTTGGGGTCACGAGGTCAAAGGTCACAGGGCTCATTATGTATGCTGAAACAGCTCGTGATCGCATTATCTCAAGAACCGATTGATGGATTCCTGCCAAACTTAGGTCATGTATGTTACTTGCAGAGCCGATGAACTGAGTAAATTTGGGGGTCATGAGGTCAAGGTCAAAGGTCATGCGGCTCATTATGCATGCAAAAATAGCTTGTGATCGCATTATCATTAGAACAGATTGATGGATTCCTCCCAAACTTAGATCATGTATGTATCTTGCAGAGCCAATGAACTGAGTAGATTCTTGGGTCATGAGGTCAAAGGTCATGGGCTCATTATGTATGCAAAAATAGCTTGTGAACGCATTCTCATTAGAACTGACAGATGGATTACTATTTAACTCGGGACATCTTGCAGAGCCAATGAACTGAGTAGATGTTAGGGTCTTGTGGTCAAAGATCAAAGGGTCATATATGTATATGAGAAATTGCTTGTAATCACGATATTCTGAGAACCTGTTAATGGATTACAATTGAACTTGAATTTGAAAAATTTCTTCTGTTTTGGTTTGTAAAATTGCTCTATGACGGAGGCATCATTTCGACTGCGCGCAGTCAAAGTTCCATCTAGTTTCATTTCAGTTCAATTCAATTCAATTCAAAATGCAGATATGATATTGTTCAGTGCGTCCAAGAAAAAACGAAAACGAGAATTATTAATGTTCTATCATAACTTAATCACAATTATAATTAAAAAATGACACATATTTAGAAAGCTTAGATCCTCCTCTTCCATTTGATGCAACTCACATGATGCATATTTCGCGCATGAGTGATTAAAAACAATTTGAAGAGACGGTACCAAAAAGTCATTTGGCTTGCCGGTATCTGAATTTCAAAGAGAAAATCACATTTCTAGAAAGTTCATTTTCTGCCCTTTCATATTAAACATCAATCAGGAAAAACATGTTTGATGAATGTTCTAGATATGTTCATTCTTTTCCCTATGCACTAACAGGAATGGTGACTGTACTGGATCTGATGCAGGGAGGTTTCCCATCCCGAACACAGTTCTCAGATCTGTATAACATGTACAAGCAGTACATGCCACCAGAGCTGGTCCGTCTAGATCCAAGGCTATTCTGTAAGGTAGGAATCTTGTCATGTTTGAGGTGTGGTTATGGTCCTGTTCTCTTTTGAAAGAGAACATCTTAGGTTGAAGAAAGGACATCAGACAGTGAAGAATATTGTCACAATTCCCGCTGTGTGTGACGCAGGACCGGGACCACACACACTCCAGCGGCAATTGTGATAATATATTTTACTGTCTGATGTCCTTTCTTCAACCTAAGATCTTATCTTTCAAAAGTCAAATCTGAGTTTTAAATGTTTTGTTTACTTGTTGAATGAGACATTAAATAATTTCATGACACATAATGTACTACACCTTTTCATTGGTGTTTGCAGTGGTTCTGGGACAATTACCCCCTGGGCCACAAACCTCAGCCAATTACCAGTGGGACAATTACCCCCCAAGGACATTTACCCCCCAGCAATACTAACCCGTGGACAATTAAATCCTTTTTTAGTATAGATAAAATGAAACACAATTATTTCCAAAATGCCTCGAAAGGTCATCAGTAACTTCTGTGGCAGTTTGAAACATGTATCTCATTGACTTGTCCTTGCAGGCCCTCTTCCATGCACTCGGACTGGACGAGAACGACTACCAGTTCGGTCTGACCAAGGTGTTCTTCAGACCAGGCAAGTTTGCTGAGTTTGATCAGATGATGAAGTCCGATCCAGAGCACCTGAGGATCCTGATCAAGAAGGTTCGTCGCTGGCTCATCTGCACACGCTGGAAGCGAGGACAGTGGGGTACCTTGATGGTCATCAAGTGTAAGTTAAAGATGGACTCTTGTGGGGAATTAAACACAATTCGGGCACAGTCAAACCTATCTATAGCGACCGCCCAAGAGAAACAAAAAAGTGGTTGTTGTAGACAGGTTTCTTTAGTACAGTCAAACTTGTCTATAGCGACTGCCCCAGGGAAACACAAAAAGTGGCCTTTGTAGACAGGTGGTCTTTGTAGACGGGTTCCTTTAGTACATGTTTCAATGAGAAACCATTTTCAAGGTAAACAAAAAATGTGGTCTTTGTAGACAGGGGGTCACTAAAGCAGGTTTGACTCTATTTTTTTTTGCAAGCATTTTGCACATTAACAGGTGGTAACAGTAATAGAGAGTTGACCATTAGATTTGTTTCCCATGTCAAAAAGAATTATTTAGGCTAAGTCCTATTTGCTCTTTGGAAGAACCAGAAAATGACATACATGTACCTCTATTTCTTTGCATTTTAGGGGACATTATAGACATTTTGTGGACATCGCAAAGTACCTCTCTGATTTACTTGCTGCTCTCTCTCTCAAAATAGTACCTAAGAGATGTTCTTACATGTGGCTAGAAAGGACAGAATGTGAAGGAAAATTAACAACATTTGAGCAGAGGTGACTATGGGATCGTTTATTAAGTACCGGTAGAACTCTTTTTTTCTTCTTTTTTCTGATTCAGTGAAGAACAAGATCTTGTACCGTTGCGCTGCCCTTGTCAAGATGCAGAGTACTGTGAGGATGTTCCTAGCGATGCGCAAGCACAGACCCAGGTACAGGAGCCTCAAGCAAGTTAATACACTTAGCAAGGAGCTCGACAAGCTGGCACAAGTTGGTAAGTTACCTTTCGAGAGGTGTACAATTGTAGTTATGCTGTGGAAAATAAGGTATGGCAATGCATTTTTGGTTTCTGGCACCAAGGGAGTGTTTCACAAAGACTAAGATCGACTTTAAGTTGGACTTGGCGGGCCATTCATGCCACTGTTTGCTCTCACTATTGGTCTCTCAATTATGATCTTTAGATAACATTTTTTCCTTCAATAATGAACTATAAAAAAATGTAAATTTCTGTAGATTTGTGACCACGACTTTTACCTGCCTTGAGAAACCAATGCCAGGAATGGTTAGAGGAACTAGCGGCATGAATGGCCTGCCATAGTTAAGTCCAACTTAAAGTCAATCTTCGTCTTTGGGAAACACCCCCTGGCGTAATAGTAAACACAAGCCCAGATACAAAAGCCTCATGCAGGTCCATACACTCACCCAAGAACTATACGAGATGGCATGAGTCAGTCAGTGAGAAACGTGCCTTATGTCCTGGTTTGTTCAATATGACCCTGTGTCTCTACATGGACTAGCAAGTCTGTCTGCGAAGAAGAAGAAGACAATATGACCAAGCTTGTAGTCATCTAGATCACAGACATCACAGACATGTAATAGCACACAATGTCAATGTTAATCACACACATTAAAGGGGGTATAGCATGGCAAATACTGGTTAACGCCATCTACGACTTCTTTTGGACAACTGCACATAAACGAATAGAATTGATTAATGGTCAGCATGCGCTAGCGTTCGCGAAACAGACCGAAGTTCTCCTCACACTTCGGTTTCGTGTATGTTGCACGCACATGAATACTGCGGTCGCGTCGACCATAGTCGTATTATACCTGATTGGCCCCCGAGTCAGGCCATGGGAAAGACACATAGTCTCGTCATGCCACACCCCTTTTAAGTACTACCGCTTTCTATCTTGAAATTTGATTATTTGTAATCCAATATGTCATCATCATCCACTTGGAAGTTGGGCCATAGTTATTCAAATTAGAATCATCATCATTAGACGGATGATATATTACAAACAATGTATGTTTAGGTTTAATAATTACTCTGACTCCGCCACTGTGGTAAAGATGCATATTGTTCCTACATAAAAAAAAAATGTTTCGTCTGATTGTACTCTATTTTTTTGTATTCTTACTTGATTGTGGATATGACCTATGACCTTATCTTCAAACAGCCAAGACAGTCAAGGACAAGGTTGCCCAACAACAAGTTGCTGCCACCAGCAAGGCTCTACAGGATCTTATTATTAAGATTAAGGTATGCCATTCTTTCTATAGAAACAAAGAGAGGATTAGTATTTTTAAGATATGTGTACTCTAGCCATTTATTTACTCACTGAAAGAAGATTAAATTCTGTATTCTAGCTGTATTCTTTTAGATTAATCTATAGAGTATTTGCTGTTCATATTTGTCATAGACAAGTTTGTTTTGTTGTCTGCTATTTTGTATTTTGTATTTTTCATGTACTTTTGAGAAGAAAGACAAAAATAATCTGGTGTAAAGTGGAGTCTTGTTTTTACGTTTTCATGATGACCATTGACCTGTTGAAAGTAAAAGCCCACTCTTGAATCTTCAAACTTATTCGCTTTCAGTCTTACCAAAATTGTAATAAACATAATTTACTATATTCTATTATTTCACAAATTTCACAGAGTTTATTGGGCCTTTCCTATGGTTTAATGATTGCTTACTCTTTGTTCCAATATAGACTGGTTTACTAACATATTCAAATTGATGGATGTTTCTTTCTTAGAGACCTAGTGACAAGACATTCCATTAACCTGGTATTAATGAATGAACTACAATACTTAGAATGCAGTCTGCATACATTACTTGTTGCTATCTCGGGCAAGCCTTGGGCGAGCTTTCAGGCTGTCAAGAACAACCTTTGTTAAAAAAAGTATGCATAGAATTTGAATATGTTAGTAAACCAGTGTATTGGCGGTCGAGCTTTGAACCTTGTTAATTTGAACATTCCAACTCCAATAAATAATAATAATAATAGGCATTTATATAGCACTGTCTATCTAGACAATTTTATTCCAAGGTGCGCAAGAAAAATGGAAAGAATGAGAGAGTTTGGATGAGTGGCATTTAGTGTGAAGTACAGGTATTGTTACTCCAATCCCCTAACTTGTGTCACTTTGCAGACCACGATCATGACCCGAAGACAGATGGAGGATGCATACCTCAATCTCTCTAACCAGATGAGGAAGCAGCTCCTGGACCTGATCAACAAGAAGAAGGCAGAGGATGCAGAGGCAGACAGACTGCGGAAGATACAGGAGGAGATGGAGAGGGAGAGGAAGAGACGAGAAGAGGAGGAGAGGAAGAGGAAGGCAGAGCAGGAGGAGAGAGAGAGAAAGAAGTTGCAGGAGGAGGAAGAGAGGAAACTGTAAGTAAAGTGAAATGATATAAATAGAGACAAGAAATTGTTTTGACAAATTAATGAATAACATGTACAAGACAACTTGGTGCAGGAAAGGGTTGTACTAGCTTGCATAAACAGCATTTTGATGAATGGAAACATAAGAATCTGGAACCTGTAAGTTATTTTCTTTTCATTTCATTTCATGACAGATTGTTGGTTGATTAAATAAAAGAGGTATTCCTAAGACGGATTGTTTGTACATTTATTGAACCTTGATGATTTACAATAAAAAATAACTAAGGACAAAGGGAAGACATAGAAATGACTCCTTGTCCAACAATAGGAGAAAAGCCAAGTGAGATATAGTGTGTAGTTGTGGAAATCTGAAAAAAGGGAAATGTTAATGTCAATTTAACCCATTGACACCGTATTTGCCAGCGTAAAGGCTGCAGTATTTTTGGAAGAGAAAATATCAAAAAGTCGGGGTGCGGCCTATGCGGCGAAAGAGTAAAAAAAAAAAAACTTGCAAGTCAAAACCATGAAACACAGCACAAATTTGTACATATGGGACAACAATGAAAGGTGATGGACATTTCTAGAATAATTGTCTAGAATAACACGTCTTACCGACCATTATGTGTTATATTTATTAAATGAAGGGTAAAGTTTTGCCAATCTCGTAAATAAAATTCATAACTTACCAACCAAACTCAACTGGTAGCGATCTAGATTTAAGTTTTTGCCATAGCTAAAGCCTCTCGATCGCGTGAGCAAACCTATGGCGCAATGCATAAGAGAGAGGCTCAATGTATACATGAGAAAAAACTGCAAGCTGTAGTATCAGTGCGGGATGGCCGAGCTGTCTAAGGCGGTGAATTGGGTCACATCAACATTTGTAGGGAAGGGTTCAAATACAACTCCGACAATTTTTTTTTTTTTTTAAATGTCAAAATCGGGGGTGCGGCCTATGGGGCGGTGCGGCCTTATCACCGGCAAATACGGTACTGAATTTCATTGTTCTTTTATGGTTTTAATACAGGATTGAGAGATAGCTTGGTTGGTGGATGGCATTAGACAAGAGGATAATGATGCTTGCTTTTCAAGGCTGCCAATAACAGTTATATAATATTTTTCATGCCCCCCCCCCCCCCGCACACTTTTGCAGGAAAGCAGAGATGGAAGCTAAACGCCTACGAGAAGAAGAGGAGCTTCGTATTCAACTTGAAGAAGAACAGAAGAAATTAGCCGCGGAGAGAAAGCAGATAGAAGCAGACCGACAGAAGCTGGAAGAGATGCAGAGACAAGCGGAAGAAGAACAACGTAGAAGGTGAGGGGTTATTAAAATGGGCTAGAATCGGTTTGTTTACTTACCATTTCGTCTAATAATAATAATAATAATAATACTGGATTCTTATATAGCGCACGTATCGACCTTGGAAGGTCCTCAAGGCGCTCCAACATTACCTGGCTATGCTAGGCTGCCGATTTCGACGCTCACAGCATTTAAGGAATTCCTTCCCACCGGTACCCATTTAACACCTGGGTGGAGAGTGGCAAGTGTAGATTAATGTCTTGCCAAAGGACAATAGTGCCGCGGCGGGACTCGAACCGGGGGCCCTTTGATTCACAGTCCGACGACTTATCCACTATGCCACAGCACCTCTACGTGTCTACTATCCATAAAGTCTGACAATCATTAAATGATTAATATTATTTAAGATCAATTCATTATTAGACCATATTGTTATTAGATTAAATGAACCATAAGGGAAGTAGACTAATTAAAGATTTGACCAAATGGAAATTAGTCTTGGTCATTAGATCAATGATAAGAGAAAATGATTATTAGACCATGTGAATAGTAGATAGGCTGGATGTAGACCATGATGGAATGATTTATTAAGAAAATTTGTGATAGTTTCAGCTTCCCCGCAGGTTGTTGTTGTTGTTGGGTAATTGTTTATTGGCGTTCATTCAATGTTGAATATATACGCCATAATTATTTTTAATTTTATAAGGAAAATCAGTTATAAATAAGAAAACTGAGGATAAAGATTTGTAATGATATAATTAAAAAGTAACGCAATTTTTTAGGAGTCTCTGGATGGTTTGCAACTTCGTGTTTCTGCTTTTTTTAAAAGTTTAATCTGGTCAGCCCGGTTTCGATGGCATGGAAAACTAGCTTTGCCCGATGTGAAACAGGCTTCTCGGCTACTCGGCGTGCGTGCGCAGTGATCTTTTAATTTTATAACGCACGGTGCCTAGACCACTCAGAAACACAGAAACACTATAAATTGAGACACATCGTACAGGGGCGCTCCTGAAACCGAATTTCCAATCCATTCAAGTAAATTGATATACAAATCTTATCACATTATCACTATTTGTAAGCAAACATTTAAGTGGGCTCTTTGTTAGTATCAATGCATAAAAATAGAACAATTGAAAAATTAACGTCTTTATTTAATATTATATATGGCCTATATAGGCCTATATATTACATACCTACATACATTATATTTCTTTTTTTATTCCTCCTTTTATTCTCTTTATGAGAATCTCCTAAAGAAGCGATAGGGGAAAGAAGTACTTTTGGCTTATTTTACTTTACTTGTAGGTAAACTTATTAGGTCTCTTGTTTTATTTGAAGCGACCTGTTCTATGGATATATAGTAGGATGGCATATTGAGCCTTCTGTGAAAACTTGAAAAGTATTCTTTTTGTTTCTTCTATTGTTTTGGTGTCTAAATCTGAGAAAAGCATTGCTCGTTCAATGATATACTTATTACAATAAAATATAAAATGTTCTTCTGTTTCACTGATGTTACAATAATCACAATATTCTGTTTCACTTAAACCCACTTTAGCCTTTTGTTGGTTCAGTTGAAGAACACCCATTCTCAATCTATGTAATATTACTTCACTGTATCTGTTTACCTTGATTGATATACATGAATGATTCTCAAATCGTTTTAAAGGTGATTCTATCGTTTTCCATCTATCTTCCCCAATTTCTCGTACTCTTTTACTCAGTATTGATTTCAGTTCTTGTACATTAAGATCATTGTTAATTTCTATGTTTTTCTTTAATGCTCTCTTAGCAAAACTATCTACTACTTCATTCCCTACTAGTCCACAGTGAGATGGGATCCATTCTAGCGTTATGTTTATACCTCTATAATGAAGATGTGTTATTTTTATCAGTATTTCTATTACGAAATTTTCTTTTATCTGCGATTCTATTGCATTTATTGTACTCAGAGAGTCTGAAAGAATAACTATACCAACATAAATATTCAAGTTTTCAATCCAATCTAATGCCATAATAATGGCTACTTGTTCTGCCCTGTATGACGATGTGTCATTGTGTAATCGTTTCTGTTCATGAATTTTCATCGCTGGTACGTAGAAGCCTGCTGCTGCGTTGCCTCTTTTAGGATCTTTAGATCCGTCTGTGTATATATGTAGGTGTGTTTTATATCTAGTGTTTATTACTTCTAAAGATTTGGCTTTTTGATAGTGTGGGTTGTCATTCTTGCTGATTAAAGTATGTAATTCAGTGGAGATGGTGGGTGGAATGTAATGCCATGGTGGAAATGGTATTGGTCTGTTTTCTTCAACTTCATCCGATTCTTGAACTATTTTCTCGTTTAGAATTCTAAAACCAAAGGGCTTTTTTCTTTCTTTTTTTTAAGATTTTCATACTGCCAACAGTTGATTGTACATTTTCGGACTGGGTGTTCGGGAGTAGATTTCACTTTAAAATAATATCTATTCGTCAGCATTTTTCTCCTTATATCTAGTGGTTCTTCTCCTGTTTCTTTAAGCAGGGATTGTAATGAAGTTCCAATAGGGCCACCAGTTATAATTTTTAAAGCCTGATATTGTACTGAGTTCAACGTATTCTTTACTAAGTTTGAAGCTGAATCGTATGCTTCACATCCATAGTCAAATAGTGAACGTATTAATGCTTTATATACAATAAGCATAGAGTGGGAGTCATTTCCCCATGATATACCAGTTATTTTCTTCAAAATATTCAATTTTATTTTACATCTTTTTACTATATCCTGAATATGTGGTCTCCAACTTAATTTTTTATCAAACATTAAGCCTAGGAATTTGTGCTCCTGTACAAAAGGCAAGGGTACTCCTTCAAGATTCAGTTCACATTTTTTATTACTATTTGTAAATAGAAGCGAAACTGTTTTTTCATGAGATATTGAAATTCCCCAGTATTTAAACCATTCATTTAACCGATGTAGGTATGTTTGAACTTTGTCTTGAACAAACGTTTCATTTTTACCTGATTTCCATATAGCACAGTCATCTGCAAATAATGATAAATTCACTTCCTTTTCCAATGGTATATCATGCATCATAATGTTGAATAAAATTGGGCTAAGGGCACTTCCTTGTGGTAATCCATTGGCTAGGGTAGATATTTTAGATAATGTCTGTCCATTCCTCACTTGGAAGGTTCTTTTCTGTAGTAAGTTCTGAATAAATGTATACATGTTTCCTTTCACTCCTAATTTGAGTAATTTATATAATAAACCATTGTACCACAACTTATCGTATGCCTTTGTTACATCTATAAAGCAGACTAGAGTATGTTCATGGTTCCCTAAGCTTTGCTGAATACTATTTTCAAGTAGTATAATATTATCTGTAGAGCTTCTTCCTTTTCTGAATCCGCTCTGTATGCTCGGAAAAATACTTTTATTTTCTAAATACCAATCTAGTCTTCTATAAACCATCTTTTCCAATATCTTTATAAAGATGGGAGTTAATGTTATTGGTCTATACGATGATGGTTTTTGTGGATCTTTACCTGCTTTTAGTATCGGTATCAAGATTCCGTGTTTACACTGTTGGGGGATGTTTCCACTTTTCCAAATCTTATTCATAATTTTTAACATTTTATTTTTAATCTGTACTGGTAACTTCTTGTAGATTTCATATCCAATTTTATCTTTTCCTGGTGCTGTATCTTTTTGATTTTTCAGGACTTGATTGAATTCTTGCATAGTAAATTTTTGATTCAAAGACTGATTTCTACGTTGTTCTTGATCGTCATTTACATTTTCTTGCATAATATATTCTTTAACTATATTTTCGGCTTCATTGTTTATTATTGTACTCTCACTAATATTTTCAAAATGATTAGCCATCACATTTACAACCTCTTGAGGATTTATTATTTCTTTCTCTTCGTATATTATCGATTTAATGTTTTTATTTTTCTTATTAGTCTTACTATTTTCTATTTTACGTATCATATTCCAAATGTCTGTCATTGATGTGAAACGAGTCATTTCCTTACAATAGGTGATCCAATAGTCTCGTTTTGCTTGTCTTTTGATCTTTTGTGCTTCTGCTTTCTTTATCAGGTAATCTTCTACATACTCTCCAGTTTTTCTTTTCTCTGCTATATATCTTAGGTGATTTCTTTCTTTTATACTTTGTGAACATTCCTTGTTCCACCAGGGAACAGGATTTTGTCTTCTTTTTGATTTCACTTTTCCTAGACGTATCATTATGTTATTCAAAGTTTCTACAAATATAATGTAAGCTTCTTCTACATTATGTTCGTCTATATTTATCATCTCTTCTTCACATGCTTGTTGGAATGTTTCCCAATTAATATTAGCAAGTGACCAATTTATTTCTTCCGGATCAATCTTTGGAAGATCATTTTGATTTCCTATTTCTATCAATATAGGAAAATGATCACTTCCTAAAGTGGTAGATTCTACGCTCCAAGAAATCTTATGGGAAATATTAGGAGATGAAAAGCATAAATCTAATGCTGAACGCTTTGTCGTTCTATGGTCAATTCTTGTACCTTCCCCAAGGTTACAAATCGTAAAATCATGTTTCAACATGTATTTTTCGATTATTTTTCCATTTCCGTCGGTCTTGTCACTACCCCATAAAGTATTATGTGCGTTAAAGTCTCCTAATATAATTTTTCTTTTAGCTTCTTTTGCATTTTTTGTTATATTATCCAATATCTGTGGTGTTATCTTTTTACATGGGTTATAAAAGTTCACCACTGTGTATATACATTGATTGAAATATATATTCACCGTTTGACATTCTATGTCTTCATGTTCTGTAACTTTGTTATGTCCTAACGAATTATGGAAGTATATAGCACATCCACCTCGTATGCCTGTTTTTCTATTTCTATAAACTCCTTCATAATTATTTATATCAAAATTTTCGTTTTCTAATAGCCAAGTTTCTTGCACGCAAATTAAATGAATTATTTCTTGTCTATTATTAATGTGAAGTCTCAGTTCGTCTCCGTGACCATTTATGCCCTGCGCATTCCATTGCAGTATATTTAGGGTCACGGAGGCGAACAGACTAAAATACCAGGTCAATAACATTTTGTTCATTTAACATTTCTTTAGTGAGATTGAAAAATTTGAGAGCTGCTCCTACAATCAGGCTTATTGGATTATCTTTCTTTTGATTAAAATTTGCAAGAATATATACAATAAATGAAATTATTTCTTCATTACTGGCATTGACAACGAAGTTTTTCTCATTTTTACAAACTTCTCCTCCTTCATGAACATACTGCGTGGTTCCAGAATAATCTTGGTGTGCAGTATTTTCTTTCGTATTTCTGTTTTGTTGTCTGCCTTCGCTTTGTTTTAGTTGTTTGGGATAAGTTTTAATTTCCTTCTCAGATTCTTTTATCTGGGGTGTTTGTTTGTTTATCTGTACCGGAAAGTCTACCGCTTGTCTTTCTTGTGAAAGAGGAGCGTGTTGGATTTGGTTTGTATCCATTGCTTGATCTTGATCATTCTTCCAAACTTTGGCAGCTTGAGCATAGCTTACTTTTTTTTCTATTTTGATTCTTTGCACTTCTTTTGCTTTTTGGGCTTCTTGACATCCCAAATATGCCGCAGAGTGTTCGCCTCCACAATTAACACATTTTGGCGTTTCTTTGTGGGGACATTCGTCGAAGGAGTGCGTCTCCCCACAGCGAACACATCTTGGCATGGATTGACATTGTGCTATTCCGTGGCCGAAACGTTGGCATTTGAAACATCTGAGTGTGGGTGGAAAGAATTGTTTAACCTTAAATAATTGGTAACAAAACGTTATTTCAGAGGGGAGGTTGGTGCTGTCAAATGATAGAATGATATTCCTAGTGGGAATTGGTTCTTTTATTTTGTCTTCTCTTCCTTGAGAACCATTTTCTTTTTTGTCATTTCTTCTACTCATCATTCTTTTAACCCCCACAACTTTCTGTTTAGTCAGTTCATTTTGGATTTCTCGTTCTGTCATTTCGATGGGGATACCATATATCACTCCTTTCACCCAATTTCTCAACTCTTCCACCTTCACGGGGATATTTCCGATGTTTTCAATTTCTTTCACACTTCTCATTTGCTTGAAGTTTTTACACTTTACCATGATTCCATTCCTTACATGCTTCACGAATTCCACTGGATTATTGCCCACCACTGCATGTATAGCTTTAGCTATCACTAGGAGATTCAGATTGTTTAGATTTTTCGTTTTGTCTATTGGGACTAAAAAGCATTTTAAGTCAGGTGGTTTGGGGGTTGAGAAAGTATCATTTTCTTTATCCGAATTCGAAGTATCGTGCATTTTAAGTGTTTCCACTTCTCTACTTTCTTTTCTTCGTCTTTTTGCTGATTGTTTTTTCCCTGGACTGACAGTCATAAAATCATCTTCTGTTTCGTTGCCTAATTGCTCCGGAGCGGAGGCCGCCATGGTTGCAGTGACGTGGCGCCACTACAAAAAGGCGGGAGTTTCAAAAAGATTCGATAGTTTTTAACAGTGTTAGTATAAACAATTTGCCCACAAAATGTCTGCTTACCTTTGTGATTCCTTCTTGCGATGTAGGTGTTCACTAGATATTCCAAATAATATGTGATATAAAGGAGATTTTCTATTGTAAATCCTGATATTTCCTAAGTGTAACAAATTTGCGTCCACGCCCTATCGCGAGCGCCCTCTTCTTCCTTTACTTTTGGAGAAAAATTAGATTAACATCTATGTGCACCATGTATCAAAATGTCCTCTTCCTTCCTCCACAGCAGGGCTGTGGAGCTGGGGGGTGTTTCACAAAGATCCTAAGTTGAACTTATCTCTAAGTTGGACTTAACAATTATGGAAAGCCGTTAGCATCTATGAAAATATTTTGTAAAAGTTATTTCAAAAGGCAAAAAATGTTGATTCAAATCATTCATATTTTCTATTATCAAGGAATTTTCATGTTCGTGATGTGGAATTTATGAAAAGTCTAAATTACTGAAATTGTTGATTTTTAAAATGTTTTATTTTAAGCTACAGATGGCTCTCCATACTTTTTAAGTCCAACTTAGAGTTAAGTTCAACTTAAGATCTTTGTGAAACACCCCCCAGGAGTATTAATTCAAGCAGACGTATGGTAATTCTATCATCATATCATATGAGTTGTATAACAGCAGAATGTTTCCTTAATTTCTTTGTGTGTTATAATTTTGCCAATTTGATAGGGAGGAGCAGGAACGCCGTGACTATGAATTAGCCCAGCGTCTCTCGGAGGAAGCTAATTCTCAGGTTATCGCAGAGGAATCTCTTGTAGCTCGGTAAGACAAACATTCAATTTTAAACCACATTTCCTTTTTTTGAAATATTTGATTTACCCTAAATTGTTTGATGAAAAATGTGCATAAATTATTTTGTGCAAGGACCTCTGTGTACAAGTGCATGTACGTTTAGATATATTCCAATGAGCCTTTTTCATACGAACAGTACATTGTGACTTTTAATTAAAACTTCTGTAAGAAGCGCTTTTGCTTAACTATTAAAATGAACAGTGATGCATTAGTTCTCTTTAGAAGACACAGATTAAATTATAGCATCTGAAAATTGATTTACTGTAACAAAATATATTCATACCCTTAATTCTGCTGTTGCATTGCTGACATTAAGTTGAGTGCATATCTCCATGCTTTGTTTAAGGCGGTGCTTGCTCTATTCTTGATCCATTTCTTCCTCATTTTAAGCGAATCAAAATGTTCTTTTAATAAAGGTTTGCAACTTTGCATGGGGAGGTAGATGAGTGAGGAAATCTTGATTATGTCCTTACAAGGACTGGGATATTCTTTCTCGGAGAGATGTGTTAGTTCTTAAAGGCACACTGTCATACTTGTAGCTACTTGCTCCCTCTATATAGAAAACTTCCCAAATCGGTGCCTGTTGGTCCCCCATGATCCTCTTTTTGTTATGTTAAATGAGAGCCAAGTTAATGAGATAGCCACCTGTCACAGTGACCTCGCTGGCTCGCTGGGCGGTCTAATCCCTTCTGGCTGAAGTAGTAAAGCCTGCCTTTAAAAAAACTGTTGTGTAATTCTTTTGGGGTTATACTTCTGACAATATTTTTTTTTAGATCTTTCTCTTTCTTTGAAAATGATCTAAAAATTCATTGTCAGAACGATATAACCACAAAATAATTACACAACAGTTGCTTTAAAAACCAACACGTCTTTCCAAGAAGGAATACCCCAGTCCTTATATAAAGGGCTACACACATGGCATACGTGTTTCAGTTTTCCTCACTCATTTATGCAAATTGTCAAAAATTAAGGGTATGCTGTGCAAGTAATACACCCAATGGTTACCGTGACTGTTATAGTTTCACACCATAAAGGACCCTGTTAATAGTGTCAACCTGTTTTTAAAGGATAAGCCACTTTGCATGCCTGTGATGTGTATTGCTAAATCACAACTGTGCTTTTAACTACTGCTTGCTCAACCATATTTGTGTGCAGTTTTAACTTCTTTAAATGTAAAGGTTTTAAAAAGGGCGGTCCAATTTGACCAGTGACTAAACTTATATGAAATTTATGTGGAAACAAAATGGGATATCCTATCAACTCACGATTATTGCTGCTGAATGTTCCACCCCAGGTGCTAGTGAATTTTTAACAAATGTTTTCTTGGATTTTTTAGCACATCCAGTACTTTTTCCCCAAAAAAATTATAGAGATCAACCTAGAATCGATTTATACCGTAGTCATAGTTATTGTTTTCCGTCAAATGTGACTGCCCTTTAAGAAACTTATTCATGATGACTGCATGCATTGCTCTTCATTGCAAATATATTATGTGGAAGCTTTTTCCTTGCTGGTATCCATTCATGCTTTAAATTGATTTTTGCTTTTTCCATGTTTTTCTTTTTGCTTTGATTTCAATTTGTCTACCCTTCATTGCCTGCCCCTTCACGCTCTATGTCGTCATCTATATTCATATAAATATATTCCTATATTCTACTCATTTCTGTACATTTCATTTCTATATGATGTCTATATCTATTTTCTTGATATTCAATTCATCCAATTATATTTCTTCTCAATGATACCACTAAAGAGCTCAAGCAAAAGTTGTAGAAACTGCCCCTCCCCGTGTAGAAACTGCCCCTCCCTGTGTTTCTCAAAATACATCTCCACCTAAATCTCGACCAGTATCTCAACATATAACTCAACCTAATTCTCCTTCTTCACCGCGACCTGAATCAGCAGCCGTACCTGAACCTCTATCTCCAACCCAAGGCATTTTGTATGCATTCTTTAAATTTATTATCCATATCATTAATGTGCATTCAAATATTGTATGCACGAACATTTTGATTTAGAACAAGTTGTGCTTTTTAACAAAATTGCTTAATAATGCTACTGGTGCGTATAAATTAACCACAAACCAGTAAGAAAAGGTTTTGTACTTTGCAATCTGCTTGTGGTAATATAGAATAACAATGTATTCATAGTTCAGAAGAGCCACAAAGTGCATCAGGGGTGGACATTTTTTTAAAGGCATATTCCTGTATATCGCATATATTTAAACACGAACAAAAGTAATCAACGATCTATTTTCATTCCCTCATACAATGATTTGCAGACATGTCTACTTTCAGTTGTAAAGGCGCGTTATAGGCTTTGGCTTTGGCCTTTTATATGTTGTATGTCGATGTTGTGTCTCCCATGCACTATCAAACAGTTGGTAGTCTAGATTGTATTGCTTTTTCTTCTTTCTTTCTTTTTTACTCAGCATTTGTCTTTCAAATTAGCAATTATGATTTATATTTCCTGTACTACCACTCAAAAAATTATCATTATGAGGGATTTGTCTAATTTCTTATGATAATGCATGCAGGACATTCTATAGAGACTCTGAATCAAAAATGCATGTTCCAATCCTGCAAATAATGTTTTTTTTTGTCAGTTTAACCACTTCAACCTGTAACTTTCATTATTCATATTATTCTTATGTATCTGCATAATGTAATATAATTGATTTGATCAAAGCCCCAATTTAATATCTTCTAGAAAAGGGAACAATCATAATGGCTGTTAATTCCATACATTATTTGTAAATGTATTCAAGATTTATGGAGAAAAAAATGGCAACAATAATGAATAACCAAATCAACCTCCACTGCACTAATGTCCTTTGGTAAGGCATTAATCTACATTTGCCACTTAATACCCAGGAGAGAGATGGGTACCTGGTAGGATGACGAAAGCCATTGTGTTAGTATTATCCATATGCCCCACGGTGACCTTATAGTAGGAATACTTTCCAGGGAGTGGAAATGGTGCATATTGTGCATGAATAAATCCGATGACCAGGGTATTATTATCTGTAAAGCCCTTATTTCGTATTATTATTATTATTATTATCCAAGGGTACTAACATTCATTCCATGGGTTGATGTTCACCCTAACTCCCTTCCCATCATCTCATATCATAACGTATATTTAACCCTTCCAGTGCTGAGGCTACCGTTGTCCAAGCCGCCGCTCCAACCAAATCCCTTGATCTGACAACATGGAAGTATGCTGATCTCAGAGACACTATCAACACCTCAATCGGTAAGGTCTACTACATGTAGTAATCATAAATTAATTTTCAAAGAGTCAACCTGATTTTTGTTTTCCTTTTTTTTTTCATTACTTTTTGAAATTTTAAGTTCAAACTGACTTTTGGAACCATCTTCTTAAAGGGGGTGTAGCATGGCAAATGCTGGTTAACACCATCTATGAGTTCTTTTGGACAACAACACTTAAACGAATGGACTTGATTAACGATCAACGTTCCCCTCACGGTTTTGCGTATGTTGCAAGCAGGTGAATACTGTGGGCGCGTCGGCCATAGTTGTATTATACCTGATTCGTCCAGAGTCAGGCCACGGGAAAGACATGTAGTCTCGTAATGCTACATCTCCTTTAATGTAAGAATCAGTTTCTGTTTCAGAAGGTAAGAAAAGCTTTTATCAAGCCACTAATTGTAGAACAGCTACATTCTTTAGTATGGAAAATGTCAAGAAGACCTTCCTGCCCGACAAGGCCTCTTCAAAAAGGCTGAGGAAACAGAATAGGGTGATTTTTGTAATTGATATTGTTTCAACGTTGTTTATGGTTGTTATTTGGTTTTGTTTACTTTGGGGGGGGGGGGCGGGGGGCATTGAGTTTTTTTTTTCTTGGCCTTGGGGATTATCAAAGTATTTTAAGTATGTTTTGTACACAGAATATGCAGCTGTACATTAACATACTTTTGCCCTACAAGCTCATCACCATTTGTAACTGCCTGGTTTGTATGCAAGGTTATCCCAAATGGTTTAGAAACATCTGCTGTATGGATATTCATGTACATTATGTTTCTTGTGAATGCCAGACATTGCGCTCCTGTCTGTGTGCAAGGAGGAGTTCCATCGTCTGTATCTAATAATAATGTTTCTTTGTGAATGGTAGATATTGCGCTCCTGTCAGCCTGCAAGGAGGAGTTCCATCGTCGTCTCAAGGTCTACCACGCCTGGAAGATGAAGAATAAGAAGGTTGCCGCCGGCGACAAGGGCGGACCAGAGAGGGCTCCACAATCCATCTTTGAAAGTGGTTAGTACCCTATTCCAGTGGATATACTCACCCACAAATATTGTTTCTTTTCATTCACATATATACCTCCTCTTTAATGCATCTGATGCTTAAATTGTATTTGTCTCCAAAACAATGTGTCTACACTGTATAGATGACAGTAATGTTTACTTCAGTTTACCTGAATATTATAAATTGTTGATTCTCATGAACATTTGTAAGACGTCAAACTTCTTGCACCACAGATGGAAAGATTTTGATTGACAAAGACTTCCTCTTTTTGTAGTCTCTTCTTGTTAATTTTTTTTCTCAAGTTTATTATTATATGTCTTTAATGTATTGAATAATTACTATGTATATCGTGTATATTGCTTGGTTATTTCTTTTTATGGAAGTGTAGAAATAAATCAAATCAAATCAAATCATGGAAAATATATCATTGCATATAATTATATGCACACAAGATATATTTTATTATTAACGCTTTTCTCTCGCCCCATCTGCACAGCCCAACAATACAACCAGCTGGCACCCCCTCCGAAAGCCACCAAGGCTGCCCCAGCCAATCAGAACATCCAACGCTTCTTCAGGGTGCCTTTCTCCGTGACTGGGTCCACCGCTCAGGGTCAGATGCCCGAGAGGGGTTGGTGGTACGCCCACTTTGACGGTCAGTGGATCGCCCGCCAGATGGAGGTACACCCCACCAAGGTCCCCGTTCTTCTGGTTGCAGGTAATCTTTCAACTCAAGAAAAAAATTACAATATTCCAACAGCTACATATGAATTAGCTGTTCACTATGAAACAGCTTACCGGTAGCTATAATAGCTGTCTAAAAACTTAACATATTAATTTTGCTACTAGCTGTTTCAGAATGTACAGCTAAGATTCTACTTCTAGTTCTAGCTGTACCATCATGTATTGTAAACAGCTAAGCTACTAGCTCAGTAGCTGTTTCATAATGTACAGAGCAGCTTCTAGCTGTTCTAGCATGTAACAGCTAAACTTTTAGTTGTTCCAGATGGTAACAGCTATGTGAAGGCTAAAGTAGCTGTTCACCTTGGTAAACGTATGGTTATGATAATTTGATAATATTCTTGGTTTACATAGCAGTACATCGACGATGACATCAGATTCTGGCTTCCCCACGGTGTATGCTCATTCTCCACTCCCTGGGGAGCCCTTTCAGACCTGCCAACCAGTTCGATTTAGTGGCATTTCGTACGATTTTTAGAAACAAACACGACAGTACGATTTTCCTCGATTTTGAAGAAGAAAAACAATTTTTTTTTTTTTTTTGTGTGTTGCCATTTTCAATGGCAAAATGCCCATTCTGTCCTGTAAAGTATCCTACAAGCATCTCACATCGGCAATTTGGGGATTGTTCATTGGTTCATCGAACTCAACAGTGGTGACAAAATCATGCATATTCAACCAATGATCCTTAAAACAATTCTTCCCATATGTAAGAACTGTAAGAGGCATTGATCCGCGTAATATATAATAATATCCGTGTTTATTTTTAAGGAGACAACTTTTGGGAATAAAGAATACAGTTTTTGAACTCCAGAGGTTGGCAGGTCTGCACTTTATCCTGAAACCATGTTACAAATGCAGACAGTAGATGGTACACTACTACACATGTATATGTATGCACATTCTTCACTCCCTGGGGAACATTTCAGCCAGAAGCTATGTTACAGACACTGAGGCCCGAATTCACAAAGGAGGTTTGTCGACAAACCTTGGTTTCCGTGCGTCATATATCGCGTTTTGACGCGTTTTTACAAACTAGGTTTGTAAAAAACGCCTTGGTTTGTCAAGAAACCTCATTTGTGAATTCGGGCCTGACAGTGTCACATGGTGTGCGACACATGCTCTGTTGACGATTGGCCCTTGGTCAATTCATACACTTTTTAAATCCTGTACTGACCTGTACTGAAGCATGTCTGATGATGGCCTATTCGCAAGTCCTTGTGAATCAGACTTAATGATACTTTGGTGTCAATTTATATATACCAAATTAATGTAGCATGATAAAACATGTACTTTGTAATGTATGGGAAACCAAATGACCTTAAAACTTGCACGTGCCCTATTACAGTGATATTGTAAAGATGAGTCATAAAAGAGCCCCCAAAACTTGCATAGAGTTCAATGCAAAACAAAATAAAGAGTGTTATTTTCATGCAAGCAAGCTTGAAAAGATCAAGCCCCCAAAATGTTTAAAGTATTTTTTTCCCTGGTCTGACTGAATTATTTCCTCTCCTTCCTTCCAGGTAAAGATGATGAGAACATGTGTGAGATGAGTTTGGAGGAGACTGGGTTGACACGACGTCCCAACGCCGAGATCGTCGAGCGGGAGTTTGAGGAGCCCTGGAAGCGTAGCGGCGGTCAGCAGTACCACATGGCTGCGGTACGCAACAAGCAGGCTAGACCAACGTGGGCCACGCAGAGCTTAAAAGCTCGTTGATGGTAGATCAACTCCTAGGGAGAATGAATGAAGAAAATTTAAATGCCTTTGTGTATGTGGAACCTAAATGTGCACTCTGCTTCATGAGCCTTGTAATGTATTGAAATTATACCGTTATCAAAATTTAGTGCATTTTTGCAGTGAACCAAAAGGAAGTTGTCTGCAGTAGACTTTATTAGGAGTTTGACACCAAGAAACTTGTCTTGTTGTAGGAAAGTTATATTTCATGAAATAACAATGTAATTTTGTGAGTGAGAATTAGATCAGCTGTGAATTTTGTGGATCTTATCTCACTAGTTTGGGAGCAGTGGTGAAACAAGATGAACCTTGCAGTGGAGTTGGGTTTAATTGTCACCAGGGGGGTGTTTCACCAAACTTGTCATCAGTGACAAATGACAGTTGTTGTTATAAGCTACTGAAATCCTTGCTTCTGATTGGTTATCAACAGATTTGTCACTGATATTTATCATTTGCATTGAAAAAAGGCTTTGTGAAACAGGTCCCTGGTCTATGCCTTCAAATTGTACACACACATGTAGTAGTTGAAGAGACATGAGGCTCTTCCAGCACAGGTTTTCAAAGGTTTTGTTTTCATTCAGGGAGTATTCTTTATAAAGTAGGTAAATCCAGTGTATTTGAATATCAAAAGATGAAATTACAGAATTCTGACTAAATAAAATAATCAATATTAATATCATGAAAAGTGATTTGTATTTACAGATATATGGTTTAATGTGTAACTGCACAGAGAGCATCGCAATTTAGGTATTGATGAATAGTATGCAAGGGGGTAGTTATGATGATATGAATAAAACAATTATAAATAACATTGCACAATTGATTTTATCTTGCACACCTTGACGTCAACCCAAAGAAAAGATTTTAGATAACAATTACATTCCAAGGTGTATTGACAAAGGCATCTAGGGCACTTACTCGGTCATGCTGTATTTGTACTTTATGCATGTACATGTATGTGTTTTGTGCACATTCATTTACATTCTAAGATAAAGTCATACTTTTCTTCTTATGCGTGACTTTTGAAAGCGTTTCAGGACTTAACATTCCTTCTTTTCTATAATTCTGTATCAATTTCACATCCACGAACATTCTATACCGTATTCCAATTATTCAACAACTTTTGAAAGAAATGGGAGCGAGAATTCAATGCATATGCAGCAGTTGAAGCAAACTTGACCACTCTTTGTGCTGATCTATCTATCATTAGAGACATGCATCAACTGTAACATGTGGAGGTAGTATACTATACAGTTGTCTTTCTAAACGGAGGGATAAGCGCTGAAAAGAAAATACATGTTCTGTAAAACCTGTCTATAAAGACCACCCAAGGTAGACAAGAAAAGTACATGTACTGTTTCCATGAGAACCTTTTTTCAAGGGAAACAAAAAATGTGGTCTTTGTGGTCACTAAAGCCGGTTTGACTGTATTAGGATAAAAGGTGGTATAGTGATAGGCTTGCATTCATGTACACATTTGTTATCATTTTTATGGCATGGCATTTCTACCTTTTCCAAGAAAGCATTGTACTTGGATACCTCAATCAGGATTTCATGATAACAATTTGGGGCATTTGATATCTAACTATATCATTTTTTTGTTTAAAGTTGAGTTATTCCTACAGGCTTGTAATTTTGATGTTTTTTGTGTTTTTCGAAACTCAAGAATGAAAAGTGGATTGATCGAATTAATCCCATGGTTGAATACTTTTAGGAGTAAGCTTCGATCAATGTCACTTTCTAGAAAAATGGGGACAAATCAATTTCGCATACAGTACTTGAAAACACACAAGACTTGGTATGGGTCTGAATAATTTAGTTTGTTCAGAAGAATTACATATGCATGTATACACAGGCTTCTCTACTTGGCATTGTTTACCCTAGGTAAAAATTGAAAAAGGTATGGCTTTCCGGTATCCCGGCCAGGAGGTGATTCGAAAAGACAAAACTAATTTGACTTTAAACAAAAAAGTATCCCCCATAAGTTTCATACTGTGTATGAGCACGAATGGTGTGTTATGCACCAACGAGAACACTGTGTACCGGTATGCATTCTCTTTGTAGCTGTATTCTCTTGATGTTAAATGTCTTTCACAAACTCACAAAGTGTCGTGCAGCAAGTGCTTACAGACCAAGTGTAATTTTTTAGAAAAATCTTTGCTCGTCTTTCACAAATCTACATCTACACATTTGTATTTAACAGCTAGATGATAAATTTCATATACATTGTATCTCATGTTGGGAAACTGCAATATGTTTTATTGCAGTTTTGTGACGAAGTAGAGTGTTTATTTGTTTACGAATACCATTTTACACCAGCCTTGATAACTACGAGTGTACAAGTAATATAACCAACAAAATCTGTAAAAAAATAATTTTCGTCACAATCGGTCACTTTAGCTTTGAAGTCAATAGATACTTTATATTTTGATGCACATACATAATGTGCCTGCCATTTGTGCCCAATTTCAAATCAATAGATCTGTCCTACGGAAGACTTCTTGAGGCCAAGTCAAGAAATATAAAACTTAAATCATTCAATTATGTTTTTTGCATAGAATCATAGAATTTAAGTACATACCAGTTTAAAAGTTTCAAGCTTAGTTGGAAGTAATCCGGTGCACAAATATGGAATACGTGTACATGTAGTGGTGCATATGGGTTTTGACATCATTATGGTTTAAAGCTTGCTCATTTATTCCTTGAAATATTGATATTTGGTTTTCATTTTACATACTGAATATAGATAAAGTCAGTCTATTTAGCAGTAAGGAATTGTTTCTTTCCAATCAGCTAGCATGCTGCATGTTAACATCACTACATTGTTTCATATCATAGAATAGAATGTTTACTAAAAATGTTGTAAATTTGTACTATTGTTATTAGAGTATGCTTCTTTTCAGAGATTATTTTGTTTTCCATGTCTTAAAGCTTTAATTTTATTTGCTAACATATTATGTGTAGTTACGAAGAAAATTCTTCATTGGAATATTTCATGTTTATGCATATCCAGTTCCCAAAATAATTTAGGAAAAAAAAGATTTAAAAATATGGGACAAAATTCAAGATGAAAAAGATACGTGTTGTATAAAAGCCACTGCAAATATGTCAACATTTGTAGATGCATTTTGACAAATTATAGATTGCTTTTTGCTCGTTTGCCAAGTATCATGGGAATAGTAGGCCTACAAGTTGTGTGGCACACTGTACAAGTAAAGAAAAGTAAAATGGATGTTTGTTACGTCAGATATGTGCAATATTTTATTGCATGCTGGCACTCTGTCTCTGTGCTTCAAATTGTGCAAACTGTTTCAAAGGAACTTGATGTCTAATTGCAGAGTGCTACATATCTGAATATATGCTAGAGTTATCATGACAATACTCCTGTGCCTTTGAACAAGAAGTATTTTTTTTTTTTAGAGGATGTACAATTCATGTAATGGTACTGCATTGTAACACACCAAATTACTACATACATGTACCGGGTATATAGTCATCAATTTTGATTCTCTGGGAATTTATATCGGAATAATGTTACATTATACCTAATAGAAATTCCACTGGGACAGCAATTCAAATACAATTAATAAACTGCAAGCAGAAGATAGTTATTTGCAAACACAGAATAATTTATTTTTTATGAATCTGGGTCCCATTGAACAAGTGTTAATTTTATAACATTCTTCTCAGTGGGATGTCCATGCGTCTAGAAATACGACTTTTGCGAGAAATTGTCGACTTCTGCGATTGGCAGGCACTACACCTTTAGAAATTAGATGTACGTATAGCTTATAGTTGGACATACATGTATTGTGCCTTGGTGGTCGCTTGCCCATTATAATAGATGTATTGAAAGTAGCAATAGAATGTATTTGTATTCAAATTTGGTGCATACATATTGCACTTGCTGCAATGACAATTCAAAATGTTCATCTCGTGTTCATAGTGATATTATTCATCTTATACAAGGCAAACTGTATGCATATATATTGAAAATCATGTTTGAATTCATTAGTTCGTACCCAGATATAGTATTATATTGTATTCAGCAGCACTATACGCATAGAGCACCTGACTATGAGGAGAATACCATGTGAATGAATTCTATTTATTATAACTTTATCAAATGGTAGTACTTAATCAGCGTCTTTCACTAAATCAATACGTAGATATTTAGAGAGAATTGATGAATATTGCTTAAAGCGTCACTAATCAATATATTTTATACACTAGTTATTGATATACATATTGTATTTGTGTGTGTGAGGAGGCTAGCCTTGCAGTATAGTGCCTTGTCAAGAGTTTTGATGGGCAGCGACTTGTGCAAAGTAGATTATAATTACATTTAGGTTTTTGCAAAATAGATGTGGCAATGTACGGATAGGCAAGATTTGTGTAGATTTGTAGGAATGGTAGAAGTATCAAAGTCACTAGTTTTCATCCACATCTCAAACTCATTTTGAAATGTAGTTTCAAAGATTGAGAATAGAAATAGGGCCTACATTTTTCACATTTACCTAATATGGTTTGGTTGTAGGCAACAATTTATGATATGTTGGGCAAGGCATGATCAAGACAATTCCCATGACATGTAACTTGCTGCAATGGCAATGGTCAAGCTCAGCTGTAATGCTCATCTATAGGCCTATGCCTTAAATACAAGTACTGAATTTTGGGCTACGCTTGTGAGAATTGGTCACTTGATTCAGATGCAAAATTAAGTTAGTTACTTAGTATTCAATGTTTGCACTGAAAATATGACAGTTGATGTGATTCAAGCCTCGACGGAAGTCCACTTGAAGTATTTGTTGCAATGTAATGCTTAGAATATCAGTATGATTTATAGTGCATATGGCAATACCAAGTACATGTAGCAAGTGTGTACAATCTACTATGTAGATGTATTTGTGAAAAGGCAAGCCTTAATGTACATCGATCTGGTTAATTCATCTGTTGATTAGATGGGAATGCTTTTTTTTTTTTAATAGAGTACTTTACTACAATTGATTGATACAGCTTGTAAAATTCCAAAGTGTTTGCCTTTGTGTTGAGAGTTCTGGTACAAGTTAGAATAATGTTAATTGTACATTCAAGTTACTACTTATTTCTCTTGTTAATTGTAGGTCGACATTAACTTAAAAAGTAATGTAATTGCATTCAGGTATGGACATTTATTTTATAGGACACAAGGATATAAACATTGGATGTACATGATATGTACTCCAATGAATTAATTATTCTAGAATGTGACACAGGTGGAGTTTGGATGGCCTTTAGTTTACTAAACAGTCGGGTAAGTGCATGTCACAATAGATATAAAATGTGCCACAGGTTTGTGTGTGGTGTCTTCGAGTGTGTTATTAAAGGGGTAACATTGAAAACAGGGAAATTTCCCAATTGTTGGGCATCATTCTCTGAGATCTGGAAATATACCCCGATTTCGACACGCTTTTTTGAGGTTTCCCAATGTGAAGACGAAATACATGTAAACAAATATTTTTGGCTCGTGTGACATGCACTTCAACCGTTTGGATTGGTGTTTCACATTAGATATCTAATAAAATTGCGCTCTAGCACCACACAAGCAACTACTCGTATTCTCTTCCTTTTTATTTCACACTCCCCTTTCTTTCTTCAATGCATGTCCAACATTGTATAAATTTGCATCAAACTACATTTTGAGGTCCCAACAGATTCAAGTTCGTAATTAGGATTTGCGCATGGGCAGATAAGGGTCATTTGTACCCAAATTGTATACTTGGATTGTACAGGTGGAAGTATTCTTCCCAAGAGCAAAGAAAAGCACCTCCATCACTTTGGCAGTGATTATTCTAAAATGCACACGTGGGAAGTATCCATTGTGTCAAAGATCTGTGGATATTTACGAACTCGCTTATTGTACATGTATTCATTTACTTTTAGATGGAAGGCAGAATAAGTGAAGGCAGAATAAGTGAAGGGAGAGGATGAAGAAATAAATTCACAAAACAAAGCAGACACATGATGCAAGGTCATATTTTGTAAGATTTTAATATGAACTACATTTATATACAGCAACACTTTAACACAACCGGTCAACGACATTTCCTGCCTCTTGAATATTGCTGATGGGTTTCCGATTTCAAGATGTATTATGTTTATGGGTCCCCCATACATACTAGGTGTAGGACAAACAAAAATTGTTTTCGAAAGTTGAAATTGTCATCAAATTGGAACTTGCACATTGTAAAATTGAAGCGAGTCATATTTATTTTGGGCAACTTTTATGATATTTCAAATACTATCCTTACAGATTTTCGTTTGGTTAGGGGGGGGGGGGCATAGGTCAAAAAGTGAAAAAAAATTGGAAGTGCAGAGTATTTTTGCAAGAAAACTATTTCGTTCCTGTTTTCACGAAGTGACGGTAGTGAGGAAAATCTGCACGCAAATTGAATGCGATTTTCATTCACTACCGTTACTTCGTGAAAATAGGGACGATTTGAAAGAATATCAAACTTACTTTAAAAGGTGAAATTCAAGTTTACAATGTGCAAGCTTTTGTCTCATACAAGTTTCAATTTTTATTAAGCATACATGCTTAAAGTGTACCAATCTCCTAATAAAAACATCACCAACATACAGAACAAATTTATTTTGATGATTGGTACAATTTATCATTTTTTTTCTACACCCAATGTTTCTATCGTTGCCTGGGAATCCATGTAATATGAAAAGCTATATATCTTGATAACAGGAACCAATCAGCAAATACCACTTTCATTTTCAGTGACCCCAAATTAGTCTAGTTTAACTATTTTAGAGGCATTTTGGCTACTGACCAGTTTAGACATCGTAGCATAACAATATAACAATATGCTACAATGTCTTAATTCCACCCTGCACAATATATGATCTGACTGCAATCCCATTTTCAAAGAAATTGCAATTGCGTTCAATATGGATATTTATTAAATACAATCCTCTTCATTGCGGTTCTGAGTAATGATATCAAAATGCTAAATAGGTTTCAAATTGTTTCAAATCTGGTTTGCCCTTAATATTGGAATCGAAGCTTGCAATCACAAGGAATTAGGATCAAATTATTAAGTACAAAGCAATTCAGAACCTCGATCATTAAGGTTTTTACATAATTAAGTGCAATTGCAAATTCTTTAAAAATTGCATTGAAGCCAGATCAAGTTGTATACCGTGGGCTGGGTGGGGGCTAGTCTGACCTCATCAATGACCATAATTACATTTACATGTTGATTGAAGGAAAATAATATATCATTCCCAAAGTGCCCCTGCTTATTCAATGTGTAAAAGCTGTTGGCAATTGTTGCTTGTTTATTGAGTTTCACATGACTAACCTCAAAGATAATATCTGACAAAGGAAATTACCTTGTTACATCAGGGTAAAAAAAAAGAATATGAAGAGCTGGGACCAGCAAAATCACCTTGATATAACAGATACCTGGTTATATCGGAGCTCCTTATACCAAGGTTTCTCTGTATTGATTCATTGATGTCAATTACTGCCCTCATGAATTCATTTCCATTAAAAATAATTGGGGGGGGGGGGGGACATTACCAACAGCCTTTTCACACACAGCTAAAATTCTATAAACATGACTAGTATAAACGTGTAACGAACGTGTTTAAACTAATCACGAGCCTTTCACACACAGAAATTTCGTTGCGATCGTTAATAGTTTCGTGATTAACTACTGCTTGTAAAATGCGCAGTAGTGCCATTGCGCATTGAAGGTCATGTCATGTCAATCAAAGCGCACACTCCATCCAGTTTAAACACGTTTAAACACGAATTTCCTTTCACACACAAAATGTCAAGCTCTCTAGATACGAACTTCGTATCTGCAGCCTGCTTTTAGGGGCGTATGGATCGCGACTTCGTATCTATCCCAACATCGTATAAACGATGTTCACACTGGGAAATTTTGTCTATAAACATGTTTAAAACTGTTGAGTGATTCTAATCATCTCTAGATACGATGAATTTTAGCTGTGTGTGAAAAGGCTGCAAGTATGGTGGACCAGAGATTAGTTGGGGTGCATGTGCCCCCCCCCCCCCCATTCTGAAATATTAAATCCCCAAAGTCACACATTTCAGAGCATAAGAGCACTTTTACAGACTTGTGCCCCTGGTAAATTTAATTATTTGATACAATAAACATCATTGAATAATACTGCTTGATATATATATCTTCAGTTCATTTTCGCATCAATTTGTTTTCAATCGTATGGTGTAAATCGTGTTGAATCATTACATTTCTTGTTTGGTAATAATTCTGCTACATTAATGAATTCATACATACACACAGTCAATAATGCAATCTCCCATTCAGTGAGATATTACCCTTTTTGATCTTGTAACAAGTGGAAAAGCCAAAACTCCTCTGGGTAACACTATGAATATGACGGACAAAGAAAGCGGACAAAATATACAGTTCCTCGGGTAGACAAAGGAACATCCCTTCACTGCTATTATGTTCAAAAGGTGAATATGCATGTGAGACCTGTTCTACACATGTTTACATAATAGCAGTGAAGGGATGTTCCTTTGTCTACCTGAGGAACAGTATATTTTGTCCGCTTTCTTTGTCCGTCATGTTCATAGCGTGAACACAGCATACAACAAGTGAATTCTCATGATGGTGTAGTACTTCATATATTACATTACTAGCCAGTTATTACAATATCAATATGGGGGAGTTTCCTCTATCTCTCATTCAATTCAATATAAATAAATATATCCAAGATGAATAAAACTAAAAGAAAACAATATATTATCCATGGGCTGCATTCTGAAGAGAAAAAACTTCTTAAAAAAAATGTTTGCAGTTCAAGTGTGAGCATTGATATCTCTCGTTATAGATCATATCGTCGCCTGGCTGGCAGAAGGGCGTTAGCTCAAATTTCAGGTAAAAAATGAAACTTAAAGCAGAAGGGCGTTAGCACTAAATCGCCTCAAACTTTTATAAAACTGACTTATTTCCGAGAAAAAAAATTGTGGCCGTGTTCTACTACAGCATTTCTATTAGTCTTTAATGTTTTAAACCAATTTTCGAGACAGAAAGCAGTTTAAATATAAAACAAATCTTTAAATGCGAATAATTCGAAAAGTAGTTTTCGAGTCGCTAACGCCCTTCTGCCACCCGGACGACGATATTTGAAATTGGTATCGTTGATAAGCATGCTTATTGCCCTTTACAATGATGCCTCATTTAGCATCATAAGGTGATCATGTAATGTGCAAGTACACCTGAATATGGGGCCACGTCAAAGGTGCATTGTTGCAAAATGCATTGTTAATGTCAACAGGGAATTCTTCATTTATTTGGAGGATGGATTGTGTTTCGATTGAATAACGATGCATTTTGCAATAATTCACTTTTTGCTGATGCTCATCAATTATGCCAAACAGATAGCATAGATATTCTTAGATCCTTGATGTTGAATTGTTTATACATGACCATCCAATTAACATTGCAAGCAATCTTTTTGAGGCATTAATAATGGAGTACAGCTCTACCAACTACAATACAATTTACTCTCGGAAAAATTGAAAATAAATAAAGTTATCAATAACAACCTTTTCATGAGAGGCTTTATCAAAAAATTGTCCAAGTTTATATTGACAGAGCTTTATATGGTTCATATGATGGATAAATTCATTCCTATGTCACATTGGAAAATGATTTAGAAATGCTTAGCTCTACATCAATACTGAATTGCATAAATATGAGAAGACATTGCGATTTACCAACAACAAAAAATACTTTTCCTTCATGTTCTCACATATGAATGATCACCGTAACTTGTCATAATGACATGTAAAGCCTATCTGCACTAGTTTGGCCAGGAGGGATTAGACCTCCCTGCGTGGTCACTGACAGGTGGTTATCTCATTAAATCAGCTCTCAATTAACATAAGAAAAGGGGGACCATGGGGGACCAACGGGTACCGCTTAGGCATTGTTGGCTGTATAGAGGGAGTAAGTAGCTACAAGTAGTGCAGTCCTGCTTTAAGGACAGTAATGTTCATGCGCACCTTAGCTACACAGGGCCAGCCGATTATGGACATACATTGCACATACGTTGCACAATTTCAGGATCTCCAGGCATTATGCATGGCGAGTACGATACATAATAAGCTGGCCTTGCTTCACTAAGGTGCGCACAGATACTACTGCAGAACTTCCTTAAGAAGAAGGAGAGGGGGTACATCTGCAGACAATATTTCGTAGCTTGTGGCAAAATGAATACAAATTAGATACGAAAATACATCCCTAAAAGTACCCATTTCAGAGTTTCACATAAAAATTATACAGATATCATTATACTCCCTCATGCCTCTACCCCACAGAGTATACCCTGCTTCCTTCATTAAACTAGATTACAAGTCTCTCTATTTTGTTTACGTTGCCATTTCTTCTTTTATTGCAGCCTATGATTCACAGTGCTGTTTGAGTATGACAAGTATTAATTTTTTTTTTTTTACCTTGCTCTTTATATACGAAAATCAATTCATCCCTTCATGATATATCGCTACTTCTGTACTACTTACTTGCACAACTATGTCTATAGTATGGCTACGGTTCAACGTTCAACGTCTTTGAGACCTACAGAGATACACATAAAAGAGAAGGGGAGAAAGAAATCATAATACATCTCTTTCCATGTCAGAATACACATTGCATCAACTGTGAAAGCCATTCTACAGGCTTTTGTATTCCTCCATCCTGTAATTAAATTATAACATTGTCTGTACCATGTCTTCATATAATTTGTAAAAATCAGGTACAGGAGCCAGATTGACAAATGACATGGAACCCAAATAGACTTGGTGAACAAAATATTGTGACAAATTTTTGCGAGACTCATTCTCACTCAATTCGTTTTGCCTTTTTAAATAATTGTATCCTGGCTTTTTCCTTCATGCCCTTAAAATATTTTTGGACAATAGGAAATCGCAGAAAGACAATTTTGTCACCGAAAGAAATCACACTTTTGTATTGCTGCACTAGTCATCAGGGCTGAACACAACAAATGAAATCAACAGATTGCTATTCTCTCAATTGAAATACAGTTTTATCGATATATAAGGGGAGGAAGCCTGCAAAGAGAAGAAAAATCAATTAATTTTAGAGAGGCAAGGACATTTTATAGCTACCTTGACGTTGATCTAGACCTTCGTTTGCGACTGGACGCCTTACCGGACCTGCTTCCGTGAGACCGCTCAAGCGAGTCGGCTCTAGAATCAGACGAATCCTCACTTGCCTCTCTGTGACGCTTCTTCCTTGAGCGCCTCCGCTGGGAATCTTCTGATGACGACCTCGATCGGCGCCTTGATGACGACTTCTTGTGCTTGCTGCTTCGACGATGTGATTGGTCGCTCGCCTCTTCATCGGATGAATCGCGCTTGCGCTTTTCCTTGTGGCGTTTACTGGAAGATCGATCTTTGGATCGACTACGCTTTGACGAGTCCCGTTTTGATTTGCGACCCTCGGGAGTCCTGGACTTCCTTCGTTGCTTATCCCTGGAGCTACTGACCGAGTGTTCACTTTCAGAACTCTTAGACCGGTCCCTATCTCTATGCTTACTTTTACCATGGTCCTTATCATCCCGTTCCCTGGAACTACGCCTGTGTTTTCTTTCTCTGTCATGTTTGGAATCATCGTCCTTATCCCGCCTCTTCTTTCTCTCTCTATCCCTCTCAGAACTTCTCTCCCTATTCCTCTCTCGACTGCTTCGCCTTTCCCGGCTTCTCTCTTCATCCCTCTCCCGACTACTTCTGTCCCTTTTCTTACTTTTTTCTTTGCTCTTTTCCGAGTCCTTCTTACTTTTCCTCCTATCCTTTTTATCATCCTCCTTACTTCTTTCCCTGCTTCTACGTCTCTTCCTATCACTTTTACTTTCCCTATCCCTTTCCTTTTCCTTATCCCTATCTCGATCCCTTTCTGTATCTTTCTTCTTTTTTCTGTCCTTGTCCCTTCTCCTCTCCCTATCACTGTCATCCACCTCACTCTCTTTCCTCCTGTCCTTACTCTTTCTCTCTCTGCTTCTGCTCCTCTCCCTCTTCTTCCTCCTAGCCGAATCCTTAGCGTCATCGGAAGACTCTTCGCTGCTCTCACTCCCCTCATCATCCTCCTCCTCATCCCCACTGCTACTGCTACTATTGCTATCGCTGTCCTCCGAGCTTGAGCTCACCGATTCAGCCTTAATCTCAACCTTCTCTTTCTGATCCCACCTTCGAGATCTCTTCTTCTTATCTCCACTCTCCCCTTCTTTTTTACTCTCATCTCTTTCTCCTTTTCTACTCTCTAACTCTCCACCGTTTGCAACTAGACTGTCCTCTTTCTCATCTCTATCTGGTCGTGGTTTTAAGCTGGGTTTCTGGATGCTAGATTCCGAAGTGGGTTTCTCTCTCTTCCTGTCTCCCCTCTCGTCATCACTCTCGTCATCCGATCTTGCAAACACTACAAGAGAAAAACCATCCAAAAATAGAATAATCGGTAAAATGAATGTACTTCAATGGATTTTCTAGTAGGTCATAACCAATATGTACTGATATATTAAGCTAACATGCAGATTTATGCTCAAGTCAATGAACCAAATTTCATTAGAAAGCATGGACATAACATTGACAGAAATGGTTACATGGGACTACTCACATACATGTGGCATCTGAATTTAGTATCTTGGTTAATTATTTCTCATCATACTTGGAAGATGCAAGCACTTCCTTTTCAGGTAACGCTGCTACTTTGGTATCCTTGTATAAATGAATACACTCCTTTACGGTTACAACTGTGCGTGTGCGCAGACATGGGCGCCATTTTAATTTAACAAAAATTTAACAAAATTATAATGGCGCACATGTAAATATGATGTGAGCGCACAGCGCAGGCATTGACGCAACAATAAATGCACATCTGTAAACATTGATGACGCAATATTTACGTGCAAATTAAAATGGCTGCCTTAAAGAGAAGGTTGAGTTCTGGGAAGAGGTGAAAAATAATTTGTGAGCATTACTCATTCTTATTATGCAAGTGTGGAAGAACATCAGTTAAGACATGTTCCCTGAAAAGCATGGCTCTTCAAATGCCTTCATATTCTAAATATGCATGTAACATCGTAAAAATCGGGGGCCGGCTTTTTACGCCACGTGTTCGTGTAGTCCCATATGCATATTTCTGTGCAAGTGTTTGTAACTTTACCAAGACTTGGCCAAATTTCTTATCATTTTGATGATTCCAGACCCTTGCAATACACACAAATTCTTATATGCTAGATGATCAACCTTTTCTGGTCGGTTCCACATCGTTTCTTTCACAATGCAATCGCATGACCAGAACTCAACTTCATCTTTAACTGTGAAGGGTGTATTACCACTACTCAACCATTTCTGAAATAGAACAAGATGGCTCATAATCATTTTTCTCTATTACCAGAAAAACTTTTTCTTAAAAAAAAAAAAAAATGGATTAGGTGACCAGACATTGTTCCAAGCAAGAATTTCTCCTGGTAATACTTTGTCAAAGATATAAGATTACAGTGAGGGTTGCAACAATGTTTTAGGTTAAGTTTTGGTATAGTACTTGGTCCTAGTCCAGGGTTAAATTTAGGAACTCGGTACATGTAGAATATCGTTGTTAGAGCAGGGGGGCGTTTCACAAAGATCCTAAGTTGAACTTATCTCTAAGTTAGACTTAACAATTATGGAAAGCCGTTAGCATCTTTGAAAATATTTTGTTTACGTTATTTTAAAAGGCATAAAATGTTCAGTCAAATCATTCATATTTTCTTTTATCAAGGAGATTTCATGTTCTTGATGTGGAATTTATGAAAAGTCTAAAATACTTGAATTTTTGCTTTTGAATATATTTTATTTTAAGGCTACAAATGGCTCTCCAAATTTTCTAAGTCCAACTTAGAGTTAAGTTTGACTTAGGATCTTTGTGAAACACCCCCTGGTGTCGTAGTACCGTGAACCAAGGGGTTACTTACTGTTTTCATGTTTCTTGCGTCTCCATGAATCCTTCTTGGACTGGATACTCCTCTTGAGCTCCTGATCGCTGTCCTCACTCTCTGACTCCTCCCTCTTCCCCCTCTCATCGTCACTCCTATCCTCGTCACTGTCCGAAGCGTATGATGTCAGACCTATACAAAATTACCATTCACTTGCAGTTAGATAAAGGCTCCTTCACCCTATTCATAAGGCCTTTAAAAAAAAGACGTTGTATTGCCCTTTAGGAGCCAAAACACAGGCCGGTTGGTCAAAAAAAAAAATATTCTCCCTCTTTGGGCTGACATTTTCAAGTTTTTTGCTTGAATACATATTTTGTTATTCTTTTTAAAGAAAATTCTCTCTTTTTTTTAAAAGCCAACCATAGATTTCAAGATTTTTTGCAAAGGGCAATACAACATCTTTTTTTTTTTTTACGCCTAAGGGGGATTTACCACATTCTAATGCAACTTTTTTGATAAGGGGAGATTCAGACCTACCAAGCTTGTATAAGACATCCCAATAGCATAAGGCTGGACTAATGTGAACATGATTCAGCATTGCAATGTGCTTTGTAAGAATAACAAAATATATGGTCCATGAATTTAGTTATAAGGTACATGTATATGTCTCTCTGGAATTCAGATCCTTTCTTAATTCATTTCTGGATGGTGAAGTTCAGTTACAGCTCATTTTATGTATGTTCTAACCAAAGATGAAAAAAGCCAGTCAGTCACTCAATAGTGTCTGACAGTGAAGTCTAGCAAGTAAACGGGTTTCCTTGCATAATTTGAATATTAGGACACTGCTAATGTTTACATTACACAGATTGGACATACGGATACATGACATATTCATAATTCCTGCAAAATTCTACAGAATTTGATGTTGGCTGCAAAAGGGACATGGTATCTTTAAAGTGGCGATTTCTTGCGACAGTTTAATGCATCATATCTGAACGAATCTGAACAGTGTAACACCAATCCCTGACAGCTAGTCTGTCTATCTCCTTCTCTATTGAGTACTTACCAGAAAGCCCAGTTATGGAAGCCAATGCGGTAGAATTAGAGAGCTGACGAGCTGGTGCTAAAAAATAATACACGCCACACGGGTGAACGTGAGATCGTTAGAAAGCTACAAACGAAGGAGAAACTCGGGTTATGGAAAATAAATGGCCACTGACAGTAAACAAGATGTGTCCGCCAGATACAGTTAAGCAGAGTTGACCTTCCGCTTGACATACAAGTATAAATAATCAAGAAATATGATTGAAGCTTTCACAAAATTGGCATTCAAAGAGATAGTTTGTTAAAAATAGATCCTTTTAGCACTTTATATAAAACTTAAACAAATTCCAAATAACATTTAGTATATCACAGATTTATTAGATATGGATAATATTTGTTCTGATTTTTTTTTATAAATCAAAAGCCTTCTTATTGCCCTATATAGAATTACATTTTCAAATACATGAATTTCAATATTACCGTTTCTGTGATCATTCATGGGAAATAGGACAAAAAATAAATTTTGTAAAAAGAATTCACAATATCATTGAATGAAATATATAATATCTTTTATAACATATATAAAAAAAGCATTTTTAATTCATAATTCAGTGACAGATAACAATAATTGCAAATTATGAAAAAGTCGTAATGAATGTCAAGAAGAAAAATAAAATAGACATCTTTCTACAAAATTAGAAACATGCATACATACAAATAAAACAATTATTCACATTTTACTTTGAAGACAAATTACAGCAGATTGTGATAAATCAAATCAACTTTTACATAAAAGATAATTGACTCTCTAATTTAAAAAAAGATATACAGAACTGTTCATATTGTCATCTTTCCCAATGCTCACACGTAATGAACACCTCATGGTATCTTTCGTTCGACATGGAACCAACAAAAGGAATCTGGTTCCCTCCCTACCTTTAGCTGCCCTAAGCTTAGCCTTTCTATGAACCTCGGTGGCGATGTGTTTGATCTCCTTCCCCGTCACCTCCAGCAGGACCTCTGTCATCCACTTCCGGATCTTCGTCATCTAGGTCAAAGGTTAAGAAAGAGATGAAATCAATTTACAGTCGAACCTGCTTTTAGTAGTGACCACCTGTCTACAATGACCACATTTTTTGTTTCCCTTAAAAATGTTTTCTCATTGAAACATGTGCTGCAGATACCTGTCTACAAAGACTACATTTTTTGTTTCCCTTGAAAATGGTTTTTCATTGAAACATGTGCTATAGGTACCTGTCTACAAAGACGACCTGCTCATGAAGACCACTTTTCTTGTCTCCCTTGGGTGGTCTTTATAGACAGGTTTCACTGTAATGTAAACAATTGAGAAGATGGTGAAGTTATTATTATCATTATTAATATCATCATTGTTATTATATTATATATAATATCCTCCTCACCAGCTGCTGTTGTCTTTCCTCCTCTGTCATATACGGTGGCTCGTCTTCCTCCTCTTCCTCATCAGGAGCCGGAGACGACCGATTCTTCTTCAGAGAGGTCTCCTCCTCCTCCTCCCCTTCAGCGCTTTGGCCTTTCAATCCAGTGGCTTTCCCATCCCCTCCCCCTCCTTCTTCATCACTATCCTGTAATGTGAATACGATTGAGAACACTATTACAGTGGAAGTCCAAGGCATTTTGTTTTGTATGTTTCTGACAATGTCAAAGATACATACTCTCACCAAGTTTAACTATGATACCTCAATTTGTTCATAAGTTAACACATTCACAAGAATAATAACTGACCCCAAAACATAATGCCTTCAGAAACCACTACGTGTGGTGGAGGCATAGTAACAGAAATTGCTTAATATCTTCTAGAGTTAGAGAGCATCGAAATGAAAGTAAGATTCTCTGCATTCAAAGAAAAGAGTATGGAGGAATATACTCACATCGTACTTGGACTTTGGCGGAAGACCAGCAGCAATCCGAGCTTGATTGATGATGTCATTCTCAGCCTTCTTACTGGCCTCTAGTCGATCTCTTCTCTCTTTCTCTTTCTTTTCCTTATCCAGCTTCTTCTCTTTCTCTTTGTCCATCTTTTCCAGGCCCTCTCTGATCCAGGCAGGCAACAGCTTGATTTTCTGCTCATCTGTCAAATACATAACATCGAGCACAAAGCATGAAATTTCTGCGTTTCATTATACAGTCAAACCTGGTTTAGCAACCACCTGTCTATAAAGACCACATTTTTGTTTCCCTTGAAAATGGTTTCTGATTGAAACATGTCCTTAAGGAACCTGTACATAAAGACCACCTGTCTGTAAAGACCACTTTTCTTGTCTCCCTTGGTTGGTCTTTATAGACAGATTTCACTGTACGTCCAACACCCCAAACAGCAAGTGATTATGAACATGTCAAGTTTGAAGCTACTGTATGGCTCCAGTGAAAGAGCAGTGGTGATGGAGACGGAAAATCCAAATTCAGTACCAAAACACTGTGCTCAAACCATCATGGTTCTTCAAATGCCTTCATATTCTAGATATGACAAGGAACAGTTTAAAAATGAGGCCAATTTTGTTATGCAACATGTTTGTGTAGTCCCATATACATCTTTCTGTGTACAGTGCTTTTTACTTTACCAAGGTTGGGCCACATTTGTTATCATTTTGATGACTCCAAAACCTGTCAATACACACCAATGCTTATATGCTACATGATCAACTTCTTGTGATCGATTCCACATCGTTTCTTTCACGATGCAATCGCATGTATATAGGAGATAGGAGACTGCGAAATTGCGAATGATTGGAAGACTCACAATTGATTTGGATCAATCACAACTCTTTGTAAGACGGGGCCCAGAACTCAACTTTATCTTTAAAAGGAATTCCATTTACTGCAACTATGTAGGGCAAATTGCCCTTGTCCTCATCTAACTCTTTTGCTCGCCCACACTTACCAAGAGCTAGGTTGGGCTCTTCCTCCTCCACATCTGGCGGGTAGTGGGAATACTGGGGATCATGGGAGTAGTCCATCCGATTGAAGTCACGGTATCCCTTACCCCCGTCCCTACCCCGTCCATCACCACTGTGGTACTGCTGGGGCTGGGGGTGCCGCTCCCTGCCTCCCATCCCCATGTCATGCTGGTAGAAATCCTGCTGGGGAGGGGGGTGCCAGTGCTGCTGCTGTTGGTTGGGGGCATACCCCTGTTGTTGGTAATTCTGTGAGAGAAAGTGAGGAAGTTTCAGATATTAGTCACTTTGAATTTGAGTTTAATTGTTGGCGTGGACATCTTGGGGTGAAAAGCTCTCCAAAATCACAATGAGTACTAAAGAAAAAGAAGATTTAAAATGCATGCATTACTGATCTAGTATAGAATCTAAATTCTCAGTCATAGTTTACTGGGGCTAAGTATCTTCAAACTCTGACAAGGTAAATTATCAGCATAGCAATGAAAAAACAAAAAACATATATATCAAAAGAGCGTGGATATATACATACCTCTTGACGATAATCATTGCTTTGCCCACCATGATTGTAGTCAAATCTCTCTGGAGGCATAGGAGGGGGATGCTGGTGGAAGGGAGGGGCTAGTCCCCCTCCTCCCCCTCCCCCATCTCCCCCATCCATACCGTGATGGCGCTCAAACCTTTTCACTGAGCTGCTGTTGCCGGCTCCATGGGCATAGTCGAACCTCTGAGGGGCTACCATAGGGGGCGGGCCGGGTGGTGGAGGGAAGTTCTGCTGCTGCTGTTGCTGCTGTTGTTGTTGCTGCTGCTGCTGCTGCTGCTGCTGCCACTGTGTACTAGGTGTTTGGTGGTTCCAGTCCCAGGCAATGGGTTGAGATACACTGGTAGAGGGAGCACCAGAGGTGCGGGGTTGGCCCTCAGGCATGCCCTGTGGGGGTGGTGGTGGAGGGGGTAGTAGGCGCATCATACGGTCTCCACCTGAAACAAACAAACGTACATACGTACATATAATAAGCAACCAGTTGTATACATCACATGGAAGAATGGAGCGAATGATGACAAAGTGTTGCAAAGAGGAAAGGTGAAGATAAAATGTATAAGATAAGATAAGATGTATGGTACACTTGATATGAAAAAGGGGGTTTGTAGAATCTGGCGATAGCAGCAGAGATCACAGGACAGCAGAGTAGAGGAAAGAAGAAGAGTAACGCACTATGGTTTGAGAGAAAGACCGCAAGTCCTCTAATGAATCACAAGTTTGCAATATCCTATCTCTTATGTACATAGTTGCAAATAAGTTGCGATTAATATCAACTCTTTGTAAAACATGGCCCTGGCAAAGGCTTGAAATACAGAGGCGTGGAAGAGCATGATAACCAAAGTCAACCGATATGGCATCTTCAGAGATTTCAAGGAAATGTATTTCAAAAATTAAAGGGAGGGTAGCTTGGCAAATACTGTTTAACGCCATCTACGTCCTCTTATGGACAACTGCACGCAAATGAATGGACTTGATTAACGTGACTTAATCTTGACATGGTCACGTACGCGAAACAGACCGAAGTTCTCCTCACGCTTCGGTTTTGCATATGTTGCCCCCACGTGCTTGCTGTGGTCGCGTCGTCTGTAGTTGTATTATACCCGATTAGCCCCGAGTCAAGTCACGGAAAAGACACATAGTCTCGTCAGTCTACACTCACTTTAGATTTAGAAACGTGTCCATAGCAGAAAAGGCATACTTGTTGGAGAAATCACTGAATGTAAAACTGTGATTTAGCATACATGTATGAATGGAAGACAGTTTCAATATTCCTCAGCCTAATCAAGGCATAGATGTATTCACTAGCTCTATGACCTAATGGACACAAACCCATGAACGAAAAGACAAAAGAAGACCAGATATGCGCAGAGAACACAGGACTGGATATGGAGTACTGGACCAGCACATCATGAGAAACCTTAAAGACATGGGTAGGTATGAGAAACCGAAAGGACTCAACTTGATCAGGTATTAGTATGACCTATGAATCTACCTCTATGGATAAAAAGTCTGATTTGTCAAAACTTTGACATTTTCTATTCCTGGTACGTATTTACACAACTCTACCTTCCACTAAGCTACAAAGATGAAATGTTCCCTACCTTCTTGTCGATGTTTGCTGCCCTCATCGTCTAGGGGAAGTAGGGCTGGTGCTGATGGAGGAATCTAGGTAGAAAAAGAGATCACAACAAATTAATTCAAACTGTATCTTCTATGTACAGCTCATGATATCAGCAACAATTTTCATAATTTATCATTAGTGTTTTTTTCCATTTTGTATCTCTTTATGAATTATTTTCGTATTGGTGCAATGGACCTTGTGGGAGATTAGCCTTATGCTAAATGCAATAAAGTCCCATTACTTCTACAGTCAAACCTGCTTTAGTGACCACCTGTCTAGAAAGACCACATTTTTGTTTCCCTTGAAAATGGTTTCTCATTGAAACATGTACTAAAGGAACCTGTCTACAAAGACCACATTTTTTGTTTCCCTTGAAAAGGGTTTCTCATTGAAACATGTACTAAAGGATCCTGTCTACAAAGACCACTTGTTGTGTTTCCCTTGGGTGGTCGCTATAGACAGGTTTGACTGTGCTACTAAAATTTGGGATCTAGCTAGATAATTCTAAACACTAATGAGTTGTGATATATATATCTATGAAAGCTACATGTTAAGTACTAATCGAAAAACTTAACTGAGACATGATTCAGAATTATCAATACTCTAAATTAGGATAAATTTCTACAAGTGGAGCTCACAATAATCTGTCTAGCTCATTTATCTCACTGACATATCCTGTTAACATCCATAAGAGAAGAGAAGCTAGAGAAAGTTATTACCAAGAAAGAAAACTAGAACCTATTTCAGGCAATTCATCTCCAAACATCTTTAGAACTTTACAAAAATCCTTTATAGTTGAGGCTCTGACAAAGATTTCTCATATTACATTTCAAAGCTTTTTATGAAACCAAGAATTTAGAACAGGTAGAATGACATCACATCTCTTGAATACGCACCTGAGGAGGGAGGGGTGGGTGTTCCAATACCACCTCTGAGGGTGGAAGGGGGGGTTGAGGTGGTAGAGGGGGCAGTGGTGGTGGTGGTGCTTGTAGGTGTGGTGGCGCTTGTAGGTGTGGTGGCGCTTGGTGGTGTGGTGGTGCTGCTTGTGGGTGTGGTGGTGGTGCTTGTTGGTGTGGTGTATCCGATACTTCTTTCTGTCTGATCCATTCCTGTGCCAGAGATGCCCAGTCAGTAGCGGCTGATGAGAATTCAAAATAAAAATATATTTATCACCAACTTTTAATCATATTTACCTGCGCTGGTAACTCTCAATTCAAGTAAAGATATATACAAATTGCATGATGTTCGTAGTGACACAGTCAAGTTGAATGATGTGTATGATCCACCAAGAAAAGTTTCGACAACACTGTAAGTCCTTCTAGAGATGGTAGGACAATCTATGTCTACTATGTCAATTGAGAAAATCTGCAGTAGACACAACACATATCTATAGGTGTTTTTTTTTAAATTGCCTTTTGCCTCAATATGTAAAATCTAAATTCTCTGCTATCATTTCACACAAAGTTCATGTCTTGCAGCGCCTCTGAGGTCTATATACATGTAGGAAGATCATAAACATGCATTACCCTTGTTTGGAATAACTTGCCTTTGTATTTTTGTAAATTTCAATCACATGGGTCCTGACTTAAAGTTGTAAATGATCCAGATCGCTAGTTAGTCCTATCAAACGCAAACTTACAGCCTACTATCTCTTCAAAACTTGCAATTGAAATCAAGCAGCAATAAACCAGTTCTTAGTTGCAGTCTGAGTATGAGCAGATAAAGGTCATTGCAGAACAAATTGTGAAATACACGGAGACAAAAATACTGGCTACATGCTAATGAAAGTTATGTAATCATCATTCATTTATTCACTAGCAGTGCACCCCATGATACACAGATGGAAGTTTTCTTTAAAAAGGGGAAACGAAGGCTATTTATGTAGCACCTCCATCGCTGTAGGAGTGATTATCTCAAAATGTACAAAGTTGTACCTCTTCATGTTTTGAAGATCTGTGAATATTCAGGGGCATTTGGGACATAATGTGCTAACTGTGAACAGGTCTATTGATTTGAATGAATCACATCAGTTTATTCGAGATAAGGCCCTGCAAAGAGCAACAAGCAAGACCCATCCATGCCTGAACATACTCACCTGCGTTTGCTTGGTAATGTTGCTGGGCTTGCATGCCCCATTGGCCAGGCCCTGGGCCCTGCCACTGGTTAACGGGCCACATCGTGACTCCTGCTTTCTTTGAATGGGAGTTTACTGCCTCAAAATGTCACGACCTAGAAGAAACCTTTATCTGAAGTGTAATGAAATAATGAAGAAGAAAAAAAGAAAGAAAAAAGACCTTACATGAGTAACAAGTAAGCAGTTACACAACACTCAACAGCCACAGGAACAGATTGAAATAAAATTTGGACCGAGCCATTGCGAGTTTTGCAGAACACAGGTACATGTAAGACATGACAATTTTGAAATGGGGACTACATGTATACTAAACTAATAGCCATTATCGTAAAGTAAGTATCAAATTGACGTCTTAAGAAAAAAAAATTGTTCACCACATAAACTAACTCTCTAGTCTTAGGAAGTCAGTGTTTTTGTATTGAAAAGATTCAAGATTCAAATAAGGTTTTATTCATGACTTGTCAAAAAGTCCAAGGACTAAAATGCAAGTTTACATCAATATAAAAAGCATTCAAAAACATGTGTACATATACATAAAAAGATAATATAGCAAATGAGAACAAATATATATAACAATGAATAAATGTTTAAATCAAAACATTAAAGTAGTAACAAACAAAAAGGATTTAAAAAAAATAATTAAAAAAATACAAGATATGAAATATTGCTAACGAAAATTAATAAATGTTTACATCAAAATAAATAAAGTGTATACAGATACGTGAGTTCAATTAAATTAACTGTAACATTGGAAAATTGTGATAAAATGCAATACAAATTCCATTCAGAAGGTATAGTGAGTATTAAAAACTATTAAAAAGTATTAAAATTGGAGTCTTGGCAGTGTGCTAAGTATGATTATGAGTACAGTATAATATATAAACATATTGCACATGAAAACAATGGAATTCCTTAGGTATTATTGGTCACAGTAAGAATAGCAGATAATTAAAGAATGTTGTACTGTAAAACATCATCAGAGAAGAAAGAGGTGGAGAGGAAGAAGAGAGGAAGAGGCAGAGAGAGCAAAGAGAGAGAAAGAGAAAGAGACAGAGAGAGACAGACATAGAGCTGAGAGAGAGAGGGAATGGGAGTGAAATAGAAATAGAGAGGAAAGACCAGGACTGAAAAAGAGAAAATGAAATTTGAAAAGTAGCAAGTTCAGATAGAGAAAAGGGATGAGAGAGTGAGAGGAAGGATAAAAATACATGCAACATCAAAATATGAATGAATGGAAGAACCTGCTGTGCCAATCATCATGACAGTTAAAATTGCACATAATTATTTTATTGCTGAAATACATGACATACAACATACTGATAATTCCTAAGCCTCTATTTATTATTATTATTCAAGGATCGAGTGAAAGATGGGATGGTGGAATTTCGGTACCTCGTAGTTCTCATCTTAGGCAAGGACAAATCTAGTGCATTTCAATCGCACCATTGGCTTAAGTTTAACTAATTATCATCAGGAACATGTGGAAGGTAAGCAAATTCATTGCCATCACTCCACACCATGGTTTGCTTAGCCATGGTTTCGATCGTGTGACATCAGTGTTTAACCCTGTAAACGATCATCGGATCGGCCGCCGATACCGATCCGATCAGGGGTGATCGGCGAAAAATTTCCGATCGCCGATCAATTAAAATGATCGGAAAAAAATCGGCAATTTTTTTTTTTTTTTTTTTTTTTTTTTTTTTTTTATGACGAAAATTTTCAAGTTTTTGGCTGTCAAATGCTCAAAAAAAGTTCATGGCTGGGATTATTTTGTCATTTGGAGTTGTTGTAGACAATGATTGTTGACATTTAGTGCCTTTTCATGACTTTGAAATTAATAATATTGGTCTAAGAGCAGAGGCAAAACATGCGGGCCGCCATCTTGGATTATAATGTAGGTTTTTTGTTTTTTTTTTAATGACGAAAATTTTCAAGTTTTTGGCTATCAAATGCTCAAAAAAAGTTCATGGCTGGGATTATTTTGTCATTTGGAGTTGTTGTAGACCATGTTTGTTGATATTTAGTGCCTTTTCATGACTTTGAAATTAATAATATTGGTCTAGATCTAAGAGCAGAGGCAAAACATGCGGGCCGCCATCTTGGATTATAATGCATAGAGGTCTACCTACATTATAATTCAAGATGGCGGCTAGACCGAAAGCTTCAGTCTCTCTAATCGTCGGTTGTTCCACTGAGACTACGTCTGGCTCCACTAGACCTCCGAGATTGGCCATTTGGCTATGTTTGGTAGGTGGACCCGGAAATATATCGGCCGCCGGGTAATATTTCGAATGCATGAACGTACTGCTTCGCGGATCTGAGATACAAATTGGATAATTCATATAAGTAAGTCCGTAAATTACGTATTTAATATTAAGTTATCAAATTTTGATAACTGTAATTAGGACAAATGACATACCGACCTAATTTACATCTGATTTAGAAATCAGAAAATTAGATCTAAATAAAGAAAATCTGGGAGAAAATGTCGCGGACGAAAATATGTACATAGCCATCCCCACGGTACGAGATCTCTGGGTTGCCATCTGTATTGGGGAATGACAACAAATGTCAGTTTTATTAAAGAAATGACCCAAATCAGATGGTTATTGCTGTCTAGATGGCGGCCTGCATGTTTTGCCTCTGCTCTTAGATCTAGACCAATATTATTAATTTCAAAGTCATGAAAAGGCACTAAATATCAACTAACATGGTCTACAACAACTCCAAATGACAAAATAATCCCAGCCATGAACTTTTTTTTAACATTTGATAGCCAAAAACTTAAAAGTTTTCGTCATTAAAAAAAAAAAAAAAATACCTACATTATAATCCAAGATGGCGGCCCGCATGTTTTGCCTCTGCTCTTAGACCAATATTTTTAATTTCAAAGTCATGAAAAGGCACAAAATATCAACAAACATGGTCTACAACAACTCCAAATGACAAAATAATCCCAGCCATGAACTTTTTTTGAGCATTTGATAGCCAAAAACTTGAAAAATTTCGTCATTTAAAAAAAAAAAAAAAAAAAAAAAAAAAAAAAATCGGCCGATTTTTTTTGTCGCTCTTCCGATCCGATACCGATCAAAGGTGCGAGGGTGTCGCTCCGATCTTCCGATCCGATCAGAGCCCCAACTTACAGGGTTATCAGTGTTATAGCTAGACCCTAGAGATTTTTTTAGAGGTTGGCGCAACTTCACTGATGCCATTTAAATCCCAAATTCTGACCTCTGCAACATCGCGATCACAAGCTATAAACACGAATGCATGTGCGTACTAACTAGACGCTGATCAAAACAAGTTCAGCTCAAACCCAATTAATCAAAAATGAATACTTTAATTCTGAGACATTACGGTAGATAACTTAACACAGGCGCGCGCCTGTATTCGTGCAGCGGTTTGCTGTGAAACCTGTGAAAAAGTGTATACTAATATCAACGTTTATTCAAAAATACTCCAAAAATAAAAAATAAAATTGACACGAAACAGGTGATAAACATAGACCCAACGACTTTTATTCATGATCTTTATTTGGACATTTAATGAATATTTACTTCAATTTTGGTATGTTTAAGTAGGGTATCCCGATATCTCCACGCCGGAGTTATGGGTCAAATTTTGGATAGACTTCTGAAAAAGCGCCAACTCTGTACACAGGGCAAAATTTCATATTTTTTCTAAATATTTGACCGATTTCAAAGTGATTTGTAAATTGTATGAGAAGAAAGAAGAGTCTACTTGCGAACTCCAAAGCCAGTGTGCAATGCAATGTTTGTCTGGTGCAGGAAGGGGTGATTACAATTACAAACACAATTGAGCATTTTACTAATTTTAGGTTTTGTTTCCCTGCCTCTTCACACTGTCACTGGCCCAGCTTGCGCTTGTGCATTGGAGTTCCGCCGAATCCCGCGCGCACTCCGCCGAGCTCGGAGGAGGGGATATGAGGGGATGGGATGTTGTTAGCGTCACAATCGAGCACACGAAAATGGAACCATTCAACGAACTTCATTACGAAATTTTAGATGCTTTTCCTTCAAAACAGTAACTAATTGCTAGCAAATCTAATACAGAGCTCTATTTTTGGTAAGATTCAACAACTGCTAGATGATTTAATCATTTCAAACACAGGTAACTTCAAGCTTCACTTACCAATTTAATTCACCATCGCGCGATAATCTCACACATGTACGCCATTGATCGAGCTAAACGCCATGTCTGAAATACTTTGCGGACCGACATCGAGAGAGGGCGTACCAGTACTTCAAGTGGTCCCTTCAAGTTTAGTGTCCTTTTCGTTTTTCCCCTAACTTGATTGATTGATTGACTTTATTCGCCAAGCCTCCACAACATAGTTACAACAGTATAAAAGAATAACAGATCAAAATTATGTCAGCTTGAACAGGATAACCCACGAAGGCTCGAGAGCTTATTTCCAGACATACATGTACAAAATTAATAAGTAAAAATCTTATTATTTGCAATGACAGATAAGAAGAAAAAAAACTTACTAAAGAAAGAAGAAGAAAAATAAGAAGGAGCAGAAGAAGAAGAGGAGGGGGGGGGAAGGAGGAGGAGGAAGAGAAAAATACTGATGAATATGTTGCATTTCTACAACGTACATATAAACACAAATATATACAAAATTAAAAAGTATGAACCAGCAGACAAAAGAAAATAAAATAAAAGAGAATTGTTCTGAATTCAATCATATAAAATGTAATTTGCTTCCTTCTCTGGCGCTCCTTCTCTTCTCTCTTTTCTCTTTCTTTCTTTCTTTCTTTCTTTCTTTCTTTCTTTCTTTCTTCTGAACAAGCGCCTCTTTTCTTTTATCTCTCTTTCTTTCTTCTTTCCTTTCTTCCTAATATACAGTGCGTCCCAGAAAAAACGAAACCGAGAATTATCGATGTTTTATTATAGCTTAATCACAATTATAATTGATAAATGACACATATTTGGAAAGCTTAGATCCTTCTCTTTCATTTGATGCAACTATAATGTTACGCATGAGTGATTACAATGAATTTGAAGAGAGGAAACCAAAAAAGTCATTTGGCGGACGGTATCTGAATTTCAAAGAGAAAATCACATTTCTAGAAAGTTGAGTTTCTGCCCTTTCATAATTATGACACCTCAATCAGGAAAAATGAGCAAGGAATGACAAAGTTCTGTTTGTTTAAAGTAGTGCTTGCATTCCCATAATAATTATTTTATCAAACGAATTTGTTTTAACTGGCTGCCTGCAGTAGCAACAACTCCGTTTCGTTGACAATCAGGCGATCAGCCATGCAAGTCTTTCGTCTACGGCCGATTGTCAACGAAACGGAGTTAAGTCTTTTGTTAATTCCTTCCTTCAAATTGCTTTTAATCACTCATGAGTGAAATATGCATCATAATTGCATCAAATGAAAGAGGATGATCTAAGCTTTCCAAATATGTGTCATTTATTAATTATAATTGTGACTAATTTATGATAAAACATCAATAGTTCTCGGTTTCGTTTTTTCTGGGACGCACAGTATATCTTTTTTTTTTTTGCTTTTTTTTTTGCTTTTTCCCTTTCATTCTTTTTTCTCCTATCTTTTTCTTTCTTCTTTCCTTTTTTCCTTTCTTTGTTTGTTTTCTTTTTTTTCCTTCCTATTTTCTTTCGTTCTTTCTTTTGCAGAATGATGGGGGGGGGGGGGGGGAGTTTAAAGGCAGATTCGGGAGCCGATACATTGCCAGCCCATTTACTTGGGGCGGGGGTTAATCATGACGATTTTCAATGGGCACAAAAACCCGATAACACGATTCGGGGGAGCATGTACAGTGTGAGTCCAAAAAAAAGTTTACACCTAGAAAATTACTAAGTATTTAAAAAAATCATCTATGAACATTGAATTGTTCTATTTCTCATGAAAGAGTGTTTTATCCAAAATCATTTGGTATCAATTTTGTGTGTGGTATGTGTTCACGCTTGGATGAACAGGAGACATTGTTTGCGAGAGTGCAAAAATCGACTTGCGCCAAAGTTGCCTATGACTGATGTTTGAATAAAACATTTGGGATGTGGGTATTAATTCGGTCTTTGCAGATCCAAATAACATCTCTAACAAAATTAATCATGCCACTCTTATCAAATATCGAATATCAAATATCAACAAATATTTGTGCGCGCGTGTGTGGGCATGTGTGACTTTGCAAAAAACATATGCAATGCTTTTCATTTGATACATTCAATTCATTCTCTCATTCCGCTAATCCCAGCATAATACATACTGTAGGCAACACTTTGGCGCAAGTCGATTTTTGCACTCTCGCAAACATGGACAAAGGGTCGAGAATGGTACAACGAATCGTCTTCTTTCTCTAATAATTTTATTAAACTATGAAAGGTCAAAGCTTACGCGCTTTGCGCAGGAGGGGGGAACTGAATTTAGACAAGAAATAAGAGTCAAGAATGATAAAACAAATCGTCTTTTTTTTTTTCTCTAATAATTAATGAAAGGTCAAAGCTACCGCGCTTTGCGCGGGCGGGGAAAAACTGAATTCAGACAAGGATTAAGAATCGGGAATGGTACAACGAATCGTCTTCTTTCGCTAACAATAATTTAATGAAACGTCAAAGCTTCCGCGCTTCGCGCGAGAGGGGGAAACTGAATTCAGACAAGGTACAACAAATCGTCTTCTTTTTCTAATAATTAATGAAAGTTCAAAGCTTCCGCGCTTTGCGCAGGGAACTTCAGACAAGGATTAAGAGTCGAGAATGGTACAACGAATCGTCTTCTTTCTCTAATAATTTAATGAAACATCAAAGCTTTTGCGCGTAATGGGGGGGGGGGGGGCAGCGAGCTCCCGGAATATGAATTTTTGATATATTTTCTCGTTTATCTTGGTAATAAATAATACTTTCACACAATACATATTATGCTCAAATTGTTGCTCTCAAAAGCCGAATTGTGAACCAGAAAATTACTTTTTCGGGCAAGAGGCTTCAGCCCAGCCCCCCCCCCCCCCCCGATGAAAATGTCAACAAAATTGTATAACTTATTGAATTGAATTGAATTGAATTGAATTGAAATTTATTTCCATCATCATGACAATATATACAAAGATAAAATATGGAATTTCATAACATGTAACAAAATCAAAATGACATATAAATTGACATAACAGCATTCAAAATATAAATGGAAAATGGTGCATCCGTAAAAGCCAGTAAGGCTTGACATGAATGCACCAGGCGGAGAAGTAATAATAACATATACTTGAAGAAGAAGAAAAAAAGGGGAAAAAAGAAAAAGAAAAAGGAAAAATAAAAAGGAGGAGTATTAGTAATATAGGTGTGGTCTTAAAAATAAATTATGCGTTTTAAAGAGAGATAAGATGTTTTTGTAAAGTCTTTTGAAAGAATTATTAAATCCGACAGATTGTAAAAATGGAGGTAGGGAATTCAACATTTTTGGACCAACATAACGGAGAGAATCGGTTATATTAGACGAAGCATGCAATGGTGGAATTTATTAGCATTTCTTGTGTAGTAGGTATAGACCACATTGTTAAGACTAAATAGGTGCATAAGGTTTGGAGGTAGTGAGTTTGAGAAAAATCGTTGCATCAATGAAGCAATTTGCAATTTATTAATATCATAAATATATAAAGTATTGAATTTCCTAAATAAAGGATGTTGATATCGGACAAGAGACGTGACGTGAGCTTGCCCCCCCCCCCCTCCAAAATTGTGCCTGCTTGTAGATACCGGTATGGTACTTCTATTATGACCTTGTCAGTATTGGTATGTTGAGTTGAAAAAACAGTCTGCGCATTTTTCAAATTTCCGCCCCCCCCCCCCCCCCCCCCTATCGGAAAATCCTTGATCCGCGTCTGAACAGCGAGGGCTTATGACTGGAATTTTCAAATTTTGGTTGAAATATAATTCTGCCGACGTGTCGATACTATAGTAACAACTTTAGTTGATAACACACAAAGAAACCCACGCAAAACACAATAATATTGTATTTACAAAGCTTTATTTTAATGGTTTACACAAGTCCAAAATATGATCATGATCCTTCCAGTAGAGTACATTGAATAGGCCTACACGAGCTGAGTTGAGTTGAGGTTTCATTATCCAAACGTTCAAATACGGTAATATAACGTTAATAACAAAAAAGTATGTTTAAAAAACATGTCGAATGAATAATGGGGACCAGATAATAGCAAAAAATGCTAATCATGTTTGGTACCTTTAAAGTACAGTATCCTAAAGGTACTATGTCCCATTTGCAGGCCCAACAAATGAAAAGGTTAAATTCCAACGGCATTTGAAAGATAATACTAATTTAGAACTTCCCTAAAAAAGAGGAGGGGGGGGGGGGGCTTAAAAATGTCTTTAAGTGAAAAAATAACAACTAATAGTTGTCAAATTGACTTAATTATACGTAGTCAGTAAGTAATAGTCTGATTTTCAGATTAATTTTGACCATTACAAGAAGTGGGTTATTGATGTAGATGAATGCTCATGTACCCTTTACAGCTCATTGTATGTATATATGTTATACACCACAGAAGAAAAAAGGCCACTCATTCACTCAACAGTGTCTGACAGTGAAGTCTAGCAAGTAAACGGGTTTCCTTGCATAATTTGAATAATAGGCACTGCTAACGTTTAAATTTCGCAAATAGGACATACATGCAGGCGCGTACGCAGGATTTTTTCAAGGGGGGGGGGGTTTAACATTTATAAATCGGGCCGAAAATTTCGCAACGACTCGGCCAGCCGCTGAATATTGAATTTGAATTGAATTGAATTGAATTGAATTTATTTATTCACCACCATTGAAAACATTGAAACAAAAGATAAATGTACAATGACAATGTCAATATAACATAAATGCATGACATGAATTATAAAAAATACATGTTCTACAGCGATATACATGTACATTATGACAAATATAAAGTAAACTTTGCTTCAAGAGTAAAACAATAAATGACTATTTACAATGATTTTGTGATCGATGGTAAAATAGAGTCAAAAATAGCACATGTGCTAGTCGAGTCTGACTCTCGTTATCTAAAGCCTAAAATAGAGTTAATTTAAAAATACATGATGGGTTTCCAAATCTTATAAATAAGATTTGTGTATAATATTAAATGATACTGGTTACTATATACAACTATATAGTTACGAGGTTATGATTCGTGGTTTTCACTTAAGAGTAATTTTGTAAGTTTTTTACGAAAAGAGGTTCTTGATCTCTCAATTC